AAGAACTTGATGGTGTGTCAACAGTAGCCACTAGTCGGACTGATAGTACTCCTGTAGCTACATCTATGCATTTGAATATACTCAGGTCACTTGAAGAACACACCATTGAATCGCAAGAAAAAACTCAAACGCCTACGGGCCGAACAGGGACAGAGAGTCCCACCACGTGGCTCAAACCATTCGACACCGAATGGACATGGAGAGCCATCAGGGATGCCAAGGACGAAGCAGTGGCAAAAGCTGTGCTTCGAAACTGGATCCACCGGGCAAGGGCTGAAGAAGTGGTGGATGAGTTGGTTGAGGGGATCAAGAAGGCCGAATGCTATCGCGCCCTCGAGTGGCTAGACGAACTCCATGGACCAAAAAAATACATCCTACGAACTAAAACCCCTGGACGAGATCTAACCACAAAAGGACAAATCGAGGTACTAACCTCCTGGGCCACATACCAAGTAACCGCCCTGATCGACAGCGGCTGTACAGGGAGCTCAATTAACCGAGCCTTCGTCGACAAATATCAGCTCCCGACCAGAGCAACGGCGGCCCCAATACCAGTATACAATGCCGATGGAACAAAGAATCAGGCCGGTTCCATCACGGAGTTCGTCGAACTCAGACTGACCATCAGAGATCACTCCAAGCGAATCGACCTGGCAGTAACAGATCTCAGGACAAAAGAGCTCTTCCTCAGCCATGATTGGCTGATCCGCCACAACCCGTTGATCAATTGGAAGACCGGTCGGGTCACCTTTGCCAGATGCAGATGCAGAAAAACTCCATTCAAACTATCAGATGAGGACCCTGAAGACCGGTGGGATGAGGAGATGGAAGACGGGGAAACCATACTCGCGGTAGATCTCCAGAAGGAAATCCACATATGGGCCATTCACCATGTGAATGACTTGGCCACTAAGGCGAACCAAGGGAAGGGCAAGAGGACGTTTGAGGAGATGGTACCCGAGTGGGCAAGAGACTATAGGGATCTCTTTGAAAAAGAGAGCTTCGACGAATTGCCCACTCCAAAACCCTGGGATCACGCAATCGAACTAATCCCCAACACCAATGCCAATTTAGATTGCAAGACTTATCCACTCGGCCACTACGAGCAGCAGGAACTTGACAAGTTCCTGGATGAAAACCTATCCAGCGGCAGAATCCGTCCCTCGAAATCCCCCATGGCTTCTCCCTTCTTCTTCGTCAAAAAGAAGGATGGAAAACTCCGACCAGTCCAAGATTACCGAAAGCTCAACAAGATGACCATCAAGAATCGGTATCCACTGCCCTTAATCTCGGAGCTGATGGACAAACTCCGAGGCGCCAAATACTACACAAAACTTGACGTACGATGGGGATACAATAATGTCCGAATCAAGGAGGGGGACGAATGGAAGGCTGCATTCCGCACCAATCGGGGACTATTCGAACCAATGGTCATGTTCTTCGGACTCACAAACTCCCCTGCTACCTTCCAATGGATGATGAACGATATCTTTAAAGACCTCATCTCCACTGGGAAGGTAACGATCTACCTCGACGACATCTTAATCATATCCAAAACAAAGGAGGAACATCAGGGTCTAGTACGGAAAGTGTTGTCCCTGATGAGGAGGCACAAACTATTTCTCAAAGCAGAAAAGTGTGAATTCGAGGTACTGGAAACAGAATACCTTGGGGTGATCATCAGTGAAGGAAGCATCCGAATGAATCCGATAAAAGTAGCAGGGGTCACCGAGTGGCTGGAACCCAGCAAAAAAAAGGAATTACAGTCATTCCTTGGGTTCACAAACTTTTACCGATGATTCATTCACGATTACAGCAAGATCATCTGCCCAATGACACAATTAACAGGCAATGCCCCCTGGGGATGGGGGCTCCCTCAAAAAACCGCTTTCAACAACCTCAAACAACGACTAGTGGAAGACGTTGTACTGGCCATCCCAACCCAGAAAGGAAAATTCAGGGTAGAAGCCGATTCCAGTGAGGGGGCAATAGGAGCCATTCTCTCTCAGGAACAGGGTGGGAAATGGCGCCCCGTAGCCTTCCTCTCCAAGGCCTTAACCATCACGGAACAGAACTACGAGATCTACAACAAAGAATTGCTCACCATCATGCTTGCTCTAGAAGAATGGCGACATTATCTCATCAGAGCCGAGGAAATATTCGAGGTCTGGACAGACCATCAAAACCTACGATATTTCCGGCAGCCGCAGAAACTCAATCGACGACAAGCCTGCTGGGTAACAGAGCTCAGCCAATACCAATACACCCTACATCACAAAGCAGGAATGGCAAACAAGAAAGCCGACCTGTTGAGCCGATGATCGGACCACAATCAGGGGGGAACAGACAACAAAGGAGTAACATTATTAAGGCTGGAACATTTCCGAGCCATGATAATGCCAACAGAGGAAGATATACATGAACGGATCAAAAGTGCAATGTGAGACAGTCACAAGTGGGATCAACGGATGGCCCCTTCACTCAACCATGAATGAGGAATGACAAAGGAAGGAGGTTTAATCTGCTATGACGGATGCATCTATATTCCCCATGACCAACAACTGCGTGGTGAGATCATCGCCACCTGCCATGATCACATAACGGCAGGCCACCTGGGCATTGCCAAAACCAAAGAACTTGTCCTACGAGAGTACTGGTGGCCGAAAATGGGAAACAACATAGCGACATATGTAAAGGCTTGCGAAGCCTGTCAACGGGAAAAGTCCTCGACACAAGCCTGAGCAGCGCCTCTACACCCTAATGAGGTACCCTCTCTCCCGTGGACACATATTTCAGTCGATATGATCACTGGCCTGCCCGAATGTAATGGCTACGATGCAATTCTCGTCATAGTAGATCGATTCTCCAAGGCGATCATCCCAATCCCATGTTCCACGGAATTAAACTCGGAAGGATGGGCCAAAATCCTACGAGACGAAGTATATGCCAAACATGGCATGCCCCAAGTCATCATCTCAGACAGGGGTCTCCAATTCGTTTCAAAATTTATCACCGACTTGTACCGCATTCTAAACATCAAACAGAACGCGTCCACTGCCTATCACCCTCAAACAGACAGGCAAACGGAACGCGTTAACCAGGAAGTCGAAAAATACTTACGGCTTTTCATCAATTACCATCAAGACGATTGGATGGAATGGCTTGTGCTCGCAGCCTTTCAGCATAACAACCGCGTACACTCCGCGACAGGGAAGACACCATTCTTCATAAATCATGGTTGTCACCCATACATAACTCGATCAAATCATCTCCGAACGACTACACCTGCGTCATCTGATTTTGCAGCCAACATGGAAAAAATCCATAATGAAACAAAGGCAGCGCTGGAAAAGGCCAGCACAACAATGAAGAAGAACTACGATAAACATCGATGGCCCAGCCATACATACCAACCAAACGATAAAGTATGGTTGGACACAATAAACCTTCACTTACCATGTCCAAAAAAGAAACTCGACGACAAGCAAACAGGCCCCTTCACAGTCATAAAAACCGTCGGTCTAAGCACATACAAACTGCGCTTACCACAAACTTGGAAAATCCATGATGTCTTCAATGAAACGCTGTTACATCCTTACATAGTGCCAGCCTTCCCTAACCAGGAACAACCACCTCCCCCGCCACCAGATTTAATCGACGACGAGGAACACTTCAAAATTGATCATGTCCTAGACCACAAACTCCATCGGGTCAAAGCAAAAGGGGGCGGAATGACAACAACGGTCGACTATCTGGTCAGCTGGAAGGGATATGGCCCAGAATCTAATCAGTGGGTCAACGAAAAATATATGAACGTGGAGGCAGCCATACACGAGTATGAATTATCCCTTAATTAAGCCATCGGGACGATGGTCTTAACGAGGGGGTAATGTTACGATTTTTACTACTTTTCTCACTTTAAACCCCTATCTGTGCTTAGTCACGGCGCTAAGACAAGCGTTTAGGATCATGGGGATCTAGTCAGCACCACTAGCCATATCCACCATTGTCTTTCGACAAAGAGACAGCACTCGACAACGCACAACGAACCTTTTATGTATGGTAGTAATGCCCTAGGACAATGGGCACAAAGGACACAGCAACACACAATAAGTAGTTGTATATATTTAGACATTATCCAGTAGTATTTAAGGAGGTCAGCTCTCGCTGGTAATCCCCAGCTTCGAGCTAAAGTTTATCCATACCACTTTCACTCTCGAGCCTACTTGTCTTAAAAAGCCTTGACAGCACTTCCATTGATATCTGTGGACTTGATCGTTATACCCAAATACGAGGTAGCAATCATTTATCATGTGTTATTAGTCACGTGCAACTGAGGTCAAACAGAGAAAGCAATCATCTCTGCACCTGGCAAGTGATTAAGTAAGTCATATCATTAGGTATGGGTTATGGTCCTGGAGCTGTATTCATAGGAAGGTGATGCTTTTCAGTGGCATAAGCTGCTGAAGACATTTCTATATGAATGGCTTCTGCTTTGACAATGGTGTAGCAATAAGTTCATACAAGAAGCAATAGCTGACATTGTACATATCTGAGTGGAGTTCATCTAGTCACAAAGCTGAAGAGACAGAGAGTAGCTCACATCATCACCACTTGATGTTGATCCACTAGATAACAGAAACAAAAACTACACATTAGAGAGCTCTAACTGAGCATTCTACATTGTAAGTGATGGACAAGACTGCAAAACCAAAAAGCAAGAAGCTCACTTACCTTGACTCCCACATTTGGACATGAGCTACTCCCCTCAAAATGTCCACCACCATGACATAGGAAAGACCTCAATCTGTCCAGTTTTAAAAACAAAATATACACAATCTAAAATGCAGAATGCTAGTTGTAGGAGGAGATAGCCATATCTTGTTTTCCAACTGTGCAAAAACAAAACAAAGAGAGAGGCATTCAGAGCTGGTTATTTGTCATCCACCATTGCCACACAATTTGAGATCTTGCTTTCAAGGTTTATGAGACTCCAAGCTATGCCAGTAGAAGATATAGAACTTGACTACATGGAAAGATCCTCAGTGAGTACATCATTTTATTGTTGAAAGGAATGTGGAACTCAATAAGAGCAGGTGAACTGCACTGTGTATAAGCCACTCCATGAAACATCTTTTCATAACATCTTCAACCTGTCACAGTCCCTTCCACATATGAATGGTGTTGCTGATCTGATTCATGACACTCTTGACAGCTTCATAGCATAGATGGCCTCACATCCAAGTTAGAATTTGGAGAAGTTATACCAGAACACCCTGCACCATGGTAACTCTGTCAAGTTTGATCTCTTTAGTCTCAAAGAGGAGGCTGGTAACACAGAGGCTCACTGGCAGCAACACAGACTCTGGAGCAAAGATTCCACCAGGTACATCTACTAACAATCAGAGCATCAGCTGTACAAATATGAATATGTCCCACACTATGATGTCTCTGGTGAGTTTAAAGCTTGGATAATGTATCTCCTGGAGCAGAAGAGAGTCAATGGTGCAGAGTATTACTGGAAGTCAATGGTGCTTTCATGTGTGGACATACCCAAAGATCCCATCAGGTTTGACTGCTGGTTTGACTCTCTTGTGTTGAAGGCTGACAAGACCCTCCATTGCAGCACTGTTCACAATGAACAAACCAACAACACATTCATAGATGCACTATCAGCCAGTCCATTAGGGTCAATGATGGTGATGATAGGATATCTATACCCTCAGCACAATCTCTTATGGCATCCACCTCCACCAGTCCTCTATGCTCCTATTTCCAAAGTCATCATCATGGTGCCCAGCTGGCTTGGTGAAGAGTCATCATTCATGCTTGTGCCTCATGCACATGTATCATAATCAACCATGGGAAGTGTGCAAGGAATATCTACAAAATTCTGTTTTATTTCTTTTCAGAATGAGAACAGCATTCCAAACTCACTTCTAAGATCAAGAAGAACTGAAGATATGATTGACTGACTACTAGGCTCAACAATATTTTGCTGCTGGCTTCCTTGAGATCAACAGTTCTTCATTGGTGAGCAGGAGAAGAGCAGTTCAGTAGAAATGGTGAGGTGATAGAGAATGCTGTTGCTAATGGTGATGGTGGAAGAAAAGAAAGACAGGAAGGTATAGAGTGGTGCAGGAAGGATAACCATCATGGCCCCATCATGACCTGTTCACCTTCAACCCCTTCAACTTTGAGCTTGACATCCATGATGGTGTAATTCCTTCTATGAGTTTCTTCCTCTCTTTTAATGGGTTCACCTCTTTCAGCTAGTAGTGCACAGGCTTGATCTCAAAGGAACTGCCTGTGTATCATTTGATCCATTCTTATTGCTCTTTGTACTGACTGAGGAAACTACAGAGTTTCTTCTTCATGGCCATATTTCATTCTCTAATGCAACTGATTCACCCATACATCTCTGAATTGAAAGGGACACAAGCTATGGCTGTGGAATGTCCTTCTATATGTCCTCAACACTGAATTGTGTTCTCACTCACTGTCAGATGCCACAAATTCTGTGAGGATGCATCTATCTCATGATGGATGACAGCTATACTGTGCCAGTCACACTATGAATGCTTGCTCATCAATTTGGATAAATGCCATTCCAAGTAGTGTTGATGAGAGGAGGTGGAGAGTTATGTTCCTTTTTGTTTCCATCTTATGCAGTGACATGCCTGTGTGCCATCAAGGCTATGGCTGCCCTTGCTAATGTCTTGCTGCAGTGGAGGATTGTGCTTTTCCATCTTCCTCCCAAGGAGAGATAAGCATTGGGCTTGCAAGACAAGACTGATAATGTCTGGCAGTGAGTGTAGTGCACCAATCAACATGCTAGAGTGTACACTTGTATGTATGGAGAGGATAGTGTATCATTCAAAGTATCCAACAGAGAGTCAGTTGTGCAGATAAATGTGATGAATTCATCTTGACTGTTACTTTCATTATGCACATTTTTATCTCCAATCTGAATGTGCCTTTCTCTGCAGCTGACAGAAAGGCCATTAAATTTGTACCCTAGCTCCATTTCAACTGGTCAGGCCTGGTACCACTGTTGAATGCCAGAATGACAGCACACAGAATCCTCATTTGGAAGTACTCCTTTTGTTACAGCTCCAAGTCTTGTTATTGCCTCCAAGTTACTTGGGATGTGGAATCAATCTTAGATACAAATGAGAATTTTATCTGAGTTTACAATGCAATAAAATAGGGTTGTTCATTTCATATACTTTGTCTTATATATATGCTGTTTGCTTGATTTAGGTGTCTACTATGTATTCTGGATTCAAGTCCTGGTGACAGGCTTAAGTAGGGGAGTGTTTATATTTCCTCAAATATTGCAGTCTAGCAGGTGCATTTTTGCAGTGTTGGATTGCAGTAGTATGCTTTGAGGTAATGGGACATACATGGCATTCATTGAAGACATGAATGTTGACTGATGCCCTGCAGAAGATCTCAGAGGAATACTTGTCAATATTACCTCATTATAATGACAATAACCTTGCAAGACAATGTATCCAACAGAGCATCCCCATTGACATGAATGATTGTGCCCTTCTCTGTGATTAAATGTTTACCCTAGCTCCATCTCAACAGCTCTGGTGTGGTACCACTGTTGAATGCCAAAATGACAGCATGCAGATTTCTTGTTTGGAAGTTTTCTTTTCATTACAACTCCAAGTCTCATTGCTGCTTCCAAGTTACTTGGGATCTGGACATGAACAAGGTCTTTATCTGAGCTTACAATAAACACAGTTGTTCAGTTCATATACTGTCTTAACTGTTGCTGTGTGGCTTAGATGTCCACAAATAATTCCGGGTTCAAGCCCTGGTGGTAGCCTTCTTTGTGGGAGTTAGTTGTTTTTCTTGAACAGTGCAGTCTAGGGAGTACATTTTTGCAGAATTCAATTGCTGTGTTATGCTCGATGTATCTAACTTTCTAAAGTTAGATCTTGAATTTGGATGTAAAATGTGTTGAGGGATCTCATCTGATGCAATATTGATTTATTCATTGTATATCTATAAAGCCACACTGCATAGAAATGGGGACAATTTTGGTCAACCGAGGCCAGTTAAATGGACAGATGATAAATCAAGTCTACTCTACTGATGTTGAACCCCAAATCTTGGTGTCAATAAACAGGTCACTGCTGCCCTCCAAAGCTTTGAGGAACAAATCGAATGCCTATGAAAAATTTGTTTAGCTCATTCAAAGCCTCGTAAGGCATGATTTTATGGATAATGACTCAATACTATTCATTAGATCCAGTAGCATTAATCTGAAAGGCATCAGAATGTACAGATATGGATAGAGCTGCAGTCTAAGTAAGCACATTTACATTGTAGAAACGAAGCCAAGTCTGATCCTATAACAATATCGCCTTTCACTGAGATGACTACTTAGTATTCTAGTTGGTTCCTACCCATCCAAGGTATCAAATCCTGCACCCTCTAGTCGAAAGGATGATCCCACGATAAAGGATTAAAGATCAATCTACCCTGCAGCAGAATTTAGACACCAGTTCTGGCGTCCTGCGGTCTTTCTCTGGGAAGGATGAAAGACGAATCCGGAAGACGAAGTAGCATAACTACGTAGTCACTTCACGATTCGCAGTTGTAAAATCTCATTCGGCATAGCTGATGCTCCAGGGTTCAGAGATGCTTACGGTCAAGCCCGTACGGAATGGACAATGACGACCGTCTTTTTCTTTGTGTCCTCATATCTTTCCGGAAAAAAACCCAGAGAAAATGGATAGATACGAGCGGTGACGTCTGCACCATCTCCAGCTAACACTAAACTCCCTCCTCGTTGTAAGCCCGTCAGGACAACCATTTTTCTCTGTGGACAGACTATGCCTTGGGAACGAATTTGTATATTCTCTAATAACCTGCGATAAAAATGGTTAGACCCAGCACGAATGAGCAGCCCGGAAATCTTACCTTGATCTGGTCTCGTATGAACGACCCGTCCCTCGTCAAAAGTACCCCTCAACTCCTCTCTAGCATCATGAAACCGTAGTGGGAACTTGTTGATGCACATAAATCGAAGCGATTGGAGAGCAGGGACGTGCATTCATATTAATCTTATGAGGACAGTGTAACCGTACGGTGTAGCTATTGTAATCATTAGGCGAATACGTCCTCGTAGGACCTATACCATCTGGAAACGCGAGTCAGTGTAGCAGTGTGATAAGACTAATGGGGATATACAGGAGAGCATCCCTCATGGCTATTGCCTTGGCAATCCAGAGATTCAGATGCAGTAGAGAACGAAATATGGCCAGTACAACGTGCTCGCTCAGTTACAAAAAGCAACAAGAAAGGACCAGAAGATGCATGGGTAGTTCCTTACCAGTCTTCTTTGAATGCAAACCCATACACGGGGAGCTGAAAAAGGCGGTCTCTGTTAGAAGGAATAGATATTGCGTCATTGTTTGAAGGGAGGACGAGGTTGTCACGATGCCGTGATGGTTGTCCATCCGTTAAGGCCTTTCCATCTTTCTTTCCTTCCTTCCACCACCATCCCGGTACTCAGTCCCTAGCAGCAGCATCGTCTATCACCTCGCCATCTCTATCAGATAGTGCAATGTTTATCTTCCGCTCACTGATGAGGAACCACCACTCTCGAGGAAGCCAGCAGCGACATTATCAAGCTCAGCGCTCTGTCAAATGTACCTTTGGTTCTTCTTGGTCTTAGAAGTGAGTTTGGAATGCTGTTCTCATTCTGAAAAGAAATAAAACAGAACCTTGTAGATATGCCTCGATATTCGGACCGCGCTTCCCTTCGTCGACTACAATACATGTGTGAGGCACAAGCATGAACAGTGACCCTCCACCAAGCCAGCTGGGCACCGCGACGATGACTTTGGGAATGGGGGCATAGAGTACTGGTGGAGGTGCATACCATGGGAGGTTGCATTGAAGGTACGAATGTCCCATCATTGCTGTCGTCGACCCCGATGGGCCGGCCGATAGCACATCTATGAATGTGTTGTTGGTTTGTTCATCGCGAACGGCGCCGCGATGGAAGGTCTTGTCGGCCTTCGACACAAGGGAGTCAAACCAGCGGACAAACCCGACGGGATCCTTGGGCATGTCCACACGTGGAAACGCCACTGGTTTCCAGTAGTACCCTGCGACATCGACCGTCTTCCGCTCCAGGAGATGCGTTATCCAAGCCTCGAACTCGCCGGGGACATCGTGGCATGGGACATATTCGTGTTTGTACAGCTGATGCTCTGATTGTTGGTGGATGTACCTGGTAGGATCTTTGCTCCGGAGTCCGGGTCGCTACCAGTGAGCCTCTGCGTTACCGGCCTCCTCCTCTTCCAGACCAAAGGGATCGAACCCGGACGGGATCACTGCGGTGCGGGGTGTTCTGGTATAACTTCTCCGAATTCTGACTTGGATGTGAGGCCATCCATGCCATGAAACTGTCGGGAGTGTCCTGAATCGGATCAGCATTCGTATGCGAGAGGGACTTTGACGGGTCGAAGATGTTATGAAAAGATGTCGCGTGGAGTGGCTCCATACCCCATCGCTTCCCTCTTTCCTTCCTCCATCATCATCATCTTCCGCGTTCGCCTGGAGCAGTGAGCGTGCGACTGTGAAATCGTACCAACCTCATTCCCGGTCTCCGTCACGCGCCCACGCACCTGTCTCCCACCAGCTCTCCCCCAGCGCGAACAACATGCAACCCGTTGAGTTGGGTTGGATGTATGCGGCCTGGGCATGACGTTGATTCTGCACACTTAGCCATATATTCGCGGACCACATACACTCTTTTCGCATCACGTCACTGACATTATTTTCTCCCTTTGACCCGTGGAATAACCGGGCCGCTATGGGCTAATGGGTTCTGACCTGGTCCTTGAAAACAGCTATTCGACAGACAAACCTTGTATCTTTGTGTCCTGACGGATTTGCGAACAGCTTTCGCAGGAGAATCAGTTGCCCGCAATTCTGCTGCCACGAGATCAGCCGACGTCGGGGCTAGCCACCCGCTCGACATCGGATGACTTACATGTTCCTTCGGGCGATGCCGGCCGACAGTTCTGCGATCAACGTCGCGGAAATTTGCATTGTTAGTAACGCGTTAATTATCGGAACGCTCGACTGACTAACGCACCGGTTCTCTACGCACGAATTGACCAATGGGCGTTTCCGAAGCAGCGTGCCTGCGCAGTTTCTGCCTTACTGACAGCGCATCAGATGACTGAAGCATAAGTCCCGCCTGACTCAAACCGCGGCACCAATCATACGCATGACTGACAAACAGAACTTTGATGCCCAGAGCTATAACCGTAGTTGAATAACTACAACTGATATAAAATCAACGCTCCGAAGAGTTTCTAACATCGTCACCATCATGCCTTCATCCCTCGACCTCGGCATTCCATCTTCGCAGTCGATTGCGACTGTCAAAGCCATCAATGTCGGCGGGCCTTCGACGCTTCTTCCCGCAGCGTTCTTTCTTGAACCCGTTCGTCCGGGTTATGAAACAATGACAGCGCCTGTCTACGCTTTCTTTATTGAACATAGCGCTACGGGAAAACGTCTTATGTTCGACTTGGGAATGCGCAAGGACCAGGAGGGTTTCCCCCCCGCGATTCAGCAGATGCTGACGACGTGGAGAGATCTTGGGTTTGGAATAGTAGTTGATAAGGATGTTCCCGAGAAACTCCAGGAGGGCGGTGTCGACCCCGCCACTATCAACGCAGTCATTTGGAGGTAACTTTTTTACTGTTTAAATGTTACAGCTGACTCTCGAATCTCCTTTTCTAGCCATAGCCATCTCGATCATACTGGTATTCCTCTTTAACTCAGATATAAAAGTATGTTGATTAACAGGGTCCGCAGGTGACATGTCCAAGTTTCCGAGCACCACAGAACTTGTCATTGGTCCCGGTATGGATACCCGTACTTTCCCCACCACTCCCGAGTCTCTCCTCCTCGAAAGTGACTTTGTGTTAGATTATCCAATCTCGCTCGTTCTATATCATGGCTGATGTAAATCACATTATAGAGGCCGCAAAGTAACGCAACTTTCCCTGGACAATTTCGTGCTGACTATTGGAGACTACGACGCCCTCGATTACTTCTCCGATGGTAGCCTCTACATTCTCAATTCTCCGGGGGTGAGTACCCTCAAACCCTGCTTTTATAAAATTTTATCATTGACCATACTTATATATAGCACCAATCCGGACACATTACTGTCCTCGCCCGAGTCACTCCTACGACATTCGTGTTATTAGGCGGTGATTCGTGCCATCATATGGGTCAGATCCGCCCCACAGCTGACCTCCACAATCACTTCCCCTGCCCTGGGCGCATCCTCGAGTCCCTCGAAGACCTCTCAGTTTCCTCGCGTACCACCCCTCTACTATCCGTTCCGTCCGGACAATCGGCCTATGCTGATCCGAAGATTGCTACCGAAACAATCACCAAGCTAGGGAAGCTTGACGCGAGCCCGGACATCCTGGTTCTGATTGCACATGACTGTACCGTTCCCGGTGTGATTGACGAGTTCCCTGAGAGCGTGAACGATTGGAAGGCGAAGGGGTGGAAGGAAAAATTGACATGGGCGTTTTTGGAGAAGGACAGTCCGGCGTTTAGATTTGGAAAGACTTGAGGGTTTTTTTTTTGGTTTTATGGGAGTTTATTTATCTTATCTTTGGCGTACCGAATGCATCCACCCAACTTGATCTTATTGCTTGCGTCCGCTCTGGATAACCATTTGGAAATCTGGGGGTCTTGCATCAACCCTGATTTTCTTGAGCTCAAGTCAGGTCCTGTCTAATGCGCGCTCTGACAGGATTCAGATAAATGAGTGGAAGCTAATCAATCCCAGATGTTGTATCAACAAGGGTTCTGACGGCGGAGCGCTCTCGACTGAGGATCGTAAGAAACGATTCCAATCTTCACATGAAACGGGGTAGGAAGGCGTTTGATTCGGGGTCAGGTTACTACTCTTCTCATTTCTCCGTTGATGTTGGATAAGGTCAGAAAAGGAAACCAAATAATCGGTCTTGGCATCCGAACCCTAACCCCAGTTTCCGTTACACTTTCATTTCAACCCTTCACCATCGGCAGGAGGGACTTTACTTTCTTTCCCTCTTCTTCTCGCCTTCGGTGGGCGAAAGGGGTGTATAATAGTTTTCTTGGTAAGATAGTACTCAGAGCGGCGATACTCGGGCTAATGTGACCCTATATAGGTTCCTTCCGTGTCCTCCCTGGCTCCACCATCGTTTTGGGGCGTCCATATACCATCTAATTGCCCACGGATCCCTTTTTATATATCTATCAGTCCAATAGACTTACAGGATACCACTGTTTCCCTCTGTTACAGGGTACCACCAGCTCTTGTTGTCGTCTAGTCGCGGCAAACGATTCCAATAACCCCCGAATTTAATCGCCACGAACGTTTTCTGTACGCCCTTTCTTGATTTGTGGATCAAACTGACTGATAACAGTGGCAGGATTGCTTAAATCGTTTGGCATGGAGTCGAGCAACGACCTATACGATGCAGCCTACTCGGGATTCATGGACAGTCAACCGACGAGTGCGACCCTCTACATGCCTATAGCGTCGCCACCGACACCAGCACCATCGCCTGGACCATCTAACGTTGCGCTTTCCTTGTCCCCGTTTCCACAAACGCCGACTCTCCGCCGCCAATACATATCAGCGCTCCTATCCACCTGCACTCCCACGGAACTGCTGTACATCTCCACGACGATCGCGCCCTTGCTCAAGCGCGATTTTCTCTATTCCCTCCCGCCAGAGCTGGCGCTACACGTTTTGAGCTGGATCGATGACCCGAAAACGCTAGGAAGGGCGTCACAAGTGAGCCGACATTGGAGGACGCTCGTGGAGGATGAGGCTGTGTGGAGGAGGATGTGTAGGCTTTGGGAGTTTGGGTCCCCGGTGCAGAGAGCTTTTCTGGATGATGGGGATGACGATGATGATATATGGGGGCAGGGAAAGAAAAAGCAGAGACATCGTTTCAGCACGTTGCTCTTTTCCTACAAATCCCATTTCAAGTACTCGTACTCGACCAGTGAGTTCGTCTTCCCCTCACGTCTACTGCACAGCTCATAATCATCTAGTGATGAACTGGCGCTATGGCGGCCGCCTGCTTCGTGCCCACCGTGTGCCGGTCGTCAATCCAACGAACGGCGTTATCACCTCCATCGCCTTGGATGATGATTGGGTGGTGGTCGGACTCGCAAATTCGCGAATACATGTGTTCAGTACTCGGACAGGTGTTTTGGCTCGGACTCTTGTGGGCCACGAATCCGGCGTTTGGGGGGTGTGCTTAGTCAGTTGCGGAGGAAGAAGGAGAAAGAGGGAAGAGAGCCTGGGGATGGAGGAGGATGGCGAGGAGTGGAATATTCCTCATTCGCTGCGAGTTGCCCTTGGTTTAGAGGGCGAAACCGACGAGGAGGATGGCGAGGATGACGACACTGAGAACCCCCATTTCGGGATCTGTGGTGCGTCTGAAGGATGGGGCCAGCCGAATTCTCTCGTCGTCAGCGGCGGCTGCGACAAAGTCATACGGGTGTGGGATGCCAAGTCCGGATACTGCATATACGTCTTGCATGGACATACGTCGACGATACGGTGCATCAAGATGCTGCACAATCGACCGATTGCAGTTAGTGGGTCTCGGGATTCGACGTTACGCGTTTGGGACGTACAGAGGGGGAAGATGCTGAGAGTGTTGGCTGGACACCATGATAGTGTGCGGTGTCTGGATGTCTATGAGAATAGGGCGGTCAGTGGGAGCTATGATCATACCTGCCGGGTTTGTACAAAACTACGACTCTCTCGCCTTCCTGTTCTGATTAATATCTAGGTATGGGACGTCGATACGGGCCAGTGCATTCATGTGTTGCGAGGGCACTATCATCAGATATATTCTGTCGCGTTTGATGGTGTGCGTATCGCTTCGGGAGGTCTGGACACCACTGTTCGAGTATGGGATGCTGAGACTGGGTATGTTGACGGCTCCTTCATTGGCAATGACTGACCTGTTCGCGTGCAGCGTCTGCATTGCGCTGTTGCAAGGACACACGGCGCTCGTTTGCCAGCTCCAGCTGTCTCCTACGATCCTCGCGACGGGGGGCTCTGACGGGCGGGTGATTACATTCTCATTGTCGTCGTACGGTGTGCTGCACCGTATCGCTGCGCACGATTCGAGCGTGACGAGTTTGCAGTTCGATGGACGGTGGCTCGTGACGGGTGGGAATGACGGGCGGGTGAAGTTGTTTGAGACTGATACGGGGATTCCTGTGAGGGATCTGACGGAGGCGAGTGAGAGTGTGTGGAAGGTGGCGTATGGGAGGGATAGGGAGACGCTTGCGGTTATGTGCCGGAGGGCGGGGAAGACTGTTATGGAGATTTGGAGTATGAAACCTGGGAAGGATGTTTAGGGCTGGTGCGGTGGTTGGTTGTTTTTTTACGGTTCCCGGCACTGATATGGTAGTTTAATGGTCGTTTATAATGCACGCATTGTGAATACATTCTTTTCATGGTTTGCCGAGAGAGAATAAAGTACATACGGCCTTTGAGTATTGTGCGATCGGGAGATGCTGTTGGGAGATTCATAGAGCAGTTCGTTCAGTATGATTCGAAAGATGTATAATTCGACCAAAGTCTTAGCTTAGCATGAGTGCTGGTGTTACGCTTACGAGGGTCTATTGGGTTTCGGATTGACAAGTAACCGGTGAGCAACGGTACTCGGAACCTCAGGCTGTGGGGGGCATGGGGACTTGTGAGCGATAATTTCACTGTATGATGATCGGCGCGTCAAAAACTATGAAGTGGATTCAGCTGCAGCATAATAAAGTTATCGCGGCAAAAGAACCATGTCCGAGGTGAAAGAGCGAAAGCGCTTGGCTCGGTGTGTCTCCGAAGAGAGCCACTGTTTATTTGCGCGGGTCGAACTCGTGGTCTCTATGAACAAGCGAGCAAGCAGTTCAACTCCTGTACCTTGGAAGTTATATAAGTGATGGGACCCCTGACGCTCAGGGACTAAGCATCTTTCGTGAGAATGCATTCTTTGGATCACTGGCAGGTTATTCTCGCTTTCTTCTGGGTTCTGACGAATTGAAAACCAAGAACGAAGCCAGGAAAGGTGGGCCATATCCTACGTGTTATTACTTTGCTACAGACCGCCGCAGGGGGCCTTTTCTGACCTTATCCTACATCGACGGAGAAGTGAGAAGAGTAGTAACCATTTCATGTGAAGATTTGAATCGTTTCTTACGATCCCCATCGAGAGCGCTCTGCCGTCAGAACCCTTGCTGATACAACAACATCTGGGCTTGGTTAGCTTCCACTCATTTACCTGACTTGAGCTCAAGAAAATCAGACTTGATGCAAGACCCCCAGATTTCCAAATGGTTATCCAGAGCGGACGCAAGCAATAAGATCAAGTTGGGTGGATGCATTCGGTACGCCAAAGATAAGATAAATAAACCCCATAAAACCAAAAAAAAAACCTCAAGTCTTTCCAAATCTAAACGCTAGACTGTCCTTCTCCAAAAACGCCCATGTCAATTTTTCCTTCCACCCCTTCGCCTTCCAATCATTCACGCTCTCAGGGAACTCATCAATCACACCGGGAACGGTACAGTCATGTGCAATCAGAACCAGGATATCCGGGCTCGTGTCAAGTGTGCTTAGCTTAGTGATTGTTTCGCGTGCAATCTCTGGATCAGCATAGGATGATTGTCCAGACGGAACGGATAGTAGAGGGGTGGTACGCGAGGAAACGGAGAGGTCTCCGAGGGACTCGAGGATACGCCCAGGGCAGGGGAAGTGCTTGTAGAGGTCAGCTGTGGGGCGGATCTGACCCATATGATGGCACGAATCACCGCCTAATAACACGAATGTCGTCGGAGTGACTCGGGCGAGGACAGTAATGTGTCCGGATTGGTGCTATATAACAGTATGGTCAATGGTACATTTTATAAAAGCAGTATTTGAGAGTTCTTACCCCCGGAGAATTGAGAATGTAGAGGCTACCGTCGGAGAAGTAATCGAGGGCGTCGTAGTCTCCGATAGTAAGCACGAAATCGTCGAGGGCAAGTTGCGTTACTTTGCGGCCTCTGTGATTTACGTCAGTCATGATATAGAACGAGCGAGATTGGATAATCTAACACAAAGTCACTTTCGAGGAGGGGAGACTCGGGAGTGGTGGGGAAAGTACGGGTATCCATACCGGGACCAATGACAAGTTCTGTGGTACTCGGAAACTTGGACATGTCACCTGTGGACCCTGTTAATCAACATACTTTTACATCTGAGTTAAACAAAAATACCAGTATGATCGAGATGGCTATGGCTAGAAAAGGAGAGTCGAGATTCAGCTGTAATACATTCAAACAACAAAGAAGCTACCTCCAAATGACTGTGCTGATAGTGGCGGGGTCGACACCGCCCTCCTGGAGTTCCTCATAAACATCCTTATCAACAACTATCCCAAACCCAAGATTTCTCCACATCGTCAGCATCTGCTGAATCGCGGGGGGTAAACCCTCCTGGTCCTTGCGCATTCCCAAGTCGAACATAAGGCGCTTCTTCGTTGCCCTATGTTCAATGAAGAAAGCGTAGACAGGCATTGTCATTGTTTCATAGCCCGGAAGAACTGGTTCAAGCACTTGCGCTGCAGGAAGGATCGTCGAAGGCCCGGCGACATTTATGGCTTTGACAGTCACAATCGACTGCGAACATGGGATGCCGAGGTCGAGGGATGAAGACATGATGGGTGGAGTGTTAGGAACTCTTCGAAGGGTCGAATTTATATCCGTGGTAGTTATTCAACTACATCAAAGTCTGGTTTGTTAACGGCAACCCATACGTATGGTAGGTGCCGCGACTTTAGAACTTCAAGCCCACAAACTGCAGAGCCACGCTGCTTCTGAAGTGCCCATTGGTCAATTCGTGCATGTAGAACCGATGTTTTAGTCAGGCGAGCGTTTCGATGATATTGACACGTTAATAGACATGACAATTCCCACGACGTCGATCGCAGAACCGTCGGCCCGCGACGCCCGGAGAACCGAAGGAACGATGAAAGTAACGCTTCAAGCCGATGTCGAGCGGGAAACTAGCTAGAGATCACCATATTGAGTAAGTAAATCTCCACGAAGGCTGTTGGCACATCCGTCAGGACACAAAGATACAAAGTGCGTCTGTCAAATAGCTGCCTTCGAAAAGCCAAGTTAGAACCTGACGTTAGCATATAGCGGCCCGGTTTTTCCACGGGACACTTCACAGTTGAAACTTAAGATATCGATGTGAAGGTGTCTATATGGATCACGAACATATAATCAGTGCGCAGAATCAACCTTGTGACCGCGCCAAATACGCCCGGCCAGTTGAATCGGTTCTCTAGGTGTTAGTCACGTGGGGAGAGAGCTGATGGGGACGCGATGCGACCTGGGAAGGATTGGAGAAGGGCGGAGAGGCAGGTTGGTAAGACTTCACAACGCACTGATGGGAGAAGGAAGAAGGGAGCGATGGGGTATGGTGAGGATCGTGCCTTTTTATACTCGTTGAGTGGTCCTTGCAAGGCCAATTTTTATGACGGTTGACGGCCGTCCTCTATACGGCCGTACACCGTATACGGTACGTCTGCGAAGCCCTATTTGAACTGGGCCGCGGTCCGTCATTTCGTCATATATCAACACCGCGTCATTATCAAGCGGATGACGTCGTCGCTATTGTTGGTAGTACTGGCGGCGTTGCACAGGAAACTCCGAACTAGACACTGCAGAAACTTAAAGTAGTGATGTGCGGGCCGGGCTTGAGCTTAATGGGCTCGGCTTTTGCGGGCTCAGGCTTCGAGAAAGTACGAAGCTCAGTCGGGCACAGCGGTGGTGAAACGGCTGAGGTACATGGTGTGAGAATTCACTTGTCTTCTCCTGTCTCTTCTCCAAATATAATGTGTAAAATATACCAGAGAGAGTTGGGTTTAGAAGCTGGCGAGGCTTCATTAGCCAGCTTACAGCTACTTAAATACAACCAATGTACCTATGGTAATAATTAAGCTGTACGTAGTCCAGGAAATGCATAGCTAGTGATGGCCGTCCATGTGGCAACGTTCCCACTTCTAGTCGCTACGGGGCTATGAATCAATTCCAATTCCAACACACGGGTAGCTACGGTTGGACTATATAGTCGATCGGGAAGGGACAGGAGGCATATGTATATATATGGTAAGTAAGAACGAGTGACGATCGAAAGAGTGATAATCAACGAAGTAAAACACACGGGTATATGGACGGATATCCTCCAACAATAGCATACATATTTGATTCCTCCTAAATCATAGAAAAACACTCAGTAAATGTATGGAAAAACCACATACAAAAATCCCAGGGCTTTGGGCTTTCAAAGCAACGAGCCGAGCCCACCACAGTGGGCTCAGGGCCGGCTTGGGCCCAAGCCAAAGCCCGCACATCACTAACTTAAATAGTGTCATTCCCTTTGTGTGAAATATATGGAAACGGGAGATAAGAGATCCAGGTCGGCGCTAGCGTTCTTCATCTTCTTCAACGTCGGCCTATACATAAAAATTCAGATGTTTCATCCAGAGATAAAGGCGCGATAGGCAAGAGTGAATGCACCCATGATGGCCGGCGTCATGACTGATAACGGATATATCAATCAACCCTTTTTTTTGGAAGGCCTGTACACGAAGATTCAGATGTTGCATCCAGAGATAAAACATACAAATATGCGTGTGACCAGAAGTCCAGGGATGGTCCGACGTGAACAGACTCCTTTTTTGGAAGCGTATGGAATCTTGACAGGTGCGACCACCAACTTTGTTTCCCAACTGGTCATTAACGCGAAATTGCCTTCTTTGATCACTGCAGGCTGCTCACAGCTCTTCGGAGTTCTTCAGAATCAAAAATCAAGATGGCGAGGGGAAATGTGGGCCCGTCTTACGCTGTTAATTATTTAATATTTATTGACAGTACCGAGGACTTCACAGACTGCCGCAGGACTCATGGCCCGTATCAATACCTGCCTCTCCCTTTCACCGTACTATCTCCTCTTTATCACAATCTCTGTTTCACGCTGATGCTCATATTCATCAGCATGACATTAGTATACATCGTCTCCTAATGCTTAATGCTTCTCTATGTTGTCAGTATTGGAATTCTCTCCAGCAATATTCACCTTGCTACTGGTTTAATTCTTCTAAATGCATTCGAAGAGCCCAGTACGCATTATTCATTCACACAAAATCTTCTTCTCTAATTTCAAAGGCTCTTTCCCAATGCATACGTGAGGCAATGGGTGTGATTTTCTCCATAATCCCGGGTACGTGGTAACCGATACTTTATTTCAACACAACTTGGAAATATAATTCCGAGTAATACTTGGCGTGGTAAGGACTCTGTACATCGAACGTTTGCAATCTTGTATTGACGGTTTACTCTTTGGAATCCAGTGAGCATCTCTTTCCGTCGTATCTTCCTAGATACGAGACCATTGAGCTGCGCTATAAAGACGACCGCTTTTAGCCTGTAGATCACATGGGTGATGGCGTTGACCAATATCGACCTCACTCAGTCCGCTCAAAGAGTCTTGAAATGGCAGACCATATCAGAAGCGTCTTCCGATGGGTAGTGATCATATAACTCCGAGAACGTCAATGCCGCAACGTCACATGAACATGAAATGGCGCGCAGCAGTAGTCACGACGTATACTTGCAGCATGCGACTTCCCTTCGTTCTCTTTCTTATATTATTACTTATTGAGGAGATTAACCTCATTGGTTTCCAGAAACGCCGCCTAGAAAATTTTTCCGTGCTGTGCTTCTTACGACATCTCAGTAAGTTTCCGCCATGCTCGGGTTATCATCCCAAACTATACACTCCAAACGGTATTACGCCCGTATGAGCACCCCTGTTCTTTCGATTTCCATGCTGCTGCCATGCAAATCTGTTGCGTTATGTACGGAGGACTCGGCGCCTCTGTTCATCCACAACTTATCCGAGTCCGACTTGAAACGGTCGCAATCAAGCTACCGTCACGACACATACCAATATGTCTGTGGGTCTTCACGATACTGAGTGAAACTTACTATATTGCCGATCTCTGCATTCACAGGCGTATCGATCTCTCGAATGGTGATATTTTCCCACTTGCGCCCAAAGGTATATTGATATGGCCGGAGTTTCACCCCAATAGAGTAACAGAGACAACGTTATCGAATGTATTCCTGTCTCGTCCGCTCCACCACCTGACTATCTCCATGACACCCATGGCTCTTGAGTGGGAATCCCATTGACACTTGTCCCGCACCCAGCCATTATAAGATGGTACATAGATAACTCCCGACAACTTCTACGCGCCTATTCAAAGGAACCACATGCTTAACGAAAGTGCTTTACCCGTTGTAATGAAGATGACTTATATTGCAACACTGACCGCCGCGCCCCGTGGCTTTATCATTTCCCAATTGATAACATTATTCAGATCATTATCAGTGAGCCGCTACTCTACTACCAAGTCTACCGTTTGCTCATCCTTCTCTTCTTACAAGATCGCAATGCGCCGCGTTACTACCCCCCAAGACGTCACCAAATTGTTACTACCAATTACAAACCGCATTCTCATTCATATGTCGCTCCTTTGGTGCTCAAGATATTATACGGACGGCACCTGTATCCAAGTGCACGTATCTATCCTCTTTAGTTTAAAAATCGCCATCGCTCACTTCTTGCCTCAGATCCCTCAAAATTGTGAAAGCAAAAATGTTAGCTGTGAAAAGAGACTTTGGCGGATATAGAAAGCTCACCAAACGCCGGGTCTTTGAAGCTTACCTTCGGGAAATGGCCGAAGACATCAAGGATATGATAGACTCTTTCCTAATAGCAAGACTCCCCTGTCTCCTTCAAACGTTGCGTCAAGCTGATGCGTTTTCTAGGCCTGGACTCGTCACCCAAATGAATGCAGCTTATCGACAATTTGTCTTGAGGAAACGACAATACACAGTCGCGTGTGGGAACTCATGAAGGATTGTACTGTCTCTGAACCAAGGAAACGGCGATCATCATTTATTTCAGAACGGATCACAAATGCTCTACTGCGTAAACGGGGCTATGAGGCACTCGCAGGATAGCGAACCTTCATAACAGAGATATTTAGGTATAAGAATCAAGCTGCAAATGTCTGGAAATCGGAAAGGTGAAATGGTAAATGAGGAGAAGATACGGCGTCACTCGAGCAGTGACTCATCGCGCTTTCTTGAGTACTTCAAGATTATCGATACCATGCCTTTGGCTGATTGCGAAGGAGGAATACTGTGGTCCTTGAAGTTGGACAGATTGGTATTGGGACCGTAAAAGCACCGCTTTCGCATTCTTTATTCCCAGCGACCCTCAGGCCGAATGAGACAATTGTTGCAATATAATGTGCTGTGCCGATGATAATACTGTTAAAGACAAGGATCGAAGGACGATGGTCCGGTTCGGGATCATGTATACGTTCCTGCGTATTGAATACATAGTCAAAATGCTCTTTCTTTGAAAGAAAAAAGAAATATATTTGGAGCTCATACAATTCTCAGAATATAGAATGCTCGCGAATGGTCAACACGCAACCCCGCAGCTTGTAAACGTGGGTAAAATCATATCTAGCCTCTTTGAAGTCTAAGGATTCGGCTCATAGAATCCTCCCCGGATTTCTCGGGTTGCCATTACGCATCAGAAACTCGGCCATAGGATATCAGAGTAGCGAAGCTCGCTCACAAGGCTGCTCCTTGACCTGCAGAATACCTCGCTGCCGCAATCTAGGCATCTGCATTCGAATACTCTCTGCTCGATTCAGGCTCCCAGGCGGGCAGGTTCTACAATGAGAAGGCCACGAACAAAGCGGGCGATACGTCACTTCGAACTAATGCGACTTTGTGAAGGATGTGGCTTCGACTGCTATACAGAAACGAATGAGCTACTAAAGAGCAGGCTCTCAGCGCTGGTGTATCATCGTGATTGAAGCTTATTATGTGCTCCAACAGCTCTTGGTAAAGAACAGGCAACGTCTTGTTGGCGCACATGAGCTTCGCTGTCGGTTCGCAGATGACAAGTGGAAGAGAAAGTCGGTGCCATGTCGACTCGGACTCATATCCGATTGCTTGCTAAATCAGCTTGATATGGGCGTCGATAGGTGCGATATTCCGCAAACCCTTTATCAACGACGTGCTGCAAGCTTGGAAGCATTTCCGCTAGTGATAATTCAGAGAGATTACGAGAAGGCCATAATTCAAATAAGTAACTTCGCAATGCTACCGGTCAGGATGCCTGGCGGCCCGTTGACCCTGGTGGTGACAAGATACCGACACGCAATTACTTATTGGTTGCCCATTCATGAGCCAACAAAGCTCAAGGACCAGTGCCATAATAGCCATCGAGCACGAGACGCATAGCTACGGAATGTCAGTACACTAGGCCGCATCCAGTTTACATTTGTTCCAGACATTCCGAAGGTGCGAAGTGCGAAGGTTCCCGATGGTGGGAATATTGTTGATCGCTCCGAGAGCACCGGTGTAGGTGAAGTTACAGTACACTGGGCGATGTGGATCAGCCAGGGAATTGATGATGAAGTCGGCGACTGTGGCTAGAGTAGCGGGTACCGTCCTGGAAGAGTATCTCAGTAGCCATTGTTCTGCCAATGTGTGGTGCGTCAGCTTCAGAATGACAGAGTTGCAAGAAGTCCTACTAACGAGTAGCAGTCGAGGATTCGGGTATATCTGTTACGAGGAGAAAGAACGATTTGAGATATCGAGGTCGTAAGAAGCAACCGCCTTCCTGGTAGATATATGAAAGAGCAATGTTCACTCGACATAACACGAGGCCTACCGACGAAAAAAGAAGAGAGCAAACGAGGTGCGAAAGTTTCTTGCATCAAGGCTGATCGTCCAGTCACCAACAAGACGTAAAAGCATTGCCACGCTTTTCTATAGTTTATATTGAAACTCTTCCCACAGTTTCTAAAGGAAGCAGGAGAGATAAAACTTCTTGAAAACTGTTTCAGCGTGGCATGCACTTCGGAAGGGGGATCCAAATTATCATGTTGGTTGCGACATACAATTCAACTCTACACGAAGAATGTGCCACGGGAGTGATTCGTAATTAAGATCGGCGGAGATTTTGCAACGTCATTTAGGCAACCATTGATAGTGCTCAGCCTAAGCCTGCGATTAAGGTTGCGCAGTTTATAAGATGAGGCTCAGAACATACTGTTACGTTATTATCTTTCTCCATAGACTACCGATACAGAAGAAGCGAATACGGAGAATGTCGGGACAAGAAAGCGTGTTGGCAGTTTTAATGGTGAGTCTTCCCTTCCTGATAGGCTGACATTTGGCCCCGTAGTCGACGTAAACCTGGAGGGAAAATGGCTTTCCCAAGTCAGCTAATACATTTTCGCCTGCCAGACTTTCTAAAATTCTCACAAATCTTGAGTAGCCGAAGCCATATGGACATTTTCAACGAAGTTTTCTGCTTCTCTATTAGCTTCTTGGATATGATCGAAACTTCTATCCTATCGGTATCATTCGTGAATCGCGATCGCCTCCGATTGACCTGGTGCGTTCCTTCCTGTGAAGAGAATGCATTTCGGGTGCCTCGAAGGACGAGAGACTGGAGAACGTCAGGACATATACGAATGACCGCGTCATAGTATACCTCTCAACAGTATGCCAATAAGATCTGAGAGAAAAGCTATGAAGATAGGGAAAGACAGTTATGATAGACTCACCCTTGTCAATAGTATAAGTGTGAGAGTACCGTCTCGAAAGAAAGGGTGGCGGTAATTTGACACCAATCATTGCTGAAGAAGGAAAATCAAGTCTCGGGTAGTTACTGGCATAAGATCACAACGCACCATAAAGAGTTCAGCTTGAGGACAACTTATTAGCAATGCCGTATTGCCCTACTCCTAGTATATGACACGTTAAAAAGTCGGTGTCGCATACGAAGATATATGCAAGCAACATCGTGCGGGAAGCTTGATATGCATCCTTGATTTTAGGAAGGCGATATGGATTCGGGAACAATCGTCCAGGCGCCGGGTTCAGACGACAAGCTGAGAAGCAAAGGGAGCGGCCAAATTCGTTTGAGATGTTGCGAGGGCTTGGACAGGACACAGGCTACGTCTGATTAACTGTACGCTGATTTCAGAGGGCAGAGCGTCGCCTAGAAAGGGCAGGTTAGAAGCGCAGAAAGTCAAGACAGAGCACACCCACCGATGACAATAATCCATTTACATGCGCCCTGATACTCCGTACACCATAGCATTTCGGCCAACCTAGAAAGCCCCGCCGTGTTCACCCGCAAAAGAAAGCACTACCAGTTCTATTAGAATAAGCTTTTCGATATAGAGGCAAGCGGTTACCTCGCGCAGCATATGGTGAACGAATCGACGCAGTGAAATCACCAGGGTATACCATAGAGATGATGACGATACAGCGACGACAACAACGGTCAAAGCTGAAAGCCAGGATGTCAGAATTCTGATGATCCCTCGCGTCAGTAGAAGAAACACACCATAGTGCCCTCGTCAGCATTTCTCCGCGACAGAACTATCCTGCATCCGTCAGGCTTCACCGGCATAATTCCTGTCGTCTAGTAGGATTCTTCCATGAGTCGAGCCCATGGCCAATGTAGTTTTGCATTCGCAGAGCAAACTGCCCCATCAACGTCCGACGACGCTCATTACCATATGGCAGTCAATAAACAAAGAATCAGAAGGTGTAGAGTCGAGCTACTCACCATCACCCCACGGCAGAATACTTTCTTGCATGTTCCAAAGGTGTTCGAGGAACGGAGATGAACGAACGAGGACAAAGTGCGGTAACTAAAGGACTTGATAGCCGGCCCCTCGGTCCGAAGTCTTTTCCCGAGAAAGTTGAATTTTGGTCCCGATCATTCGAAAATCGGTTGAATCAAGGCTGAAGGAACATCGTAGGAATCTCGATTTTCATTAAGACCATGAATTCTTGTTGTAAGTAGAGAGCAGAGTAATGTACAGAGGATTAGAATTAGCCTCTAGAGAGAGAGACGTTCTACTTAAATACATTTTGTATTACTTCGAGATCTTTCTACGAGATACTAAATAAGTCCGGATCACGATCCAAGTCAGCTGCCGCTGACTGGCATCGTATCTTCGAGTACATTCTCGTACTCACTCGGGATTGCTATCCCAACAATTCTGATTAGATTTCTTCTCAGATTCGTTCTCAGGACAGTAACATAAATATCTCCCGACTCTTCGCTTCATCATTTGAATACCATCCTTGGCCAAATAAATGACAGCAAGCCTTCAGAAAAGTAATAACGACAGAAACAAAATAAAAAATCAGACCATTAAGCTGAACATTCCTGCTGCCCAAAGGATATTCCATCAAAGTATGGTCCTATATCCAAATCAGTGATCGCTCCCCCCTTAAGTTGGACGGACCCACCTATATGATCTCCCACTCCATCAGCGATAGCTAACAGCCCCACCCCATCTGCACAAGCATCCGAGTCGTTCTCCTGACCCTCGCATAGCGCAGCTCCCGCATCCCCAAGATGCACCTCTCCCTGCGCATGTACGAAATCCAAAACCAGTGGCGGCAAATGCGGGACGGGGTCGGCCCTGTTGGTTATCCTCGCAACCCCCCCCCCCCCCCCCCCCCCACTTGAGAGCGAGGCATCAACCAAGTCCGCGAAAGCTTGGTTGCCCACACGTGGAGATCCAAACGTGGTGGTTTGGATAGATACGTTAGTCAAGGCATCGTTGAACATGAGCGCGTCGAGCGTGGCCAGAGCAGCGCCCAGAGAGTGGCCTGTGAGGACTATAGTTTCTGCTCCGGTGCTGGCGACGGCGGATTGGACAGTAGAGAGGACCGTGGATGCAGTTCTAGAGAATGTTTCCTGGAATCCTGAATGGACTGCGATGTTTTCTGGAGGGAAAAAGTCAGCACTAAATGACGGAGAGCAAAAAAATTACATACTCCCGGCTGCCGAAGGGAAAAATTCAGTGTCGATTGGGGTGGGGACGAACTCGGCGTCGTTAAGGATGGAGAGTCTGAAAATACGTTAGCTTTTCCACTCGGTACAGAGCATATGCTAGTAGGACGCGCATATTTTCCGGGTCTGTGCCTTGATGTGCAACGACAACCGAGTTAGTCGACTTGTCGTGCGCGATCACAACTACACAAGTGTCAGAGACAATCTACCAAGTGAGAAGAGCGGCATACACCTCGGTACCGTTCCGCCATCACCACCCGTCGCCAAGATCTCGACCGATTCTGCATTGAGAGCCTCGCAAGGTGCGCCGCAGCTAAAATTTGTTACGGAAGCACTGGAGCAGTAAACCATACGGCTGAAAAATGCTGGGCGAGAAAAGACAGTGGTCAGTTCAGCTGAGCTGACGCTGATGGTACTTGACGCGGTGGTAGAAGCAGAGTCATCGTCTCCCAGGATCCCTCTGAGTAGATCACTCGCACCGTCTGAAATTGCATCTTCCGTCTTTCCAACAAGTCCGTCAAGGACCCCGTGCGCGTCCTCATCATTAGAGGCATTATTAGAATTTTGTATGGAGCCAGAATCTGTGTCGTCACTGCTGAGGGACGCATCCAAGGCATCATCTAACAGCCCGCCGTTGTCTTCAGCGGGATTGTCTCCACCGCTCAGCAGGTCATCCACAATCCTGCCCAGCCCAGAATCGTTGCTATCTTCATCATCGCCACTGAATACGCTACTTAGGGCCCCGCCCCCGCTGGTATCGTCGTCTTCGCCACCAAAGACGTCATCGAGAAGACCGCCGAAATCAAATGGCACCGGTGCTGTCCTGATAACAAGGAAGGACTGAAAAAGAAAGACAAAAATGAGAGTAGATGTCAACATCGAGAACGAGGTAAAAAGATCCACTAAGGATAAAGGAAAGGAAAACTCACCCTTCTTCAAGGGGACGTTCCTGCTTTTTTGATCGTGATTGTATAGCCCATCAGGGTTAATGATTGACGTCGAGAGAGATTTTGATTGATGGAAAGAACCACTACAAAAGAAGTGTCATTGATGAATGATCAAATGGTCCCACATTAGTATTAGCGTAGCTGCTAAAATGGTCTGCTGGCTTATCCACGCGGTCCAAATCATTTCACGACAAGGGTAAAGTACCCATCAAGATGGTGTGGAAATGTTCATCAGGAAAAAGAACCACCATGAGGCATCTAGTTTGAGATCTCTGTCAGTATTTACGCTCGGATGTCTGGCGTCATTTCACCATAACATGACATCACTTAAACCTCGAAAAAAATGAGAAGATTAGACCACATCGACGTGATATCTCAGGTGCACCAGCTGGTGAAAAGACAGCATGTGTTGGCTCTAACAGTCGGAGAATGTAGACAAATTGAATCATCGCCGATATTTCTGTAGAAGTGTCAAGGAATCCCCACATCAAATGGATCGACAAGGATCTCAGTCCTAGGAGAATGAATGTACATGACTGACCAACATTGTCCTCGTCCATCTTGAAGAGTTGAAGGAGGTGGCATATCATGAGCAACAGCCGCACCGCAATAGACTACTCAACGGGTCCTTGATACCTGCAAACGAAAGTTCTTCGGCCTGAGGAGCAAATACTGTATTTGCGAAAGGGCCCGCTGAAAAATTCCTGAGTGCGAATGAGAATGATGGCGAAGTTACGGTATTATTGGCAGGGCGATGCACGTACTGTTGTAAAACGTCAAGGCACTATGGCAGGCATAGGCAGCGTACAAGCGATGAGCAGATAGATGTGGTATTGCTATGGAGAGCATTGTCATATCATCACATGGATCTAGAAACCGCGGGCATCAACCCTGGCGTAATGCATCAAGGGCCATGATATAAGTCGAAGATCGGCTACTACTCACTCAGTTTTGGTCGGTCGGTAAGAAGATTGAGAATCGGAACGACTCAGAGCAGAAAGTGAGGGCGAGAGCTTAGCTTTGGAAGAAACAAGTTGAGACGGGAGGTAAAGGAGCTTTACGTATAAACTAAGCGTGCGGTGTTCTTCTGCAGGCTCTTATGTCACTGGATGACATAGGCAATAACAACACTGGGACTGGTTACATCTTCGAAGGCTCTGTCGCCCGAAGAAACCGCAATACCCCCGTAATTGGGTCGGTAGCTCACATAGGGCAGTCATGAGAAGGATATGCTCATATAGTCAGAGTATCGCATACATTCCGGTGACTTACTGCTCCCAGATGGACCCTGCCACGTAACAGCAAATATCGTATATGTGAAGAGGTCTATAGGAGCCCGAACACAATCTCTGCGCCCGATTCAATGATAATGCCAAGCTTTGGATGCGATCTCCAGGATAGGCTACTGTCGGGTCGATCTCAGCCCATGGCTGCTCGTAGAGTTACCTACGCTTGTATACAAGAAGTGGATCTCATGGTCCAAACCTTCCCGTGCAGAAAAAGGACAGTCATTTTCACAGCAGTCAGTCCCGGTAAATGATAAAAAAGATGTCGTGATTCCTAGCTGTCATATAAAATTGGAGCGCATGCGCGACTTCCTAAAGACATGAAACTTTTCGTTGGGATGAACCGTGATTCAGGGACATACCACTGCGAGTAAATGCCGTATATAATAACCAGCTTGGTATTGTGTAGGCACTGAGAACTGTTGGAATTGAGGTGCTGGTGGTTCGGAGGGAGATGTATTGGACTCGAAGGAAAGGTATATTTCGTCGTATAGAGTAAGGACAGTGGGGATTCCGAGTCAAGTCAATAGGTACGAAAATGTCAGAGTATAAGGTAAGCAGTAAAAATATATAAATAGGATATGACATTGAAGCTGTGAAAACAGAATACCAACAAGAACTGATTTAAGACTTTACGTTTACCTTACCAGATACGATCCATTGCCCAAAAGAATTTCTGGCCTGACATAGGGTTCTTTCTTAGATTGCTGAGCGCTGTGCTGTGTCAACCATTGTCCCGGAACCCGAATGGAATTTTTCATGGAGAAGGTCACGGTGATTAGCCAACAACATTTGATAGATACATTAGTTTGTAGCAGCGGCGCTTCATGATGTGGTAAAGAGGAAAGCGATGTTATTCACAGGGCCGTCGGTCGCAGCTTACCAATTTGATCCCAAAATAGTTACGGACCGGATAGCCCGCCGTTCTCTAGGACTCTGCGCAACTTGAATGCTTGATCTTAACCGCGCTACTTAGGAATTTTGTTGATCATGTCACTTCTAAACAATCTGGGAAATATTTCGCATATGAGCCTTTTCTTTCGTCAAGAAAACATTTCTACAGGCGAATTTTATCGAGTTGTCCTGTCAGACGCCGGTGAACATCATCGCTGCGTTAATAGTCCTAATACTGACATAACTATAGGGAAAACATGGAATATATGAACTGTGGACAGGAATCTGCTGATCGCACGTTGTATGTGCATGTTCCTAGTGATCTGTGATAGTATCAAAGATGCCAAAGTACGCTCCGCGAAGATATCAAGCCTTATATCATACTTTCGCATCCCTCATGCTCGTCGCCTGGAACGACACGTCTCAACGAGGTTTAAAGGTGCGAATATAATATGTGGCATGAATCAGCCGGTGAGAGACTATTATTTCATTGCTTTCTATCTTAATTCCCGTGGTCTCCTGCCAAGGATTAAACGCCTCGTGGAGGCGGAAGACACTCATAATTATAGAATTCCCTAAGACAGGCTTTCATCACACTATGATATCTTCTGTTCACTTTTCCACTGTTGCTAGAGACTAAGTGTTGAATCAACGGTGACTCAGAAACCATCGAATTTCGGCCTATGTATTCAGGTCTCCTACTTAATTCCTCAGTCCCTCCAAGGTAATTGGATAATAACTGGTCGATTATCGATCTACAAGTGCTTGACATTCGTAAAACAAAGCTGCTAATAATATAGCTGTATCTAAAAAATTGTAAGTAAGAAACAAGCTAACAAAGTGAGTAAGGAAAGGTCTGCACCATGTTTTGGATGTTGTGGGCCTTCTCCATATGTTTGAGGAGACTCTGCTGATTACAGTACATTCTGTAGCAGATAATACACATTTTCTTGTCTTCTAAGTCTTTGTGTTGTTCGCTCCTCATATGAGACTTCAACTCTGTCATATGTTCTGTCTTGAAATCGCATGTCTTAAGCGGGCAGACAAGCCCAGCGAATAATCTTGCGTGAGTCGATGCGTGGGCTACTCCGTCCTTGACCTTCATAAAATGCTTGTCACACTCATAATATGCACACCTGCAGGGAAGTGTAGGGTCAGTAGATATTGATCGAAACCTGAATCATATAAGAATGGTGTCGAAGGCAGAGGTGATGATGAGACGTACTTATCTGTATTTTCTGGTTTTGCTACATTACCATTCCTCAATATCGTCCCCCCTACATTGCGTTCTGCGTTCATATGCATTTTGTTGTGTCTATTCCGTACTGGGCCAGTGAATGGTTGCATCTATAAAACACCATTACTCTCAGGGTGAACTCTAGAAGAGCAAATGCTAATACTCCATACATTGCTATCAAGTACAGATTGCATTGGTTTAGTACTTACTGAATGGAGAGAAGATCAGTCTGGGTGGAAAAATAATAGAGAACTCAATGAAGGGATGTATGGAACTGCACAGCAGCACGTAGGAGAACAGGTTTAAGTTATTGGTGGGCATATTCATGCCCGTGCACAAATTTTATAGCACCTTGAATGACGATGTCTTGGGTGGCAGAGCTGCGTTCTCCATTGTCAGGGCGAGTTCGCTTATTGTTAATCTTGGTAGTCCATTGTGTTGTGACTGTCACACCATCATCTTGAATGGTGGCACGAAACCGCGAACCAAATGCCACCTAACTCAAGACAAACTAGACAATGTAAGTGAGACTTGTTATCAAATTACGTTGCGCCAACATTAATATTGACAATTTGGTACGTACCACCGTAGTAGCTTCTCTAAGTTTCGATATGACTAGGTATAGAACGGACGTCGTCGATAGTGAAGCGACCATGAGAAGCTATGCGAAAGTTGTCCTTAGCTCAGGAAGATGCAAATTTTTTGAAGGGCAGAACGGTATGAGATTAGTTGTCAAAGACTAGTTAGCATAGCAAGAGTATTCGTCTGTATAATAGGTTTTTTTCCTCGATTATCGATTGAACGGTATTCAAATGACGTGCTATCCACGAAGCTTGAAGTGAGACACGTCAGGGAGGCATTCAAGGAGGCGTGTTTGCGAAGCAAAGAAGGCTCTGTAGAGATACAGTGTGAACGATGTTCATTTGAGGATCGCCGTAGCGAGAGCACCGAGGACCGGGACAGGTCGAGCGTTAAGTTCGAGATTAAGAAGTGTGTCGATGCGGAAAAGAAATACTCAGATATAGCCAAAGAAGATGAGAACGTAGAATATCAGAGAATGGAAGGATTCTGTACATGAGACAACCATGGAAAGGCGATGGGGACAGAGAAATCTTGTCGGAAGTTACACTGGCAGCCGGCCGTATATATATAGAAGGTGGATCGTCGAGGATACCTCATGTTGTCGAACCCCCGAAAGCTTCGAAATCTAGGTCAACATTGTACTGTCATTAGAATGGGTGCGTACAATGGATACTTATTCTGCATCAGAACCAGCGCAGATCGGAGAAATCAGATTGTAATATATCTCAGGCCGGAGAAGAGTGCCTCAAAGTCCAAAATCCTTGGTATTCAAATTCAGGACAAGATAAAGGATGATAATAATGTTAACCAGTCATGGTACGGTCTGAGATTTATTCGGAAGTGACTTTGTTCTCTCTTACATCGCAAAGAGGAGTCGAGGTGCATTTTTGTCATTGCACCAAAGGCCGTGAGATAAACAATTAAATTATTAGCCCCAATCTTTTTTTTGACGAAGCTTCAGCCTAGTCGTATTTCCGTTGGAGGTGAATTCCACAAAAGGAAAGGTCGGCATCTGCCGAATGGAGAAACAAACATAGCACCGCCCCTTCCGACATCATCCATCACCATCGTCATCTTGCAGCAGCCCTTCGAGCACGGCGACGGGGATGTCGCTGCAAATCAATCTATCGAGCACAGCGCTCAAGACTGCCTATCTCGACGTACTCAATGGTCCTAACAAAGACTGGGTAATCTACACTTACGAGGCGGGGTCGAATGACCTCAAGGTGCAGGCCACAGGCGATGGTGGACTTGAGGAGCTCGAGGAAGAGTTCATCGACGGGAGAATACAGTATGCCTTTGCCCGGGTCATAGATCCCAATGTAGGCTTCCGATTCCCCATCGTTTCGACGTGGCTGACGATGAACGCCCGCAGAGCAACCTTCCCAAGTACGTTCAGATAAATTGGTGTGGCGACGGGGTCCCAGAAGCGAAGAAAGGGCTTTTTCATACCCACTCAAGTGCTGTTGGGCGGCAATTGCTCCATGGGGCTCATGTCGTGCTCAGCGCTCGCAATGAGGTGCGCGTTCGTTTTTTTCCTAGCGAGCTGATGCTAAAGTCTGGTACAGGAAGACGTGACTCCAGAACTCATCATGAAACGCGTCGAGGCCGCTTCGGGTGCAAGATATACTGCTCAGAAGGAAGCCCCTAGAAAGTACGAGCCGATAGCGCCGGTGGGATCCAGCTATACCCCGGTAGGAAAGATCGATATTGCTGCGCTCAAGGCAACGAAACCATCTCCGTCGCCTTCTGCTGCTCCTTCAAGGCCATCTCTTCCCACTGCTAGTAGACCGGTATTTGGCGCGCCGAAGCCCCCAACAGCTTCTGCAGCATCACTTTACGGACGTACAGCAACGGCAAGCAAAGGACCAGCACCAGTTGACGCGTGGCCTGAAGAAAGCCCTGCTGCAGCATCACTACCGCCACCGCCACCGCCAGCAGCGTCGCGTCCACCGGTCCTGCCAACAGCACCGCGTCCGACACCCTCCACAGCTTCCGTTCCAGTTTCAACAACACCCACCAAACCCACTGCTGATGATCTTATCGCTCCCGTTGGGACGGCTTATACACCAGTCTCTCTACCTGCGCCGAAGAAGCTCAAAAACCCATTCGAACGCCGGTTCCAGGAAGAACCACAGAGGGTGACGCCAGTGAAGAAGGGATTGACGTGGTCGGAGAGACAGGCGCTCGCCAAGAAGCAGAGCGAGCAGGAAGAGTCTAGGAGTTTGGCTGCTCAAGCTAGTGTGCGCACTCCCTCACCAGCCAGGAGGTTTGGTGCGGGTACTGCTACCGCTGTAGGAAGCGCTGCTATTGGTTTTGGTGCTACTGCTGTCGTCATCGCCCATGAACCTGAACCTGAAGTCGAGTTCGAGCCGGAAGCAGCACCGGTACGCTTACAGTCCCCTCATAGATGTTTCAGTTATTGACATAATTAATTGTCATAGGCACCTCCCCCGCCTCCTCCTCCGCCGCCACCACCACCACCACCACTTGTGGCAGCAGTTTTGGAAGAAGAGGAAGAGGAAGCCCCGCCTCCACCTGCACGTTTTATGTTCTACTGATGTTGTCTTTTAGCTGATTTATGCATGTTTAGCCTCCACCGCCGCCTCCACCGCCACCGCCACCACCGCCGGTGGTACCTACTCAAAGCTTTGAGGAAGCAGCACCGCCTCCGCCTCCGCCTCCGCCTCCGCCTCCGCCTCCGCCCCCACCAGTCGCCCAAGTAAGCTATTTCTCCCCTTCCGAAAGAAATTGCTGATCATCTATAGATGCAAATTCTTGCTGTATCCGAACCGGAGCCTGAACCTGAACCTGAAGCAGCTCCCGCTCAAGGTCAAGGTATTTGCGCTATCGTGCTATACGAGTACGAGGTACAGTATTTTTGCTTCCTAAGCTCTCACTATAATCAAATATTCTTATAGGCCACTGAGGACAATGAAATGACTCTCGTCGAGGGAGAGCTCATCGAACAGATCGAACAGCTCGACGAAGGCTGGTGGAGCGGTATTGGACCCAGAGGCGAGACAGGGATGTTCCCCGCAAATTACGTCCAGATCGTTGAACAGGAAGCTGCACCTGTTGCTTCACCCTCTCCGCCTCCGCCTCCGCCTCCGCCTCCTCCTCCCGCGCCGGATGTCACGGCCATTGCATTGTATGACTATGATGCCGCCGAGGACAATGAGCTGACATTCAAGGAAGGCGATAGGATCACAGAGATCGTGCCCGCGTCGGAAGACTGGTGGAACGGGAAGGGACCTGGAGGTGAGGTTGGGCTGTTCCCGGCGAATTATGTTAAGGTGCAGGAGTGAGGGCGGAATTTCACCGTTCTCACGAGAATGTAATATGAAAGGTAGAGTAGTTCAATTTGTATGGATAATCATTTTCGGGTATTCAAAGGTTTACACCTGTCGCTCGAGGCTCAAGGCCAGGTCAGAAGGATGATGGTTCTGACCGTCAGTGTTTGCTTAATCTAATACCTGGTTACTTTCGGCGGGTCTGTGACAGGTCGTTAAGGTAAGTCAATCTTTTTAGTGCCTTCCTGCTAATCTCAGTTGTCTTCCCAGTGCATAGAAGCTGCGTCAGCGCTAAGATCGTTCTACCATCGGATTGCCGTATTCCGTTAGTTCATGAGATTGAAGATCAGCACGACAGCAGACGTAGCCTGATTTGGTGTGAGTTTGTCGATCTCTGTTATCATATACGTATACAGTCAATATCGACTGTTCGATTTGTTAGTCCGCCTATTGTCGGGGCCGATCTTATATGACAGCCCCTTAGCATGGCGTCGTGGATTGAGAAGCCTCAGAGCTCACCCTCCTACCAATCTTTTGGGGTACTTATCACAATCATGGCGGTATCCATGATCAGGTATCCAGGTCCACTGTAAAATGATCATCACTTAGTGCTCACCGCGAACACCGAGGATGACATCCAATTCGATGTCTGCTCCAGGATCATGGGTAAACAGGTGTGTTGATTTCATTATCGTCTTGTTTCAAAAGACCCATTATGACTTCTAAGTGAGCTGAACAGCATGCCACTCCCACGCACTTGAAACGTTACTGAATCCATCCCTCCTGTCACCCTCATGGCTATCCTCCATCTTACTATCTTCGTCCTCTTCATCAACCTCCTCGTCGTTGGAGAACTGACGAACCACACCATCGATGATACACTTGGAGACCAGCTCACCGGGTTTCAAGTTGATTATAGTCCCGCTTCGAACGCTGGTGCTCCCGTTTGGAAGAACACATCTCAATGTAATAATTGCGCTATCGTTCCTAGTCCGTCGCTCGCTATGTACAACACATGGACTAGCGCGACGTATTACGCAGCTCTCGGGAATGTAACGGCCCAGATGATCTTTCATGGTACGTTGCTATGGGAGTTTCGTCCAGCTTCGGCTTAGTGGTGATTTTGCAGGTTCTGCAATATACATCTACCTGATTCTTTCCAATTATCCAAAGAGTACAGGGCTTGTCAGTGATGTCCTCTGCGATTTCAGGATCGATGGAGAGGTTGCGGGGAACTTCAGGCATGATACGGATGGCACGTATCAGTTCGAATACGATGTCCTGGCGTACGGCAATGTATCATTGGTCGATGACGATCATACGTTCTTGATAGAGATTTCGGGGCTGGAGCCATCATATGTCATTTTCGATTATGCCGTGTATACGTACGTTCCATTCCTTTCTTTGATTCTGGATGCTTGAAGCCTAACTGTTATTTCTAGGAACACGCAGGTATCCATAACATTTCCGGCGGCGGAGTCCTCAACATCCACTACTGCGCGAAACCCAGCTACCACGAGTTTGTTTGTATCGACAGTCGGACCTTCCCCTTCATTCCCTGCATCCTCATCTTTCAGACAACCTTTCAAAGGCGCCATTGCTGGAATAACAGTGGGAGTCTCGGTGTTCATCGCCTTGATCGCATCATCCTTCCTATACTTTCGCCGGCGACATCAAAATTCATCACCACCGGCGAAGTGAGGCTGTAGCTTTCACGAGCCATCCGGTCAGACTTCTGAGGCACACCATTTAAGAGTGTTTCTCAGTCATCCAGATCTCTTCTCTCAAAATTCAATCACAGCGATCTAGAGCATGGTAGTCCGATGAAGCATTATACCGTTTACACCGGAATCTGAGCTGTTCGAAGCGAATACAGCATTTCAGTCATCGAGCTATGGCCACGATTATGATGAAAGGCGTTATGGTACAAATTATCGTATGTCGGTCACATGCTACTATGGGATGATCAGGAGCATTCGAAGTTTTGATTGTGGATGTCACAATTCGTGATGATCATACTCATGATGATGGACCTAAGTTCTCCTGATACGAGGGTAAGTCTTATTGTATTCCGCTCATCATCGTTTTGATGTTGATCCTTGGTTGATTCCAACTAGGCCAATAGAAGAGCGGCGTTCCCAAGCCGTATTATCATGGTTTGGGTGATGGCGTGACTACCTTGACTGAACAACGGTTACCTCACCTCATTTGGTTCTCTTTCGCCCATCTGCCCACATTCTTTGCTTTGTAAAGTCCATCTCATTTCCCTCCTTCATGAACAACTTCTTTATCTCCCTCCTCTTGCCGATATCGCTCTCTTTCGCAGCTGGTACCAATCGTACTATAGACGATGGTCTCGGAGACGTCGTCACTGGTTTGCAAGTCGAGTACCTGCCATTGTATAGCCCTAATAATACGGCGGAGCCATTTTGGAAGCACGAAGACCAATGCGACGGTTGTGCAATCATGCCAGATGTGACTAAAGCCTTTGACGGAACGTGGACTGCGACGACTTATGTCCCTGCAATAGAGTACATGTCGGCCGGGCTTCGCTTCAATGGTATGATATTCATTGTTCTATGTGCAGGCGCTCATCCTGATTTTGTAGGAACGGCGATATATATCTACCTCATCCTCTCGAACTATCCCGCCAATACGAGTCTCGTTAGCCGGACTGTCTGTGACTTCAGGCTTGATGGGAGCGTTGTCGGGGCATTCGACCACGAGATGGACGGGACGAGCAACTTTGAGTACAACACCCTTGCGTATAGCAATGAGTCTCTCAGTGATGAAGAGCATATATTTCTTATTGAGACCACGGGTTCAGAGTCCTCATATGTCGTATTCGACTACGCTATTTATACGTCAGTAGTCTCCGAGAACACAACTTTCAACCTGTTCCTGACATTGAGAATAGCTCCAACGACGATTCTCAATATTCCTCTCATTCTAGAGCGCTCTCCAGTCATGCAGTCGCAGGCATCGTCCTTGGCGTGCTAGTATTCGCGGTATCTATCACCTGTGGAGCGTACTTCCTCTACCGCCGCTGCCGTCCACGCAGTTTAAATAACACTGAAAGAAGTACCGATACCGGGATACTAGTACCATTCAACATCTTTCATCCTTTCGATCGCAGTACAGCCACTAAATATACCACGACAGTGCCCATGTCGTTCGATGTCGATCAGGAAGTAATCGAAAGCAGAGCGAGCCTCCTAGGAGAGAAGCATTTGGCAGGACAAGTCGTCGCACTGCAGGTCCAGGTGCAGCGCCTAGAAGAGCAGCATCATGGGGGTTCTCAAGGTTCCAGGGCAGCGGGTTCCTTTTCTCCTATGGATCATGACGGGAGTGTTACACTTCAGCCCATACGGAGAGAGGACGACGATGCACCACCCAGATATATGGAATATCATCCCTATAACCCCAGCGGAGGCACTTGATCATCCTGGCCCAGAATCCCGGTGTGAGAAACCAGAAGGCGAATAAATTTGATATTGAAAGAAGACCATGATCCACGCGGGATGGAGGATTTTCGGTCCCATGATTGTTTTTATCCATTCGAGTGCCTGGAGGATCCGCCGCCACATAGTAACATGCGTTCTCTCTCAAACTCCGGTGTAAACGGAATACACAAGGCCGATCGTCTCTGCGGACCACTCTTCTTTGTATCTTATGCTGCTGGGTCGTTCAATTTCAAAGATTACGAAGGTTTCCATGTGCTTACATGAATTAAACCGTGTTGGGGAGTATGCCTCGACGGGCTTGATCAACGCGTATATTCTCTGTCTCTTTAACTTTCGAATTTCGAGCGGCTTACCATTGCGCCTGCTCCTTCAAGTCGACAGTAGCCCCGACTGTTAACTACAGAGAGCAGAAAGTTCTGTGGACACCAAGCCGGAAATCTTGACTTATAGCGGAAAGACCATCTGGGACACCAAGCCATGTGTTGCCGCACAGGGTATGCACTTGCACTTTATCTATCACCCCGCACTGCTGTACTCGTTCTATTCGGATTCACTGCCTCCGTATTTATTCCTTAAACTACGTTCAATATGGTATAAAACACCTTCAAAATCGACGGTAAATATCAGCGTTCAATCTCTCTCTCTCTCTCTAACAATGTTCTTCTTGCGACTCACCATCTTCGCTTCGACTCTCGTCTCGCTCGTCACCGCGACCCCTGCCCCTCGGGCTGAAGCCAGTAGCATTGAGGGGGTCCTCCAAGGCCTGAAAAGCACCACTGATGCTATCCTCCCTCAAATCAGTAAGCCATCTTGGTTTTTTTTTTGGTGTGAGCAAAAGCTGAAAGATTTGTCTAGATGCTCTCGTGGCGAACAAGACTGCCACGGAAGCGTCGGTCTCTCCTCTTCTCAACCAGGTCGTCTCGGCCGTCAATGCCGCCACTTTGTCTGTTACTTCCCTCCAAGTCGGCGGTGTCGTGGTCAAGAGGGACAGTAATGGCGACGTCGCCGCGCTCGCTGCTAGTATCATGACGGTATGTGCGCTCAGGCTCCCTCGTCATGAAATTGGCACTAACGAACCATGGTAGGATATCAATACCACCACACAAGGTCTCACGACCTCAGGATTAGGCCTGGGCAGTCTTGTAACGGTTATTGGCGTGGCGTTGAGCCAGCTGCTCGTTACTCTGGAGGTTATCGTTCCTGGGTTACTTGCACTCGTTGTGGCATTGTATGTGTTTCTCGTCCTTCCGATCTCTTCCTGCTGATAGTGAACAGGCTCGATGGGGTTGTGGGGACGCTTGTTTCTCTGCTTTCGGGGCTGTTGGGGGTTATTCTAGGATAGGATTTTCCATTGTTGTTCTGCAAACACTCTCTAGTGTTTTTTGTTTTTCAGTCGCTACTTGTTCTTGCAACCTACTCGAATTGTGGAACCATTAAGGAAATGATATCATCAAGTTTCTTACTAAAGATGTGTGCTGTTATGGGTGGGTATTCTGGCTAGACTCTTTCCGTAGTCAGAAGTACATGGGGAACTATTGGGGAACGGTGCATCTGAATCTGCAGGCAAAGTAACGAGATAGATAGATGTGTATATTGCGCGGTATAGGTAAGACTAAAGTATCATCGCGTGCATCCTATCGGCTTCTTTACTCGACGTTGACATCCGCCCTCCTTCTCGCCTTTCTTTTTCAGTTCTTCCTCTTTATCAGAGCTGAACCGGGACCCTTTGAGATTATGACAGTTTCCTCAACAAGACTGGCGAACTTCTCGGCAAGGTAGGAGAGGTTATCGCTGCTGGGGCGACGCCGTTGATGATGTCGTCGGAACTGCTGGGTCCAACGGGACGACTAGCGTTAGTCCTTCTGACTTTCTTCCGCTCTTTTTTCTTCAGCCGTGTTGTGTTATACACTGTGCTAGCCACTCTGTGAAGAATTTGACCTGCGGCGCATCATGCGATGCTCTTGGCGCAGATTCAGTCATGATTTTGGTAGCCGGTGGTCACGGCGCCTCGGTACCGCGGTGTAAGCTGTCTTACTTCCGTTCATCATCATATTCTGACAATGATTTAGTTCTAATCGTGCGCGATACTTTATCCAATTCGACCGTTATGGCGCACCAAGGCTCTAACCCTCATAGTCTGTATGTTTATTTGTTCTACCTATCTGGTAGGATCGGAGTAGTGAGCCCTAAGTCTGATCCTCTGAAAGATCAAAATTGCTGATTCGAGTGTACGACCGTACTTTGATGGGATATCGTTTGGTCAGGAACCAGTGTTCCTCTTGACGTTTTTGTTTTCTTTTGCTTTTGCGGTTATTGCATTATGGAAGGGTTTGTGTTTATCATGTCATACATAGCTGGGGTTCGGTTGAGTTTATCGGGTTAATGGTTAGTTTATTCAATGTTAACGAAATGGCGTGGCGTCCAAAATTCATAGCAAAGAGATGAAAGATGACCTGACCACCTGGATGCAGGTCCAATGCATAGATAGAACACTGAAATCCAAACTTGACTTTTTTCGCCCACGATACTTTGTTTCCTCCCTTTCTCTTTCGTGTCATTTATACGAGCTATTTTTTATAATAGATGTCTGTTGATTTTTATCGTCCTTAGCAGCATCAGTGTGTTCTCGTCTTGCAAAGAGTCACTTAGAGCTAAATATTCATTCTTAGGGCAGGTTCTTTATGCTCTTGGCTGATCCCTCCGTCTAAACCATCGATGTGACGTTTCTCCAAGCTGTAAATGCTCACATATTGTGGAACTAGCTGATCATGTCAAGGATTTTGTCGCCTGGCGCCCCTTCTTTCTACTTTAGCTGTCGCTTTAGGACCGGCTTCCACCACGTAATTTCTTTTGTCATTTGTACAACAATGGCTTTGCTCATTTTGCTGAACGCCACGCCGGACAACGCTTGAAGCTTCTTCATTCAGCCCTTGTTCACTTCGACGTAGCTTTTCAATCACGGATCTTGAAAAGTGCGACTTCCGATCTTCACTTGGGATTGCATCAAACACTTAGTCCGATGACCTCTTGAAAGATCCGAGTTGGCCGGTAGACTAGAACCGCGGCTAGATAAATCAACAAAGCATCCAAGAAAGCACCATTTCTTGATCACCTCCACGCCGGACATCATAAATTCCACGCTAGTATGTAACTTTTCCCATCATTTTTCCTTGTGAATTTTCTCATACAAGAAGCATATTACCCGTGGTGGAGATTCAATGTTTAGTCATAAAAGCATGATAACGTGATCGTCACCCTTGCTTTACAATCTATCGGAACACAGTTAACAGCGATCCGTATAAAGCCTGCGGCATAATGTTTCTCCCATCATACGCTGCCATTGCTCTTACTTTCCTTCAGAATAATTGTCTATTTTGATTGAAAAATGCCCGTCGAACCTATCAACTCATACGACGACTTCCAGAAAGCGGCATGCTTCCCTTATCAATGGTCCATTTATCCTGACACTGACCCAGTATTCTCAGATAAAAGGGGATAAAACCATTGTCGTTGATTTCTGGGCCTCATGGTGTGGTCCCTGCAAGGCGATCTCTCCAATATTCCAGCAGCTCTCTGAGATTGACGACTTGGATGTACTTGGCTTCTACAAAGTTGACGTGGACGCGCAGACCAGGATTGCTGAAGAGATGGAGATACGAGCTGTAGGTTTTGTTTGGCGCCATCACGACCCGCGGTAGTAATGGTCCTCCACTAGATGCCCACGTTTGCCGTCTTCAAAGATGGCAAGAAGATCCAGGAAATCGTTGGTGCCGACCCAAGAAGTCTTATGGTACCTTCACTCTTGTATTGTTAACGCCTATTTTTAATCCACGAACCTTAGTTGATGTTGAACTCGGTAATTCCTTGAAGTCGACGGTTCTCGCAATAAATTGGATTGTACAATAATAGATTCGCACTTTGCGCAATTGTATCATACCTGTTGCAATGCGATCTCTTTCACGAAAAGTGATCTCCAGTGTCCAACTTTCCTGTCTTTTATTTTTTTTCGCCTCGCCTTCTTGAATGGCACTTCCTGGTTTACGCATCTTAGACGTTAGAGGTCGAATTTGAAGCTGTTGCGATAGTATATACCACGCGTATAATAATGATCATCGCTTTCATTACGCCGATAGTGGCACCTCTAAATATCCTCGACGCGCTGAATGACATACAAACTCGAGACAAAATGAATTACGAGGTAGTATCCCAGCCGATTTTCCCTATATCCATGGCCTACACGTATAGGCTCATACGACGGATGCTTGTTCTCCCACCTCAAGCTCAGTGGCGCACACCAACCAGCCCTCGCCATCTTAATGACAGCGAAAATTTTGTCAGGAAGCCTCATTAGTCTGAATCACAAGGCAGGAAATTCTCTATCCCAAAGATCAATGAATTCAGTCTCGCAACTTCTCATCACTTCCGAGTCCGAACGTTGATGAATCGAGCTTCTTAGCTTCCTTCGTTCCGGCTGTCATATCATGAGTTGCTGTCTACTCCTTCTGGCGCTAAGCAGTTCATACAATATTCCTTGCTACACTGTAATTAATAGGACTCAGTCCTACGACAGCTGTTGGTGACGAACAACTCGCCATTTCGCCCACAATGGCTCCCTCGTCGGACACTAATCCTATCCACTGCATACAAGTCAACGGCCCAAGCGCACAAAAATGATTTACATTCATCATTCAAACAAAAATTTGTTCGAAGACGCCTTTTGGTCCTTCCATGCATCCTGTTAGAAGTCTAGCACGCTCACGGGAACGAGTCACGACGCGGTGAACATACCACCTCTGCGTATAAAACGAGGTCTGAACATCGTAAAGAGCATCCGTCAACCGGACCTCCTCTCTTTTACAACATGCTCGTCCACGGTAGACATTCCTTCCCTAACCTTGCTACGCGTCTAACGCAGCATCCATAGCACTTTCCTTAATCCCCGTCCTGCTCTCCGCAATCAGCACAACGGCTTTGCCAACGACTGAACCAAGTACGGCCTGCTCGTTATTCCTAAAGATACCGTTTCTAAGATAGGCGTATAGGTCTCGCCGTCGCTACCTCCCTCGTAGCGCGAGCAGAAATTCAGCCCCTCACTTTCACGGACTCCAACTGGATCTGGACTGGGGAAACCGCGAGTCCAGGCGGTGACGCTCCCGATGGTTCTCGTCCGTTCCGCCTGACTATTCCTCACACCTCCACCAAGTGTCCCGTATGTGCGACTATCATAATCATCGCGTAAGTTTCTCTTTCTCCAAACACCGGAGGTAGCTTACCTATCTGTTCGTCCAGCGACAACCGCTACACGCTCTACGCCAACGGTGCTGAGGTCGGGTCTGGCATAGCATACGAAGGAACAAGCTCCACTTCCCAGGTATACACCGTCGGTCTTAACCCCGAAATTGACAACGTCATTGCCGTCAACGCCACCAACACCGGTGGTCCGGCAGGGTTGATCGCTACGCTCCTCGTCGATTACCTCGACGGCACCACTGAGACGTTCGTCACCGATGCGTCTTGGAAGACCCTAAAAACCCCCACTGTAGACGGTTTTGAGAACCCCAGCTTGGATGACTCCGCTTGGATCGCAGCGAATGTCCAAGGACCGGCAGGGATGGCGCCGTGGGGAGCGATCTCTCTCCCGCCCGCCTTGGATTTGACGCAGAGCGACTGGATTTGGACAAATGAGACTGACTCGGCAGGAAATGCACCCATCGGGAGCAGGGCCTTCAGAAAGACGATCATTTCACCGTATGGGAAGGGTGCTGTCTGCGCCAAAGTGGTCATGACGACGTAGGTCAACTTTGCGAGTTGATCTCCACGGTACTGACGAGGACCGCGAACAGAGATAATGCATACACCCTCTATGCCAACGGACAGTCCATCGGATCTGGCAGCGATTATACCAGCGCCCAAGCATATAGTGTGCCGCAGCTGGATCCCGATGAGAACGTATTCGCCGTGAATGGTACCAACGTTGCTCCTGGAGGGCCCGCTGGGGTAATTGGCACCATTCTTGTGGCATACAGCGATGGAACGTCGGCGTCGTACATCACAGACAACACCTGGAAAGCGTTCATTGGGGTTCCAAGCGGATTCGAGCTTCCGGCGACAGACGATGATGCTTGGAGCGATGCCACAGTTGTGGCAAAGTATGGAGGCTCACCTTGGGGTGACATAACAGTGCCAACGGCTTGATTGCTCTTCGTTCATATACCCTTATCCAACTGGTGACTATCTTTCATGTCTTAGTCTCATAGGCCTGCTGTCCTTTCTTTAAAAATAATACAGCCATTGCCTGATTCAAGGAAGAGGAGGATCAGGGCTTACCCTAAGTGCAGCGGTTAAGCCCCAGATAGCCGTAACATTGGTGTGATATATGGTACTCATTCTGGATAGTCGTATGGTCTAGGGACCACCGCATCCTCCCATGTTTTTTGGGATGATTAATGCTAATCAATCAGGTATGCTATCGGAAACGCAAACAAAGTACAAACGTCGAGAGCCAGTTCAGATCAATATATGCATCCATCATCGGTGGTAATTCCATCGCCAGTCCTACGCACCAAGCGGGCGCGCGCTCTCTGACTATTGAAGGATTTCTTGGACTGCTAATGAGGCAAATTGGGCACGAAAATGACCCAGGATCTTGATTACCGCCGTAGACGATGGTGGAGATAGCGACATTGCTCTGTTGAGAATACAACAGCGGTAATTATTGCTGAACCATGTTAATGCCAAGACATTGGAGCGCTCCAGACGCGTGAATCGTCGCAGCACGCCATCTGATTCTCGTATTGGAGTAGGAAGAAGAGAGAGGCCAGGCAATGTTTACCTTCGACATGCCCGGAGAAACATCCATCCATTCCGGTCCGGTCGCACCGGCCCGAGACACACTTTACTATGTTTGCAGTGCTTCGGTACTGGGAGTCCCTTCCCTCTGGCCCTGTGTCTCTCGCGGGGGAACAATCTATGTTTTAGGTGCTCCAGCCTTGCAGTCCCTTCCCTCTCATCCTGCTTCTTGTCATCTTTCCTTGCTTCGTCCATTGACTTCGGTGGTCCTTCAAATTCAACCTCACCGCGGACTTGGGAAGGTCCCAGACAAAATATAGGCATCAGATGGGATCGATATTGTGAGACTATATGGTGCTTTACGAGATAAGATGGGCCCAGCTGTATTGGGAAAAGCAAGAGACGCGTCGCGACGCATCATGTGCAACGGTTTACATCTGAATTGTACTTAATCCGAACTCGGGCCGTTCTACACTTCCTCCCGGTGCGGATTCGGGGACAAAGAAGTGTTCTTGCTCTGGAGGGTGTCTTTTTGACGATTCGTGCATTAGAGGATCTTATGGTCTCATTAGTCATCGGCTTCTCAGATTCTTGCACGTCGTGGAATGTGCCATAATGGCCCAAGGTAAAATTGAGGATGAAAAGTCAACACGATTTATCGACATTGTTTCACATTTAACCTATTGCGATTGAGAGCATTCTACATCATAAACCCAGCAGGTAGATACGTCAAGGACATAGCGCAACTTGAACACCTGGTCCAAGTGCCTTATATCCATTCAGGTATTCTGCGCTCCTTTCTTCGCTTCAGTCCCAACAAATATTGACAGACCAGTCGCAATTCTTTTCGCAGAGCTCCGTCAAGTCCCTCACGTAAAACAATATTTCATCTAACTTTTCGAGCTCGTCCTCAGTCACCCCAATATCGACAAAGACATGAGATAGAGATGACGACGTGGTTGCCCGGGGCGACCGGGACAGAAGCATAGGTTTCAAACCATGAACGAGCACATCGACTTCCTCACATAAGAGCTTTATGTCTAGCTCAAAGCTGAATCGTTCGAGAGATGGGCAGAGATTGTGGCCCCCCGGTCCCGCCGCCGTCATTTCGTGGAATACACGCTGTAAATTTTGAGGATAGTCGTCGTTCCATAGAGTAGCGAAGTTGATATCAAGATCTCGCAGGCCTGGTGATAATTTGAAGATTTTCACCCATAGACCAGCGTCGCGGACTGCGATGTCATTTATAGTGAGGCTGGTAAGAGAACACCTTGATTTCTCCAACAGCTGAATTAGCGCTTCCGCGAAATCATTGGACGTATTGTCGTCCTCAGGCTCGGTTAGTGGCCATGCTTCCACGGTCGTCAACGAAGGCAAGGTGAGACTTTGTAGAAATGAACTGTCTCTTGTCGATATGTCCGTCAGAGATGTATGCAGTATCGGTGGTGAAAGAGCACGCCAGGTACTGGAACTGTTCGGCCAATGAATAGAGTGAAATCTCTGTAGACGTGGGGAACATCGAATGATACCCAAATATTCGGCATGGAGTTCGTCGATTTTAACGTCTCCGAATCTGGAATCATCAAAATAGACGAGGTTTGCGGCACCGATAATGAATCGAGTACTGGCTTTAAACCCGTCAAGCGTCAGAGACTCCAAAGATGGGGAGTGTCGAAGAAAATCTATGACTGGCAGGCCAGTGCTGTTGTCCAAGGGATTAAGGAACAATGAAGACAATTTCGGCAGGCGATATCGCAACATCTGCAGCCTTTGTATGGTGGAAGCGGAAAAGTGCAGGTTGACCTCTCTCCACCGTTCTGAATTCTCCAATAGCCGTTCCAGCAAGTAGAGATCAGAAGGACCGGTGTGCCTAGCTTCTGAGTAAGTCACAGTCAAATGTTGACTACCCGAACGGGTCAACATCGCGTCCAAAATGGGTCGAGTTATTCGGTTTGCGCTGGTCTTCGCGTTATCAATGTAAATGCGTGCCCAGAGATGTGAATCGGACAAGGCAAGGCATCTCCACTTTCTGCAAACGTGGCTCAACTTCCAAGGAACATCGGTAACACGGTAGGCAATTCGTAGGTCGACGGCCAACCGGAAGATTTCCCCCAAAATTTCTGGGGGAAGAACCCTGATAGGAGCCAAAACTTCCACGTATTCGTCACGTATCCGGTTTAAACGGTCACCGCGACCACGTAGCCTGGCCTGATGTTCAGGCGAAGTCTGCCCAGAGGCGCCAATCTCCACATTTATGCTATGGAGTGCAAGGAGGACATTGTTTGCGACTAGCTTCATCTTTTCCCTTTCAGCGTCGGAAGGGTATTCGTTGTTCTGATTGAAGACAAAGAAAGAGGGTGGGTGGTCGAAATCGCTATCGCAGGATATCCACCCGGAAATGTAGAACAGGATGTGTAACGACTCCAACCAGACTTGTGGTGTGATGCTAGAAGGAGATGCAGCAGAAATTCTAGGTAAGACGTATCAGGACCAGATCTGATGTCACAAGAATGTTGTCCTGGACAACTGACCGCTTTTCTATGGACATACTGATTGTAAAATAATGATGGCGGGTCTGATCCAGGGATTGGTCAATAGGGAATAGCGAAGAAAAACTTGATACCCACCAGCTTTGTCGTGAGGATGGATGAGAGTAGAAGGAAGAGAACGAAGTGGCTGTTTATATGGTGGGAACGGAAGAACAATGGAGTCCAAGAAGCCTTTGTATTCTGTTCGACGGACATGAGGCGCCAGGCTGCAAGAACAAAGAGACGCATATCAAAGTTCCGTTGCAGTGATGTCACCAAATTCTTGTATCCCCATAGAGATAACACTGACAGATTACTGCGGTCCTGCGATGACGACGATAACAAGCAAGCAACAGACTGAGCGATAACACCAGAGCGACACGATCCGTCGCTTCGATGATTAGAACACTTTTGCTAAGAGTAGGAACGGATGTCATGTTCACATATCATGTCACGCCACTGATAACCACTCAGCAGGAAAAGAAGTCATACATTAGTGCTCCATGCTAACTGATAATCGGGGGGAAAGGTAAATCATCTCCTACGAAAACCTTGATATCGCTCCAATGATCGATCTGGCGCTCACGCACCCAGTCTCGCAACTTGTCAAAGTTCCGGCACCTATGGGCCTGCGAGCTGTATCCAAGGACGAGAGAAAGATCGTCGCTCCATTGCCAGACGTTCACCGATGCATCGGCGCTGCACTTATTAAAAGTTGTAAATGTACCGTCTGTATTTGGGCAAGAAGGCAAGTCTTACATTAAAGACTGGCGGATCTCATCGATGCAGTGAGATACGTGGTCTGTGTCCGCATGTGGGTCATCGTAATGTTCTTTATAGACGGCATCCTGCACGTCGCATCAGAGAGGCACTGTGCCAATGAATGGTAATAGATAACCGACAAGGCAATGGAGCTGGTGGAAAACATCGAGACTTGCGAGGTAGTATTCTCGGCCGTGGTGGATTGGATATGTCTTGTTTGGGAGAAAAGCAGCCTGGTTCTTCGGAATTTTGAAAATGGAATCTGCGGTATGATGTAAATAACTTGTCAGTCATGCATTGCTCATACGCACTCAGGTAATGGCCACTGTCATTCTACGGACTTCTTGAGCAGGTACGTCGTCTCTGGAGCGGCCAAGACGGTTCTCTAGATGAGTATCAGTGGTATCCCGAACTCTGGGCCGGAAATTAAAGGTGGCTCGCAAGAACCCTAACTATAGATGGAAACAAGAGATCAACGTCCGGGAACTTCGGCCCGTGTCTCAACGTGTTTGGATTTTTGCCGTGGGTGTCTACTGTGACAGCCGCTCCCTAATTTGCACCTAACGAGGATATCAGCCTTCATTTACAGCTGGGGTCCTTGTGGCTGGATTATCGTCGCTGAAATCTTCCCTCTGAATGTTCGAGGCAAGGGCCTGTCCATCGCTGCCTCCTCCAATTGGGTATGGCTGACGTCCTCTTTATTACTGTAATTTTCTGATGAGTATTCTTTTAGGTATTGGAGAGCGATAAATTATTAGTTTTTTGTTTGCTGATGCTTATAAAATTTCAGTCGGTCAGGTAACGCCATCGATGTTGGAGACCATAGGATGTGGGACTTCCGTTTTCTTCGGAGTGCGTCTGAAGGTTTCTTGATGAAATGACCATACTGAATCGTACTGCAGATTTTCTCGTTCCTAGGCGGCTGCTTTTTCTGTTCCTGGTACTTATATTTCCTTCCTGTGAGAACTCGTACCCTTGATAACATCAACTTAGGTCCCAGAAACGAAGGGTGTAAGTTTGGAAGAATTGGAAGAATTGTTTGGTGATACCACAAATCACGCCCTAGAGGATTTTCGCCGTCTTGAAGACATCCATCAGCGCCTTGGCTTGAGTACTGAACCTATTGATGAGAAGCCATGATGAAGAAGGTGGCAAGGCATCCTTTGAAGAGAAGGTTGGCGAGTGAGCGACACTTACGATCACAGTGATACTTTGCTTCACGTTGTATAATAAAGAACTACTTAATATGAGAGACTACGAGACCCATAATTCATCGAATCAGCGCTCGTGACCGGAACCTGTATCTTTCTAGTATCTGCGTGAGGCAATGCGGCAAGAAAATGGGAGAGTCTGACGTCGCTCCGCAGGAAAAGTGAATATTATCTTTGTTTGCTCTCTTATCTTAGTTATCTTTGTCATTGAAATGCCGATCTGTGTTCTCCTATCTGATGTTGATTATTGGTCGTTATCGTCGTCAGGCGCCATGTAGGTAGGGATAGAACACTCGCCAGAAAACATTCACATAGATCAATCGCATCAGTTAAAGGCAGTCATCTACAGAAACGTTTATTCTGTTCCTCGGGCTGGCTGGGAAGATGTGACAAGCATTTTCCGGTGAAGCTCGTGTTTATAATGCCTATACCCCCGTCCTAGTTTACGTGTAAAAATCTAGTAATTCCCGTCGTATACGTTAAAAAAAAAACCTTGGCAGTTGCTGGTATTTCTCAACAGCATTGCTTTATTTTACTCTATTTGTATACTTTGGTAGTCGCATCCATATTTTTCGAGCCGAAACTGTGTCAAAATGAATTACCTTGGAGTTGCCTTAGAGAGCGGGTCCTCACTTCTTACAGGGTTTTGGATGGGAAGAATCAGATTTAGACGACAGAACAGTGAGAGAGTGTGAGATTCAACACCCGAAGCAGATCCGTGAAGAGCTCTATGCCGTTCGATGTTCGACATTCAACTTCAAGATCGAGAAGACGCGTGACGCGACGTCGAGCATGTGACTCATTAGCCGTGGCATGTCAAATAATTTATATTGGCCGGCTGTTGGTGACCAAGGTAAGATCGGCCGATGTTCTTTCGAAATCATTCACAGAGCTGTTATAAGGCAATTCTTCTCGCGTTCTCTTCCTCCTCACGTTGGGAATCACCATGACTCCCCCCCTCTCCTCTCAATCTCTGGAGCCACTAGTCCTCCCAGCCCAACCGCCGGCCTTTGGACATCAGATGAAGGAGTACTTTCATTTTGATCCCGAATACGTGAACTTGAACCATGGTTTGTCTTCCGATCGTCGTGATGAAACAATATGGTTAACATGTACCTGTGATTGACAAAGGCTCTTTTGGATCTCTTCCTCGGCCGGTCAGTGCGTGGTGCAGTGCTCTATCCGACAAGATCGAAATGAATCCGGATCTGTTCATGCGAGTGACGTACCAGTCCATGCTCGTCACTGTACGCGAAAAAATTGCCAGCTTTATCGGAGTCAGTGACGTGGATGAGGTGGTAATAGTTCCGAATGCCTCGCACGGGATTAATACCGTCCTGAAGAACTTTATCTGGGAGGCGGGGGACGTTATTGTTACCTGTAAGAACTCTTGCTTCCCTTTGAGCTATCCGCCCAGGTGGCTGATCAGCGCTTAGGCAATACGACGTATGGTTCCATCTCCCGAACAGTGCAGTACATTTCCGATGTCCCTCCCCATCCGGAACGTGCGCTGTTCACCATCCTCTTTCCTACTACAAAGGAGGATATCATCTCACGATGGAGGGACGATTTACGATCGGTCCGGGAGCGCGCCGGAAAAAATGCGAAAATAGTTGCTGTTATAGACGCGATTGTATCTAATCCAGGAACTCTTCTTCCTTGGGAGGACATGACGGATATTTGCCGTGAGTTTGATGTATGGAGCGTTGTAGATGCAGCACATGCTATCGGGCAGCAGCTCGGAATCAAACTCGACGAAGCCAAGCCAGATTTCTGGATAAGCGTAAGTAGCGCTATACAGCGAGGAGCTTTTTGACTGACCATACGCTAGAATTGCCACAAGTGGCTGTTCGCAAAGAGGAGCGCTGCGGTGTTGTATGTTCCTAAGAGGTGGGCAATGCGATCGTACAGCTGTTAATTTGTATCTACTGATCGAGCGTCCGCATAGGAACCAGCATATTGTCGTCTCTAGCTTTCCGACGTCGACTTTTTATATATCGCCTAAAGATCGTACAGGACCAAACTTCGTGAAGCAGTTCGAATGTAACGCTCCTCTGTTCAGTCTCAAATCTCTTTTTTATTCCTCATTAGGGAACGGGACCATTGACTGGGCACCGTACCTCAGTGTTTCTGCGGCCCTCGATTTCCGCAAGTGGCTGGGCGGTGAAAGTGCGATCAATGAGTATTGTCATAATCTTGCCATCGAGGGGGGTAAAGCGCTTGCCAAAGTTTTGAACACGAAAGTCATGGATGAAGATGGCCAGTTTACTGCGCATATGGTGCATTTCGTCCCCCTCATTTAGAGCTGCTACTGATTGCGAAGTCTGTAGGTTAACGTCGTCATGCCGCTTCCTGGTCACATAAAGCCGACGTTGGAATTAGATTTGATGATGAAGAATAAATTGTTGGTCAAACACAATGCCTTCGCCGCTACTTATTATCATAATGGAATGTGGTGGACGAGGTGCAGTGCCCAGATTTGGAACGAGGTATTTTTCGTTTATCGAACGATGTCATGCCCCTTACTGAACTTCTGGAAGGTTGGGGATTTCCAGAAGCTTGGGACCGCTCTCCTCACTCTATGCAGAGAGATCGAAGAGGAATATAGAGACAATTGAATGCTGGTATTACCAATCCGTAGCAGACAAGGTGTGCGGTAAGGAGCGCTATGCTAAGCGTAGGCTCCCCGATGCACATCGTACGCGTCTTCTATGGCTGTAGGCGTGAAGGAAGTCATTCATCAATGCAACCGGGATCTGATATAGATATTCGTACATGTACTGTCCTTTCGTTTTTGAAGCCTCGATGTGGGTTCCTGAAAAGGTAATATTTAGGCAAGGAAAAGCTGTACAAGAAATATCGCGCGACGCGCTCAATAAAATTTCCCAGTGGTTACGACCGTGTGGTGTGACCTGTTTCATCCCATCCCATGGGTAGGAACCTGATAGTCTAGTTTTAAAAATTTTCTTCTCCTCTTTTTTTGCGCTAATAAATGAATCAGAGTTACAACGGTAAGTTCTTCATGGCCAGTTCTTTTTTGAAAGCTAGGAGCCGAACAAGAAGGTGAGGATCTGTGCGACCGTCGGACTTACCTGATATATTTCATTTTGCGAATATCGGACATGGAGACCCGAGAGTCGGGACAAGGGATCCGAAAACGGATACGTATTTGTCGTTGCTATGGCTTATATACGCGTTGTTATGGAATGGCATTGTTCGTATTTGCAACGTGCTGTCCTTCATCTTCAACCATCACTTTTTTTACCGCCCCCGCCGTCCTTTACCTATCCTTCGACATCGACCATGACGACGTACTCTGCATTCTTTTCTTCTGGTCTTCTTGCTCCTCGCCACATATTCACGGCCAACCTCAACGTCAATTCCTTCATAGACTCACCCTCTTCACCTCTCTTTGACGATGCTAGCGACATCGAAGCCGACGACGAGCGGGGCCGTATAACAGTACCGGAGATGACAACTGCTGTTAATGCAGCCTTGCGACCACACCTACGGAAACGTCGGTCGAGTCTGAGCATCGGAACGTCCATTAATGCTCTCAAGTCGCCTTCACGTAATGCGAGCACTGCCCTGCAGTTCCAGATCCACATTCAGGCGTCCCCTTCACGATCCAGGAGTGGAAGTCTCAGCTCAGTGATGGGCACTCTGGTGGAGAACGAATTCCAGGCCAACGTTGCCAGTGAGGGGCCGAGCCTTGTGGCACGGATGAGAAGTGGCAGCGTTGGTACTTCTCTTCGGTACGCTTCTTTTTCTTCTCTCTTCTTTGTCGTCGCTGACATGTTGTTTGCTGTCAGTCCCCGCAGGCCCATTCGAAGGACACATGCGCCCGCACCTTCACTGCCGCCACCTACTGCTCCTCTACCTGATTTGCCGCTCTGTGAAGCTGACAAGCCGAAGCATTTGTGGTCCTCACAGCCGCTTGATCATGCCAGGCACCCGCTTGTACAAAGCCTTCAGCCGGCCTATGCAGCTCTGCCGCAGCCCTTCCGTGCAGAGCCCAAAGGGGCCGTTGATGAGGAGATGAAAGAAAACTAGGCCCCCCCTTCCATGGCGCCACCCAAAAATTACCGTCTTGTCTTTGTCGAATCGATCCTCTATTCACGAATATCCTAATATTAACTCTCGTATATTATTATTTAATCGGTATTCCTTCTTCGGCTACTTTCTTCTCCTTTGGTCCTGGTGGCCGCTTTGGGTTTATAGATGGGTGTGGTTTGCATAATTATTCTTTCTGGCTATTTAACTACCAGATCACTATCCGGATTCCCCGCCGAACCATTGTCCCACTATGGCTTACCACGTTGCATCATTGCTTTCTCTTATACGCTTGCATCTTTTACCCACATCATTTCTTACGAATTGAACGAATTTGTACGATCACAGTAATAGATTCATGTTATGTCTGTTCGTAAGTAGCTGGCTAAGGTGGAATTTCTCTGACTGATCTGAATTGCGCGATGGGGCCGGTTTCCTTGCTCTGCATTAATTTATATCCTAAACTGACTAGTTTTCAGGAAAGCTCTTTACTCGAACATGTGCTCTCAACGCTCAGCTTTCAAACGTGTATTTCAAAACTGTACCAGTGTGAGCGAAGCGAAAACTGTTTGAAGGAACACGCGTAATGCGCCTGGCTTTCAAAGGCAGCCAGCCATTGTGGCATTGTCATCTTAGAGCTTGTGTTCGCTGGCATCGGTACCTGTGAGGTTCCATCCAGTCCTCGTCTTTTCAATCGAACCGTAACGGGTCGGGCAAATGTTTATTACACTATCCATTCATTCATAGGTGGGAGCCCTCGTGCTACGCACGCTCGTTCTCCGAACTGATTATATGGTGCGGCTATGACAATTGACCCTATGATTTACAGATTGATCATTAGGCCAGTGTAGATCCGGCCTGTCGTCATGGATATTATCCTCATCTACGAGTCTGGGCTATCTTTGGCAGGAATAAAGTCGCCTTCTGACTTCCTTTCTGTCTGCTTTTCGAGGGGCATGCCAGTTCCTCGGACCGGAATCAATCATAGGCTTAATTCTCAAAGATACTTGAACTATCTCCTTGAACTATGTAAGCGGACTAGGAATGACCTAAACGCACTGCCATCTGCGGAGATGGAGTTGACGTCGTTTCGAGTGATGGGGCCAGGATCTTCTGAGTCGGAGAATCGTCATATATACCTCATGTCCTGTAGGCAACGACATCTCGTAATGTACACTGTCCGAACTACGCTTCGATATCGGGGATCTCGTTTTTCCACTGCACACCAGAGGCTCGGGCGACATCGAGGGCAATCTGACGCACTGCTCTGACTTCGTCCAAGGTCGCGCCATTCCTCAGCGACCCCTTGAGGTGCCAGTCAACCTGGCGTGGGGTATCATTCGCTATAAGAGCAGCCACCATAGTGAATGAAGTCTCCGCAGCGGAGAGCGCACCAAAGTAGCCGTAGGTATAACCATACCCAAAGGTCGTCGAAAAGAACTCTACAGACCTTGTTAGGCGTGTTTCGATGATGACGGAAACCGCTCACCGAAATCCGGATACAACTCCTTGAGAAAAGGCTGTACCGTTGCTGCCGTGTCTCCATATGTGCGATCAAAATATTCTTGTCCAATTTTAGTCCAGGTTTTGATTGGCAAAGATAGATCACTATGCAGCAGACCGGCGAATCAGCGAGGGATTTGGCCCAAGAAATAGAGGTATACCGAAGGGGCTTCGTGTCGCGCAATTCAGTAGGAGTGACAGGATGGAGCTGAGAAAGAGCATTGATAGCCTAGAGTAGCGGTGCATCAGAACAGTCAAGTCAGAACGCTACATAAAACGCGCCTTAGGATATCCAGACAACAGCCCCGACTTGAATAACGCGTCCTTCAACTTCCTAACCAGTAACTGCCTCTCATCATGCGTGTTTACCCCTTTAAGAGCATATTTGAACACCTCTGGGACAGCCTCTGGGAGATTGCTGGCGCTAAACGTTGTAGCTGCTACGAGAGACCATGGACTAACGAAACCCCTGGCCTGCATAGGATAGAGAGCCTCCAGCCTAGTGAGGAATTCATGAGTAGCGACGGCGGCCATCGACGGACATGAGGTTGAGAGAAGCTTTGGGAGACCGAATATCCGGATCCGATGACGGTCATAATAAATAATATTGAATAGAATCTTCCATTCATAATTTCACTCGTTGATTAGCTCAGTTGGCTAGAACCCTATACAAATATATCTTGTGCCGGGAAGGTATTGAGTTCGATTCTCACGTCCGGTATTACTCAAATGAGAGTGGAGTGTCATGTTGTTTTTCATTAAATTACTCTGCGAATGGAGTGGTTGCGCATGAAAGGTTCAAGGGGACAAGTTATGGTGTCATATGGATGTTGTTGAAAAATTGCAGTTAATGAAGGTCTTTCTTCCTATTAATTAGTTCTGAGTATTTTTTATTTGAATGGATATGAGCACAGTTTCAGAATCATATCTGAAAGTAACTGGCAAGTCAGAGATTTGTAAAGGCTTCACTTCTACTATGTTACTGGAGGATATGCCTAAAGCATGACCAGAAAACTGGTGAGCAACTTGAAGCAGAGAATGCTAGAAGACCATAGACTATTACTGGTTCACTGCTATGGAGGCAGAAAATAGGGTCTACACTTCAGTCTCCATTGTATGATTGAACAGTGGTACTGATGTTCAAGATTATCACTGTGTTGGAGTTGGTAGCACATAAATGTTAGGGCAGGATTCTGGGACATTGTCATAGTTCTCTATTGTTCATACCATAGCTTTGCACAATTATTTTCATTTGGCCAGTGAACACCATGATACAGTTTCAGTGTATCATTTAACTTATTATACATTGAGTCATTATGATCTGATTGGCTTTCTCAGATGCAGAACCCTCTTACAGGCATCTCAGATTTCATCTTCCTCATGCTGTGTTCTTCTTTTTATTCTTTGCTCTTATGAACAAAGTATCCTGTTCAGACTATGCTGTTTCAATCACTTTCTGAATCACAGAATAGAAATCATATGGGCAAGAGATCTTATCAACTTTAAATTGTATATTAGTGTTTCCTTTTCCTCTGCTGAAATGGTTTAGCTAGCCTCCTTTATGAAGGAATGGAAAGATCAAGAGACTAACTGCAAAAGTTCTACATGATCTCAAGAAAGTGGGTGCCTTCCTGAACCTTGTTTATTTTTTTATATGCTGTAGCCTCTCATGCTGCTATCTGTCTGCTTTGGCATGTGCAAGGCAGATTTCTCTCATGGGGATCTCAAGCTCTTATTGTCCCACATTTATAGAGTGTGCAAGCTACATTTTCAGTTGTCTGAGTGGAAAACTTCAATGCTGATCATATTTGAGATGCTTTTGGCTTTGGGATGTTATACTTCCACTAAACACTCACAAATGCTCTGCATAGCTTCTGCTGGAGTCTGAGTCCTGGTTCTGGTTCTAGGTCTGTTGTTGGTATAAGAGTATAATAAGGATGATGAGATAAGCAATAAGGATTTTACAGAGGGGAATGAAGGGGCATGGCTGGTAGAGATAGTCTGCCATGGTGGCAAGAGTATTTGCACCAGGTAGTCAGAGAGTATAGTAGGTGTATTAAACCTTAGCTTGAGACTGGAGCACATCAAGATATACTACAGCCTTAAATACTGTCTAAAGAACTCTATGCCCTACATGCAACTATTGTCTGCTTTCCATGCCTTCTGCTCATTGTCTGAGATAACAATGACTGTCCCCTTGCTTTTGTTTGTCATTATTACTCTGCTATACCATTGCTATGGTGAGTTTCCCATATGTCACAGTTTCTATTATGACAAAGGCATGGGTTGATGCTGGTTGCTGCACTGTTCTCTGCTGTCTATTGTGCACCAATGAATAAGGCATAGCTATGGTGTCATCATGTCTTCATCATCCTTTGTAAGGTCAGCTTTGGGTCAGGATTGGTAAGTATCTGCTTACTAAGCAATAGCAGATCATGATTTAGGGGCAAAAATCATGACATGGGAGCTGCTCCAGAGCTTGTCAGTTTGACTATTGACATGCTCAGCACCATTGATGCAGAGAGTCATCTTCTGGCACTGTTTAATGGACATATGCCAAAATTATGGAGGCTGTGTCTTGAATATTTCTTGACCTGGCCCAGTGGTTACTTTACCTCTCTTATGCACATCTGCTTCCATCATCAGTCTGTACCACAGTCCACCTGTCCTACTACTTCACAGTTTCTTGATTTTCTTGAAGCATGTCCCACCTTTGAGATGCTTGTAATGGTTTTTGCCAGACTCTCATGCATGAAAGAGGAAGATGTTTCAGCACCTCCTCTGGATCAGCTCATCAAACTTAGTTCACTCTGAGAACTACACTGGGGAAAGCTCAGCAATCTGACCTATGTGAAATGACTGCTTTTATATCTATCCCTCCCATCACATACAAGCATGTATCTCTGGACAGATCTCACACAGAGTGATGATTCTGTGAGCAGAAATATGAATGGGAACTTATTCTACCTCCTTCCCTTAGACTGCTCCAATTTGAAGAACCTTGATCACATCACCAAATGGCACCTTTCATGCATGCCTTCCATGATGTACATAATTGTTATATTCACCTGATGTGCCAGGCAACCATACCAGGTAGAGAAGTAGATATATTTATCATTTTTCTATCAAGTTAGCTATCTTGTAAGCTATCTTGTACCCACCATAGTAAGATATAATAAGCAAGTAATTATCTGGAGAGGGCATAGTTCTCTTGAGTGTGACATCTCCATGTCTAGCAGAGACCAGAGCACTAATGGGCCTCTCTGTTCAGCATGTGAGATTCCCAGATCCAGGAACAGAGACCCAAATAATCAGCATGTCAGTAAGGACTGGAGCCTAGTCTGATTGATCAGGTAGCTGTGCATGAGCTCATATCTGTCAGGAAATGAGTTTAGCCTACCTGGTTGGGTCAGCAAGTATATTAGTCAGTAGTCAATTATGTTAGTCAGACATGGGTAGCTAAAAAGTATAAATACCAGATCATGTATAGAGAAAAAGGAGGTTTCTGACCCCCTCTGAAATGCTATCAGGTGAATAGTATGGGAGGTGCTTGGTTAAGAGCTTCAAGTTGTAGACTCAATCTGAATAATATTATGGTGACCAGGTCACTTTGTTTTGTGCAAGAACCCTCAGAAAGCAACTGAAAGTTTATATCAGACAGTCAGAACAAACCCAAGGCAGTTCAGAACAGCCAGTATTTGTGTATAAGTGACAAACAGGTGCATCATATCAGTCTAGAAACTGCATCAGGCAGACTGTTTGAGATAAGTTTTGTTGTGTTCAGTGACACAGACAGCTTTGTCTGAGCAAACTGCAATATACATCCTTGAATTACATTTTATGGCACCCCATCCATGTTACATTCTCTACATATTTGGAATCCAGGTATTACCATTCCTCCCTTGAACTGCATTGTGATTTGGTGTTAGTGTTTTGGTGGTGTGCATCCTGCACATTGTTGATTCATTTAGTGCCACTTCTCAGCATTTCACACCCAAGGTGTTCTCTACACTCATGGCATCTTCTCCCATAACCATTATGAAAAGATTCCATCCATGTTCCCTCTATCTGAAGTCCACACCTTCTATATTCAAGACCAGCTCACTAACCCCATGATGATGACAGTGCTGTGGAACAATATGTTCCAGCACTTGCCCAGCCTTGTTGACCTTTGCATTCAGCCACCCACTACATTATGGATGTCCTTGAGGGTCATTCTTGGGCCTCTTAAACCAGACAATGACAATGGCAAGGTGGTGAAGGGACAGGTGGTGGTGTCCTCTGCTCTGATCATTGTCTATCGAGGGACCGCCAGGGGCGATCCAGGCGTTCTATATCAGTGAGCTAGTGTGGGAGAGGAAGCAGTGGGGGAGTCCTCTGGAGAGAGTGGAGGTAAAGCAACTTCTCGCTCCACAGACGGATTCGCCAGAGGCGACTGTCCCTTCACCGTTCCCTGATAATACGTTTGTCGATATGATCGTGGACGACGAGGAGCAGCTCGGTGAGCATATCGAGCATGTGGAATATTCGTATGACCAGAGGTCGACGGCGTTTTTGCCTCCCGGGTGGCCGAATAGCGTTCATCTCTGGACGACGTCGACTTTTAGCGACCTGAAGCCTGCGATAGGAGACATTTCTGCATGATTAGAGAAAAGGGCATTCCGTCCCAAAGTAGAATACGATGCAATATATCATCAATGTGTAACATAATACAAGTACTTTGGCATATATTATTTATCTAACATTTGCTCACTTATGTTCTGTTCGGTGGAATGTAAACCCACTGGCATTCTCTATTGTTGCCGAATCTTTTCGTGTGTACGACGGACCAATTAATGGACAGATCTGACAGAGGACGGAAGCTTATTCACACTGGAAAGATGAACATTTTTGACAAACCTGAATTTTGAGCACAACCTTAATGTTTTAGGAGCATGGTTTGGGAGTCAACAAACTTCGTGTTCTGGAGGATCTCAATCCCGTGCCGCCCGCCAGAGATCGGGGGCACACAAATTTCATGTAAAATCTGTACCGAGATCTATCTCCCAACATGTCACCTTGTTGCACAGATTCTGGTCGCCCTCAAATTCTCATCTTTCCGATGTGATCATGTCTCTGATGGCTTTAATGAGTTGACGTGTTGCCCAATTCCAACCAGTAACTTCGGTATTCAAACAGAGCTATTTTTTGATATATTTAAGTTCAAGAAGAAACAATCCATGACGATGAAAGCGGCGAGCGGCATCGTGTTCAGTAGCAAAAAGAATGCTTTATTTTGACAAGGCGAAAAATATTGACAATCTAGACACGAAGATAAGGCGACATAGTCCCTCTCTCACGGCTTCAGACTTCTTCGACCGAACCAGATAGCTCGAGTCGTCCTGTAATGAGCATAGTTCCTTCCATATTTCCCTGTATCATATCCTCCTCTACATCGTCCATCTCTGCTTCAGTAGTGCTTCCACGAGATGCCTGAAAGTGTAAGGAAGATTGAGTTTCATGTGAAGACTCTACGGGACGGGCTTGTCCCGAGGCAACGCGGGCGATGATCAAGGTAGGTGCGATACCCTGAGGCTTGTTAGGCAAAAATGATGCGAATTGAAGTAGAAAGACCCACAGTGATAGGATAAGCCAACTTCTGGGCATATATATATCCATTACCCTCGAGAGGGTAGAGTATCATCAGGACCACGTAGAGATCAAAGAATACAGTGCGGCCGATTCTACGAGAATCTCAATAATACCACGATAAGTCCGGATGCCGCCCATGATGCCACGATGTCCTCTAGCAGCATAAATGATACGTCCAACAATCAGACCGGTGCATAGAATGTTGGTTCCCAAGGTCATAGCCATGGTGGGTAGAGCCAAATCTATCGCAAAATCGTCGGCCTTGATCTGATGAACTATAAGAATGCATCCGCAGACTGCAAAAAAAAAAAAGGTAAGTGCTTGCAAGATGACATCGATGAAGTCGCAAGCGATGTAAGCAGCATACCTATTTCGGTGATGACGAAAAAAATCGGAGTGGTCACTACTTTCCAATCGTGTCCCCATACAACCCAACAACGCCAGATCTAAAAGGCGACCATTAAGAAGTAAACAGCCACATCATAATACAGTCTGCAATTATAAAGTTCAGTGCTTCTGCTATCTCACTCATAGTGTCCAACAACACAGATGAAACCACCAAATCGTATCGCGCCCGGAAAGATGTTCCAAAGACAAAAGCCTCCCTAAAAGAGATCCATAAGGCAATGGCAGCGATTGTGGCAAAGATGTATAGAGCTGTGATTATACATCCCATGTATATTCGTGCCCTGGAGACGCTGTTAACTGAGGGGAAAAGGTTTAAGACTGGTTGACGAGCTGAGTCAATATTCATACCCAGTAGTAGCCATATTGACATTCCAAAAATGCCCCTATAAACACCTTTTCAACGGTTAGGACAGGTTCGGAGATGTCTGATCTTGACGTCTGACCATGAGCGAAATGTACAAGAAGGTAACAATTGAAAGTGGTGTCGAGCCAAGCTTGAAGCTCCATCTTAGGGAGTATTGCGTCCGCGGATGAACACATGAAATAGCGAAAGTCAATGTCAATGTCCTAGAAAAGAGAAGCCCGATGTACCGTGTTGGAGAACGTTTATACGGCGCGTTATATATAGAAGAGGATCACGCTGTATCATGTTAAACTGATGGCGGAGTATAGTTTCAAGGAAACCAACATGATGCTGAACTGTCCATTAAGATGGCCTACCTAAATCATAGCACAGAATCATATTCTTTCGCCCTAAGCCATTTTCTAGCGAGTTTCAGCAATTTATGAGTATGGATGAGGGTCGAGTGCACTTACCGCTCGGATAGGAGACGCTCGAATGAGAACAAGAACACCATTCATCCCATGTCACTTCATAAATAGACATATAATATCTTGACATCGCAGATCTGATGTTATGAGTTGTTGCGTTTTGTCAGTTGATCCCGCCAGAAGAATCCGTCTAATAGGCCGAGAAGGGGGGTGATGTGTTAATGCTGTGAATCTTGTCAATCGAGGCACACACTCACGAGCTACAGCCTCTACTGCAATATCGAACCCGGCTTCCTCCCAGCATTCCAGCGAAAGATAAATGAAACGGCTGCAATCTCCTCAGTTGTCACCCTTTTCCCTACATCATCGCCATCATTGGAGCGCGTGACAGTGAGTGCTTCATTTCGCGCAGCCGGTAATCTATGAACGGTGTTTTTACTATCCCAATGTTTCGCGCCAGTGCAAGCGTCGTCTAGCCATCGTCGCCCAATTTTGGAAGGGGGTCTCGTAAGAGTGACTCAGGGATACGTATGGGGAGAAGTCATTCAGTAAATGTAAAGTATATATTCTGGTTAAGTTGCTTGAGGGGCGGAGGGAGTATGTGTGGGCGGGATTACAGTTGTGATCGCGGGACCGAAATTTGCAAGATCGATCATGTGATCCCAACGCGACCTGAACCCTGGACAATCATATTACTGCCACTTAGCCACCTCACTTTCGATTGTGGAGACTTATTGAGATTTCTGGCTCAGGATATAAGTTTTTGGGTTTCTGTCTGTGATTAGATTATTTTGTTCACAGAGGCCAGAGTGAAGGACCAGCTCAGAAAGTCTTCATTCTGTAATAGGAGCTTGAAATTGAGCCACCAGATGGATTGGTATTAGACATAGAAATTACAGAATATGATATCTAGGGGTGGAGCAGATAATGCACACTTCATGAGAAAGAAAAGTTCATCATAAATGTGGGTTCCAAGGGTAAGAAGCATTTCTGTAGACCTCTGCAACATTATCCAGGCTGATTGGCTTTATCAATTAACTCAATCATTGAAGTGCTGCTTCACAAAGAGGAGCAAGATCATTGTTTCATCTCACTTTCAGTGTTGGGTTTTTTACTGATTTTTTCACTCTTCCATCTCTCTCTGTATATTATCTTGTGTCACTTCTTTCCTTACTTTACATCTATTATTCTGTGATTTTCTCTATCACTCATCACCAATTCATCTTTTTTTTTTCCTTTCCTGCTTTAGCAAGGTGTTGCTACCTTATTGTTTGATCACTGTTTCACTGTGATAGCCTAAGCAGAGATGAGGGGCACATGATGGTTTCATATGGAACTCTCTTCAAAATATATATAATAGAACTGAATATAATACTCAAAATAGTGTCTATGCATAATCACATGATAGATAAATTTCCTTGACAAAAGCGGTGGGCCCTGTGCCCAAGTCCAGTGATAGGACAGATCTGTCGTTGCCGCATGAAGACCTAAAATAAGAATACACGCATCAAGGGTTGCCGTATAATCTGATCTTTGTCGCCATGGTAGAATTTCGGTGACCCAATTCATCAAACATGAACCCCGATGTTTCCACCAACGTCGGAGTCGCCTGCCCAGATGTATCGGCCTCGTTCGAGTATTTCTTGTAGGAGCTATGCATGCGGACTAATCTACATCGAAAATAAGTCTAACAATCACGGAAAACACAAAGACTCACTCCGATTGATAACCGAACCGGCAACGACTTGGTCATTTTCAGTTTCCTTCTTGTTGGACGGATCTACTAGCATATCTCCAATTTGAGGTTACCTTCAAGTTTGGGAAGCGTGACCATCCTTGTCCATTTGTGCGTCTTCGTCCGTCCTGGAGGTACAATTTCAGGACATCACACTACCCGTTCCTTCAAGTCGGTACTTAGCCTACTTCTCATACTCGTTCCCCTTTCATTCAACAAGTTCCTCGGGGTGGATTTCCGACCAAGGTTTGGGCCTGGGTAGTCAGCAGAGTATATTACCGACTGCGCAACGAAGCGATGTAAGCTTTTCGCACTGCAAAAATGCTGCTTGCTTTTTTGGTTGTCGTTTCTCATGAATTGTATGCGTGATCAAACGAATGATGTCTCTATTGGTTTAGCAGCCCCTTCATCATAGCACTGCCATAGTGCCTATCAGAGAAGATATAAAGACCTGGAGCGATCGTGTCGGTCTCTCGTTGTGTCCACATCGTGACGATATGGATTCATACTCCCCTGAGGAGGTTGCGAGATGTACGGTCCCATAATCCTTTTTCCGATACCTTCTCTAATAAAACACAGATATAACAAGGTCGTTCATCCTATGGGACTACCTGATCAGCATTGATGATGAGGTTGGCACTTCCTGACAGTCCTGGCGTGCGCGCCCCACTGACGAGTCTTGAAGATCAACTTTTTCTGGGCACGTTTTGATTTCACAATACGATTAGTATGAGGCTGTTCTAAACATGAGTTGGGAACAGTCCTCAAGAACGTCATGGATTAAATTTCTGTTTTTTGTGGTGAGTCTGTTGTCCAGCGTCAGCGATACATGGAGGTGATTACGGCATTATCAGAACCGCTACCTTGGACTTTCCCTCCGATTTTGGGATGTTCTCGGTACGTCACCTCAGAGCTTCCAGCTTTCATATTACCTGATCCTTCAATTGTAAAGGAGAACGATACGAGGTAAGTCGTTTCCTTCGTTCGGTGATGATCAAAGCATTCATTGATGTCTTTCCGATTTCGAAGTCAAATTATTCCACGTACATTATTTTAACCCAGCTCCCTACCTTCCACTGATTCGCGTTATTATTCAGATGCAGAGTAGGTGCGTATTGAAGTTTAGTATAAGAGCTCCACAACGTGATGCAGTGTGGCCAGAAGAAAGCCTATCATCGAAGGAAGTGTACTGTCTGCTCCTTTACCCCGAGTCAATTATATATGGTCCGCAGAATTGTTTACCCTTGCATTCACTATTGCGATTACTTCTCACGTACTTACATCAGTGACGATTCAGCTCGTTATCATAGGAATCATACTGGTTCTTCGCATCTGGGTAATTCTGGGTAAGAAGCGCTGCATCTTGTGGATTTTCTCTGGATGGCTTGCTTGCACTGCAAGCACGTCTGTGTGGCTTTCCTTCGTTTTCAATTTTGGAAATGTAGGGGGAAGTGTGTTCCACTTGTGAGCTACGACGCCGCCGCACTTGTACTTTATCGTTGCAATTTTTTTAGCATACCGACCCTACTCTTTGAGGCTTCCATTTTCACTGCCGGAGCACAACGTGGGATGAAACACTTGCGCTACTGGAGGACACTGCCATCATCGAATGGGAGCACGTTTCAGCTTGGTCCAAAGCCAATGATGCAGGTTATGTTGCAAGATTCGGTCCTCTACTTCATGACGTGGGCTGCCTCGGTGTCTATTATAAAGTCTGTATGTTGAAATCTGATCAGTGTTCTTTTTGCTCTCCCTATAATGACGTTTGTGGTACTGCATCAGCATAGCAATGTACAACTCAAGTTAATGTTGCCTTTCGTACAGGATATCCAGCTGGGGTTGACGATTATAAGCGTCACAGTCACTCGCATGCTGCTTCGGCTCCGTAGGCGGGCTCGAGGCACCGATGCCGCTGGGCAGAGTACTGTCCAGGAAGAGCTGACGACGTTCAGAGCCGTGTCGCGAGGGACAATTTCATCAGAGGCAGAGGTAGCAGGGTAGATATTCATTGTTTGATGGTGCTAATGTGTTGAATGAGACACGTGCTACCCGACACTTTCCCTCCTTGATTATCTATACTGTACACTGTTCCTTACAGACTCTTTCTTTTATCCGAGCTCCTATACTTCATCCCGACAGTATATATTCCTAGTAGTTACACCTGCATCCTCAGTCGTTTCATCTATACTGCGCTGACTGAGGTATGTTACTTAACTCATATACCTATATGCACTTTACTTACTTATCCCGATAGTTCTTACAATGCCATTCTTATTACTTTCGGTATGGTACACTATCAATACAGTCGTTTCACCTATACTGCGCCGACTGAGTTCTTACAACGTCGTTCTTATTACTTTATAATGCACCACTATCAGATCAATTGGCCACGAAGGCTGTCAGTGAACACGGCGTCGTCTTCAGCTGTTTTGAGGGCCGGCATGACCGTGCTGGGAACAGCTTGAAAGCCAAGTATTGCTCTCCATTCTTCTTACCCTCTCTCACTGTTGCTGTTTCCTGGTCTCACCTAGAATCTACCAAAGACACAGGTTCGGAAGACGTAGCAACAAGCCAGTTTGATTGAGTAATGAACCGGTCAAAACTACAATTTGTCATTAGAAACTAATAACCGTACGAAATTAAGACTATTCACTTTTAGGGATCCTTTTCCGGCTACTACTACATAAATGGAATGTGAAAGGAAAGCAGAAACTTAAAGCGTGAAGATAGGAAACAAAAACGATGGTAACGCATGAAACAGCGTACAAGAAGATCCGCCCTCAATCTTAAGCAACGTCAATCATCTCTTGAAAGGCACAGCTCGCCTTGGAGCTCAAAGTCTTTCGTAGCCATAAGCCGAATGTTCAAGAATAGTCAGTGACGACATACATCCGGCAATCCATTTTCCGTAGGCGGTCCAGCCAGGACAACATTATGACCCACATCGCTCGAGAACTCTTTAGTCGTGTCAATTTTGATGGATATACTCGATCCACGATGAGACGAGAACGTGGACACTTTGGAGATGTCGTTTAACGAGAAGCCGATTTCGCCACAGGTGTTGATACCTTCGGCAGCGGTGCGGATCCGCTTGCGGGCGTTCAGCGTCGCGAGGAGGGAGTTTGAGTATACTGTCAAGAACAGGTGTCAATACGGGTCTGATGAGCTTAGAAAATAACTCACATCGACCCATGCAGAAGAAAAACGTAATGTAGATGAACGTATTGGGCGCGGTTAATATCTAGACATGATTAGTGCCCATACAAGGAGGAAAAGAGAATATAACTGACAGAAATTAAGGACGCAACGGCACAAAGACTTGTGAGGAGGCCGGTGTTGACCGCGAAAAGGATCTGCTTAAAGGTGAGTATGTTCAGAAAACAGAGGAGAAAATGAACAAACAAGTTTATTGATCATGGTGTCACTATTTTGGAATCCAGTCCTGGAACGGTGGAGAAGAAGACAAAGAGTGCCAGCAATGAAAACGTCTCCAGCAGCGGCAAGGGCATTGACGCTGATGGAGAGGTACTTGAGACGGGCGAGTTCAACAAAGGTATGGACGTGGATCAGGCTGATGGTAAGTTTCAGCAAACGAGCGTGGAAAGGTCATGAAGATACATACGCTAAAGTTCCAAACGCTTTACAGAGACGATGAGACCTTGTCATTATGGCAGACTGCGTTAGCTCACCGATAATGCACCCTAGAACGGAGAGTTAGCAAGGTGAGGAACACTACGTTAAAACAATTCCTACCAAATTCGGCGATGACCAATAACGCGACGATGGCCGTGACAACAAAATTTTCGCTGCTCACTAAAATCTTGATCAGCTCGAATAGCAAGGAAGAGCGTATATTAAACCACGCACAACGCCAAACACGTAGAGCGAGGAAGCTAACAAAAATTCAGAAACGACACAGTCAGAGACCAAAAACAAAAGACCTCTGAACAAGAAATGCCGTGAACCCATTCAATAAAACCTCAGCCAGGAGACTCCTACGAACCCATTAACGAGATCAGAAACATAAGAGGAGTGGCTAGCTCACCAAACGGTCTTTTGAAGTTCGGTTTCATCGCCATAATGACCGACAAGATACGAATAGACTACGCAGTTAGCTCAGTGGCACAAAAGCCTGCCGTCGACCATATATAACACCTCACCGGTATGAAATATAAGCACCTGATGCACTGTATCAAGTACTATAACAGCCGTAACCTAGGACATGCGGTTAGCAAGAGCCAAGGGAAGAAGAGCGTCAAACATACGATCGACTTTAGTGGCCACTGGTCATGTTGGTGCGTAAAATAATACCAGGCTTGGACACATGAGACTGAAACACCTCGTTGAGAATACAGAATGACGCAGGCGCGAAGGGCGCATACCACCATGCAGACTATCCAAAAAAAAAAGGAAAAAATCAGACACGGAAGGACGGGAACAAGTGACAAGAGACCTGACATACATTGCTGCAACGACGACACCGATGAACGCCGCCCCTATCCTGTTCAGAGAAAACGCTCTTCAGCCGAAGATCAGTCGAAGAAAGACGTCAGCCACTCACGTCTTATCAAGTGAAAAATCAGGTATCATTTTTTCAGCGAGGGGAAGGAACGTGAGTGACGGTGAATGGGTGGAGGCTCGAGAGGTATCCGCGATCGAGCGTTAAAAACAGGAACGCAGGCCGTTTCTACTTTTAAACTTTCTGGGGTTGTGCAACGGAGCACGGGAAGGGACACTTCGAATTCCGGAAGCTAATTGGGCAGAGGATCAGCGGTGCGATATGTTAATGCATACTTGATGCGAACTTGTCGATAGCAAGAGAAAAGAGGACGGTAGTCGAGTTGGGACATCTGGACAATGTAGATAACTGAGAGCGAGTAATGGAGGGGAGTGTTCGTTCACTTACAGAAGGGAAAAAATGAAGAAAAGGTCATGCTCCGAGCCAAGATCCACCCAAATAGGTGTCGGGCAGCAGACCTCTAGACAGCAGCTCCGAATTTGCACTTGGGCGAACAAAAGGCAACATCTGACGTCAAGCCTGCCGCGGTAATTATTCAGAACAAGCGGATCCCACCCAATACATCGTCTGTCGACCGAGGTTTACGTGCAAGCAACATCGCTGGGAACATTTCCTGCATGATAAAAGCTTCAGTGGTAACATTTGAAGAAGGCAACATACCGGAATCAATGCACTCAATCTGGTGGCTTCGAAAAAAGATGGATGGATCGTCGTTTGCGGCACCGATACAGAGACTCAGGCGGGGAAATGAAGTCCCATGCCCTTCCAATCACCACATCAGGTCAAAGGATTCAGTTTAGAACCTTGTGCCCACAAGAAAATGTCGCACTCATGTGCATCGCCGTTGTATGAGTGATAACCGCCTGACCCAGGTTACCATACTCTCTGATTTTCCCCGCGTGGGAGTTGCGCGAAGGTTCTCTGGAAGGTGCCCGTCTTTCACGTTCCCTCCTTCCTTGTGCTATTGACGAAGCACTGGCTTCTTTCTTAGCTTAAATGCACATCGGTCAAACATGTCGATTACATCGATAAGCGGCTTTGGTGAGGCCGCAAAGCAGAACCGATGGTCGAGAGCAAGCATGTACTCGACTGAAGAAAAAAGTGAGAACAGAGCTAAGAATGTTTCTGTAACGTTAATGAGCGCGACACAAAAGAGGATAGAATATCATATCATATTATGACTCACGGTCCCTGCTAACAATTCCAGACGCAACACAGCACATATACAATTTCCCGTATGCCTTCGGAGATTAAGCTCAACCCCAGAACCTAGAACGACGAATAGGCCGTCAACGTCAACGCAGACCATATCTCCAGAAGAATAGAAATGCGCCTCTTTTGTAGTGTGCTTGGTTAATTCATCGGGCATCGGCTAGGATTGAGCATTACCATGATGATGCGACCTGAAACAGAATATCATTTGCTCTCTTTTTTAAGAGGTGTTATCCTTAAAAGAACGCGTCATATCCGGCATGTAATAATCAGGCTTTGTCACAGTTGCCGCTACTGACGCTTCAGTCGCTATGAACATCATCAGTTTGTGCCTCTAGGACGACCAGAAAACACCCACTTCGTCCTGACCACCAACGGCAGCAGTGAACTCAATATACTCTTCGTAAGTCGTTCCATTAGCATTCGCAGCAGTTATCACATAGATACACACCTATGCAAGGTCTAGATGAGCAATCGGTGAAGAAAAATTGCGCATATACGCACCTCAAGGTTTCATCGTCGCCGGATTCCTGCCCATATCCTAGTAAAGGGGACCAACTACTGCATGTTGCCTTAGAAGCGTACCATCACCCATCCTGTCCTATACTGCGAGCTTGAGAGGTCATGCTTGTGTATTTAATGTTCCTTGCTGGCAGTTTCGTTGAGATATCTGTGTCATTAAAAGGACCATGAGATTGCAGTCTGTATTAGGTAGCGTGTCCATCAAGACAGAAAGAATGTAGGAACAAATTGTTCTCCAGAAAGGGCCACAGGGCAGAAGGACAAGAAGTGAAAGAACAGATTTGGAGGCCGCGACACGATCACGTTACTGTCACGGTAGCCACAGCCACCCACAGCCACATTTCAAAGTCACGGCCACGTGTTCTGGGCCAGCTTTTCCCCTCGGCCAGTGAGCCACTCTCGTAAGTTACCGCAGGTTTCAATTCTTCCCGATAAAAGTCACACTGATACTGCAAGCTGATCCGTGCTCCTTTCACCCGTTACAGCGAGATACATGACGCTTCATACTCCTATTTTGTGCCTTGAACAAGAGTGAAGCTAATGCCTAAATAAAGACTTGAAAGCCTTTGGGAATTTTGTGCTCGGCCTCGTTTCCTTTCGTCATGGATTCTTCTCTGATATAGCATGGGGAAGAATATCAACCCGTTCCCGTGAATCGTCGCATTTCTGCAGCCGGTCCACAGTCTACTAGAGCCAAGAATATCGCCATGTATATATTGTCGTGCCTTAATGCAATGACGAGGACTATGTTTAAGTAGTATACCCAGGCTGCATCTGCTGAATGTGACCGTTCCGCGATCGAGCTTGTCATTGTCCCCCGCCCAATCTGAGGTAACACACGTTCCTTCAACCGAAGCTCCAGTGAAGGAATCTATCCTTGACTCGGATAACCCCATCAATTGTTTTCTCTATCTTGATAGCAAACCCGTTTATGTCGTCGAACCAAATGATGGTGACAGCAGAACAACTTCCGGTGTACCTCTCAGCCTAACGCAATATGCGATATTCGCTGGAGCACATTCTCCCCGGACAATATCACATTCAAGGGAGAAGAGAAAGTGAACAGCAAGTGGTTGCATTCTGAAAGCCTGTTCGCCAAGCTGAAGACGTCTTGAGTATCCATATTGTGTGTCCTCCTCTTGACACAAACAAACTTTTTCGATAACTGACCGAATCACTTCAGCCCAGTCAGCCTGCCAGAAGAGGGCCGGCAGTACGTCATTCACGGGTCTCCAACCGGTAAAATCTTGGTAATGCCATCATCTTCCTTTCCAATTGAAATCAAACCTAAATCAGAGCTCATTCACAGATGCTCATTGGGGACTATCCGATAGCATGGTTCACACCCTTTCGCACAAGTCTCGCTGAAGGGTAGCTTCGTGATATTCCTGCCACGATCTCGCTCAGCATCGAGGCCGTGTATATACGGGATCTTGTCATAGTTGCATTGCTTGTGCTGGAAAGCGTTGGAGAGCAGCTGGTAAAATATCACTTAATAGCGGACTTGCAAGGGCCCATGCGGTGGGGATTAGTCCTGAACTTGGAAACGTGTAGTTGGGGCTTTCTCGATCGTCCTGAATCGATCGATCGATCGTATACTGTCAATTTGAAGGACAATTTCAAGTAACGCGTACAGTATCATTGTCATCACTATTGCATGGCTCGCTACCAGACAAAAGTAAGGATACACGACGGCACTACTCTTCACCATCCCTTACTCACTAACCTACTGCATTCTAACCAAGCATCAACACAAGCACCGCATGAAGTTGGTCTCTCAATCCTCCCTCTGCGCGACCTTGATCTGCAAACGCAACAAAGATCCTTTCTCAATCTCGCCTTCCGTTGTAGGAGTCATAACAAATGTAGCCTCTCGACGGATATCCGTATCCTCAGCCAGCGAGAACTCAAAGGATCCAACGAGTTGGATCAAGAACATGTGCATTTCCAGGACACTTCAGCATGTAGTGAGAAAATGACCCAGGAGCAAATGGAAGAAAACCCACGCGAATCTCCAACCGATGCAAGACCTTGCGCCACCAGTGAATGTGAACCTGTATTGAATATTCAATATCTTAGCAATATCAAGTCCATATTGAGCACTTGCAGGCTCCCGTATACACCCAATGACGCGGTCGTTTTGGGAACGTACTCACGCAACCACCTCTCGGGATTGAATACATCAGCGTCGTCACCAAAGATTTCTTTGTTCCTAGGATATATAAGTGTCGCTTGAACTTGACATGACAAAGAGACCGACCTATTGTATGCTGCAACAGAAGAAACGATCTGCAGGCCTTTCGGTATCGGTAACTCGTGAAGAACTTTGCCCGATATCGTGGTAATCGGCTTGCTTAAGGGAAGAACATTGTCCTGGCTGGAAACCCTGAAAACATTGTACACCACAGCATGATAGCGGAGTGTTTCCTTGAGCATACCATTAACTCTCTATGTACACGAGCGACATATAAATTTACACATACCTTGACAACAGCAGAAAGATACGGCATCGAATCCAGATCTGAGGCTGTGAACTCGGTACGACCATTATCGCGAATGGCCTGCTCGGCGGAGTGAATTTCTCGACGAAGCTTTTTCTGTATCTCTAGATGCTTGCAAAATTCCAAAAGACCAAAACAGAGCGTATTAGATGTCGTCTCGTGCCCTGCAAGAATGATTGTACTGGAAGCCCCACAGTATATAAGATTCGACCAGCAAATACGATACACTTACTTCATCTGAGCCAGTAGTTCACGCTCTGGCAATCTGGTTTCCGCATTTTCAGAGGCATTCGCTTTGACTGAGCATTCTCTCAGTATTGCGAAACAGGATATGAAATATGGACGGACGTACCCAACAAGCTCATGACATCTCTACGGCCTTTTCCTTCGAGTTGGGCCTCAGATTTTTCCTTGACGAGGTCTTTCGCAATGGCAGTCGAGAGCTTGTTGGACAACATCGCGTGGGATAGACGTCCAGGAAAATTCCACATCAGAAAAGCGACGACGGCAGGAGGTAGATGATCCATGATCGAGAGGGCAAGAATCGCGGCCTTTGTTGGTATACCAAAGATGTAAAAACTGCAGTGCTGAGAGAATTAGAATTTCTGAACGGGAAGGACTCACAATAAATTGGAGTACGCCTTTGTTAGTTGGTTACCGGAGTCATCCAGGGCGCCAAAAGAATAATCAAAAGCGGCTAGATGCTCAGTGAGTATTTTGCAGTTACTAAAAGGCGGACACAACAGCACACCGTAACCAATAGCGTCCAAAGTGGCCCTAGATATCCAGGAAGTGACGTCCAAAACGACGGATTGGTCGGTGCTCAGTTCTATTTCCTCCTCCCATTTGCGGCACATCTGGACCAAGCATGAATACCATTGTGTGCAAACGTAAGAGAGTTTGATACAAACCTTCTCGGCACACTGAGAAAATATCGGAACAAAAGCTCTCGATTCCGGACCGCCAAAACCGGGAAGCATGACTCTGCGCTGGCGTCTATGGACATCGCCTGTATAATCACAGTCGGCCTGGCATCATGCTTTTTTGAAGGTTTCAAAGCGGCCTACCATCTACGTTAGATAGGCCAGGTCCGAACAGTAGGCGAGAAATTTGCCGCCTTCCTTCAGGTTTGGGGAACCTGTAACTTGCTGTATGATAGATGTACTGAATAGCTTTCGGGTCAGCAATGAAGAGGCGGTCCTCCTAAAGAAATAATGAATGAGACCATCAGAAGCCAATGCCATAGAGTACTCACGCCTAACGGCGCCCGAATCCTGAATACATCTCCGTATCTATCCCGCCATTTGAAGTCGGTCTAACTCGAATTGATTGAGGGTGAGTAAGCTCCTTACTAGGCAATAGTAGACAGAAGAGACCCCTACCTCGCCAGCTTGACCTCCAAGGAATTCAGGTAAGTTTCCTAGAAGGCGATTACAGTGATTAAGATGTAAAGAAGGGGGAGGGGGGGGAAACGAACCGTATAAAAACGACCTGCATTCTGGTCCGGGGACATCAGATATTGAGATTCTTCTCCATCGCCTATAGACGGCACAAGCTAGAGAAAAAGTGACAAGTGCGAGGACGGATATGAACATCTGTTTGTAGACTACTTATCCTACGACACTAGTGAGATTAAATCCTCATCACATCCGCTCCATCACGGCCCAGACAAAAAATATCCACATAATGCGACTCGATAGCGAAGGTCGGCCCTTTGTAGGGTCAGGTAATAAATCCATGCGAGGATTACCCCGATCCTTTAAAAACCGCATGGCAGAACAGGAACAAAGACCAAGATCAGCTCGACCAGTATATAGTGAAACAACGTATTTCCCTAGCCTATTATATATGGCTTTTCCGATATCTTTGGTGAAAGTTACTTGGTGAACGAATCAAAAGAAAGAGGTCGAAGAGAGCAATCTAAGACGTATGGTATGGAGCAAGATGGCGGATTTAAGCTCATCAGATTACTACGGAGAACTTGCCAAGTGCTCTAGAAAACGGTTTTTGCAGAAATACCGACACCAAAGAGACTGACACAAATTTGTAGATGAAATACGAGCGACTCCGTCGGACGTCGGTGATAGTACTGGGTCAACGGCCCTCAGATCGCAGCATAAATGTTGAAATCCCCGGCCCGATCCTCGAACCGCTTCCGAAATCAGCTTCCCCTCAACGAGGTGCCAATTTCTCAAGAGGTTGGCAGAGAAGAGAACCTGACAGGTAAAAGAAGGTCGTACCGGGGGAAATGTGAAGTGGGAAGTCTGTCATGTTTACAGAAACAGCAGGATTAGCTGGAAGACTCCGAAAAGGGAATGCGAATGCGAGGTCGAATTAACATCATGACGGCAGCAAAGGAAGAAATTGGGCACAGCCACTTGCAGTCTGATCGTCGTCTGATTCGCCAAGTCAATGTAATCATCATATATACAGAGAAACTTAGATAGTACAAAAGCAGATCAATAAGTATGTGGGGATAATGTTCACACAGTAATTAGTGTTCGGCTGGAAACCTCCGAGAAATGTGTAGAAACCTGAGAAGGGATCACTGACCCGGGCGCGCTTCGCTCTTCCGTTACCTCTCCTTCAACCTCTTCACCCGACTTCAATATCCTCCCTTGGAAGAACGCGATGACCGTGAAGGTGAATAATAACAGCCATGTAATGCACATGACGATCGTCATAACGAGGTGGAATGTAAAGAACCCCTGGATTTGAAAAATGTCGCCTAGGGAACGTGTAGCGTTTATCCATCCCACTGAGAGAAAAGAAGCTTTTAGCCTGAGTGATTACTTATGCAACAGAGCGTACCATTCGGAAATGTCAGAGCCCAACCTGGATGGTGCGATAAATGAAGGTGGGGGCGGCGAAGAGCCAGATATGAGTACGCACAGTCAAGAATACCGTCCATATGCTCGCACGAGAACCGGTAGGAAATAACACCCAAAATGAAGAAAAACAACGCTAGACCGTAAAACAGCAGGCTCGCCATCACGCTCGCTGAATACCAGATGTCGCCTGCGATGTCTGTGATGTATCCGCGAGCAGCGAGGCTGTACAAGCTCAAAAGTTAAAACACGAGACATAATATATGAGTTCGCAGTACATACATTGACCTTGCGTGATCGCCGAGGCTAATTAATGTAAGCGCCGAAAACCCTGGCGGACTACACGCGACGAAGGCGACATTTGACTGTTTGCCAGACATGAACCCGATCTAAGTATGGATGTCAGCCCAATGCCAGCTCCTAGAACTGTACACACGGTCATAACCCTGTGGATAGTTAGGAACGACGATCTAACAAAGTATTGAAAACATACCGATGAATGTATATAGCAAGATAGAAGAAAGCCATGAAGAGCCCGAGACCTAGCATAGATGTCGTCAGTTCAGGGAGCTCCGCCAGATATTGGGTGTACTTAACCGTGAACAACGTAGCCTACGAGCAAAATGCCCAGAGCCCTTGTATCGGACGCATCGATTACCCTCAAAGTATTAGCTGACACCAGGCCAGTAAGCATCTGCCAGAGCAAAGGCCATCATATTACGACACCCCGTGAACCATATTATCGTCACCCACCATGGGGAACACCTAAGCAACTGTTTGTCCACCGTAAACTACGACATAAGAATGGGCGCTTACTGGAAACGCGTATGATGGTGCAAAATTCGACAGTTCGTGCGGCTTGCTGAAGGTTATTTTTATCATGGGAAAACACGTTGCAATCGCAATGGCGAGGTATATCCTACAGTTTCCGATAAGCATGCCACGCAAAAGCATGCATGCGAACGCGCTACTGACCAGAACAGGGCGTATATTAGGTTTGAGCTGATGCGGCCGTAACTCATGTCGTAATCTATGGTGCCGACAACTATGGTAGCGAAAGAAACGACCTAAAAGAATGATTTTAAAGAGGACTCAACAAGACAGAGGGAAGAAATGTTCACCATCAACGGAACGAATATTCCTTGTATCGGATCCTGAAGACGGGTCCAAGCAGAGCCAGGAAAGACTGTATGAACACAAGCATGAGCAAAGAAGCCATAAAGCGTACAAGGAGAAAAACGCCCAAATAGCTTGTAAAAAGAGCATGACAATGTTGACAAGAAATAGAATAATGCTGAAGAAGAAAAACACCGTCTCTATGTTTGACACGAACGCAGGATGGTGCTTCAGGTCCGAGAGCGTCATATATACGGCGCTCGTACCCATCAGAATGGGGAACTAAAAAGATGAAGGATCCTAGTCTCGAGTTGAAATCCCTGGATAGGCTACCAAGACACTTACCGCCTGCCATGACCATCCATGTATGCGCCGTGCGATATCGCTCACGGGTGGTGATGGCATGTCGCTTTGCATATTAGACTGAATCGATGCGCTGACTTGCTGTTGATTCAAAGTGGAAATTGTGAGCATAATTTGGAGAAGAGGGACCGTGTAGGAGGGTTACGGAGGAGGATGTGGGTTTGTAGACCAAGAAATCAGCGGCAGATCAAGCTTTAAGGTCGCCCTTTGGCTACGGGATCGAGATTCGACTTTATGCTTTTAAAACAAGAGACATAAGATATGAGTTTGTTAACCTTGGGCATCGTAGACGCCCATTAACGTAAGTGCGCAGAGACTGCATTTGATAGACTAATCTTCAGGAGCCGTGCATGTTCACGTTGTCTTGGCTAGGCTGAGAAACGCGTTTCTGTTTTGTTGTAGTTGACTATTCAATGTTTGTCCATCAGTTTGGGCTAGGATGAACGGGGATGATACATACTTATATCTAGATGTGCGAGTTATAACTTGTTGGCTGGGTTCGGCTAGGCTGGAGCTCCCGGCACATAAATTTGATGTTCGACGACAAAATTATATGCACCATCATAAATATGGACCGTGAGTAATATTAATCCACTCAGTTTGTGCTGCTTGCCACGAAGATTGCCGGATAACAAGTAGAGTAGGCTAGCATCGGATATTCTGCAATATATATGAAATCGACATAGTTCTATATTTATGATTTAAACGGCACTTACACCGAGGATGAATACTAAATAGACGAGCACTAAGGCCCAACTGCAAAATGGATTTGGGAGCCGGATCTTGCGGGAGACAGTATTGAACAACATATGTTCTACGCATTCCCGATCAACAACGAGGTTTAAGGTGATTTTTGTGAGAAATCGCTGAAGGAAACAAGAGACAAAGGTAGGGCGAAAGGGGTCCGGAGTCCGGACTGATGAAACTCAATGGTTACTGACGAGGAGTTCGGGAAATAATAGAGCCAAATACTTGCGCCGACTCCTGGCCGTAGGTTGAATCTTTGCCTACTGCAACTCCGGTACAGCATCCCATCAATCGTCCCGGCTCCACGCCCGTAGACGACCTTCTTCATCCACAGTGCCTCAGCGATGCCTGCCAACGACCACAACGATCTCTATTCCTGTTACCCCAGAACTGCACGGGCGCGAATCAATACTGGCAATCTCCGCTAATATCAACATTAAAACCCCGAACGACACGGAGGGGGAGGGTACTGGCTCATGACTGTAGGCAGCACATGATGTAAGGCGATCCGAGGACGGGCGGCCGACGACCAACGGCGACGCCTATTTGTGTGTCAATTCTGCGCCATAGGACGCCAGGATGGTGTTGGATTAGCAAGCAGGAGCTCGATACCCCTTTATGTTGGGATGGACAATATATACCGAATGCCGTCTGTCGAGCACCCTCACCGCGTTTCTGCCTATCGCTACGCCGTGTGAGGGTGAGTATCTACTTGTATCACTTCATATATCTTACTGATCAATATCCTGTAGTCTACGTTATATCTAACAGTGTATTCTAACAGGTGCTACAAAAGTGCGCCATTCTCTTAGAGATGGCGGAGCTAGCACTATCTGTATCCATCGCCATGCCTGCCGATGTCCGCAGACCCTCATTTCTATCCCTCTCAAGGCCTTCTGCCCACCATCCGACCATCCGACCATCACGAGTATGCGTCGCCGTTTCGAACTTCGGAAAAGTTTCACGGCGGCATTCATTTCCTCTAGCTAACCTCCTTCTTTGATACTCTTCTGCGTTGCTAGGCCATGCTTGAACTCCGTCCCTACCACAAGGCAACACAAACGAGAGGCCGTCTGTAATGACTGGTGGGTGTCCTTCATGCGTATATCCAGCATCATTTCACCTGTTAATTCAACATCATATCTGGATTCGGCAAGTTTCAGTAACACAGTTGAGTTCAGCTCAGATTCGTATCTGCCGTGCTTAGACGCCCAACCGGGTGGCCGTTTACGGTCCGCCCTTGCCACCTGATGCGCTCACAGCACCCGGGCACGTTGTCTATGTCGGGAGCGATCATCGCAGATCCCTTGGCCGGCTAGCTGGCCCACTGGACCAGGATCCAATCGCCTTGGAAACCAGCCTATATGCATAAGATTTATTCCTCCTTCATACATGCGTGAGTGCTAGTCTGGCCCAATCGGCATATATCTGATTCAGAGTCCTTATTACTATGAGCCATGATAATCGTCGCAAAGTATTTCCAACCAATAACGATGACAATGTCTCGCACCATCGGCACCACCACCACCACCCTCCCCACCACTCAAATCCCGCGTGCGTCATTATTTTTTAGCTAGGTCGTTGCCACGGCTGCTGATGGGGATCGGTCCATCACAGCACCCCTCCATCCTATTTTTACATTGCGACCAACACGAGAATGCTTCATTGCTTTTTCTATTATGAATGGTCGATGAATTCAACTGCGGCATCCGTTTCCTTTGACTGTCCTTCCTTGATGCTCTGTTGATTTGCTGGCTCATACTTCAGGTCTATGTTGTTATTGGCACCTCCATGCGCCCCAATGTGTCCGTTGCGCCATGCTTCCCGTTTTCGCTCAATAAGTCATGGTTAGAGGACACGAATCCGTATGGGCTTAGCATCACGCAGTTCATTAGGGATTGCGCCGACATGCAGCTGTGCAAGAGCACTGATGAATGATGGGACCTCGACACCCAAAAGGTACTCTGAACCAATGTACCTTGGGAAAGCCAGATAAGCATCCCAGACTTGAAAAGTGGGACCCTTAGCTTTCGCGCAAGCACTAGCCGCTCCTCGTGAGTTTTCAGGCCATACTTGGAGAGAGACAGCCAGCATCTACTGTTCAACCTTTCCCGTAGGAGATCTCTCCCGATTTTTTCTCAACGCATTGAACTCGTATAAATCGTATCTAACCAGATTTACCCCAAAGTCGCCACAGAGCTCTTTTCGACTACTTTTTTGCGTACGTGTTACACATGCAGCTTTTTCGATGGTGCTGAGACATCGTTCGCCGCCAGCCAACGATACATCGACTGGCACCTTCAGTTGTGCTACGCTGAGACGAAATGAAAGCGGTTCGCCGGATTACCATCGAGGTCGCCAACGCGTCAGGCATATAACGTGGAAGGATAACATCCCTGATATCAAAGAATGAAATTGATGGCATATATAAAGATATCTTTGGCTCTTCAGCATGATCGATATCGATCACTAACGACTAGTAACGGCTTCGTCACAACATTGCGGCTTTTTCATAACCGCTTGAAGGCAGCTTCTTCTCATCATGACAGCAGAAGGAGAGTCGGCAGAGGTACAGCCCACACTGAATGTGGCTCCTCGGAGTCTAGTCCACTAGATCTACTATATACAAAACAACAAAGCAAACAAGAAGTAGAATCCGTATGCGAAGATCGCGCGTTCAAATATTAGCTGTCCGACTGGAACTCTCAGAATGGTGTGTAGAAGGAGGATTCATGGGGCCGTCCTTGTCCTCCGTCATTCCCGCAGGTACCCCTTCTTCAGCCTGAATGTCCCTGATGACGTCCTCTTTCTTCGACTTGAATATCCACCCCTTGCAGAATGCGATAACCGTGAAGACGAATAAGAGCAGCCAAGTGATACACATGAGGATCGTCATGACGAGGTGGAACGTGAAGAACCCCTGGATATCAAAGATGTCGCCGAGAGACCGTGTGGTGTTTATCCACCCCACTAGGGAAAAGTGATGTACTCAGTCACCCGTCCTAGAGGAAAACAGCAAGCAGTGCATACGATACGTACCATTTGGGAACGTCAAAGCCCAGCCTGGAAGGGTTATCAGCAAGGAAGACAGACGATGTAAGGAAGGGTTACGGGGCACGCACAGCCAAGAATCTCGTTCATATGTCTCCGCAGGGAGAACCGGTATGGAATCACGCCAAAGATGAAGAAAAACAGCGCTAGTCCGTAAAGCAGCAGACTCGCCAACACGCTCGCAGAATACCAGACATCGCCAGCGATGTCCGTAACATATCCATGGGCGGGTAGGCTGTAAAAGTATTATTAAACATGGGGTTGGGGGTGGGGGAGAGACGTGAATCGATACGACGTACATTGTCCTTGCGTGATCCCCAAGAGTGATTAACGTAAGTGCGGAGAAGCCAGGCGGGCCACATGCGACGAAGGCACCGTTGGCTTGTCCGCCGTGCATGAATCCGTTCTATGTATAGCCATCAGATCAAGGTTGCAGTCCCAGTTTCCAGCATTGTACGTACAGCCATGAGCCTGAAAATGATAGATAAGATTGATATAGCAAAACGATCAGGAACTTACCGAAGAATGTAAATAGCAAGGTAGAAGAAAGCCATGAAAAACCCAAGACCTGTTTATCAGAGTTAGGAGCAGTTTCGTCAGGTACCATAATTTGCTTTACCGTGAACGATGTAGCCTACGAGAAGAAGGCCCAACGCTCTGGGATCGGACGCATCAATCACTTTCAGGGTATTAGCCGCCACGACTCCCGTTAGCATCTACCCCGATAAAGAGCCATGAGATGATCCAACAAGAGCCACGCACCACTCACCAACGGGAACACCTGTCCAATGCGTACATATTCAAAGTCGGTTTCCCGCAGGATACGGAGAAACTTACCAGAAACGCATATGCAGGGGCGAAATGCGCCAGATCATGCGCCTGGCTGAACCATATTTTTAACATGGGAAAACACGTTGCGATTGAAATAGCGAGGTATATCCTGGGACCACCGGTAAGTCAAACACGCATACACCTGCACGCAAGTGCGTGACTCGCCAAAACAAAGCGTAAATGAGGTCGTGGCCAACGTGGCCGTACGTCGTGTCATAGTCCACAGTACCGATGACTATAGTAGCGAAGGAAAGGACCTGCGAAATGTGGTTTTTTTTTTAAAAAAAAAGTGCTGAGCAAAAAGACAGAGGAAACAAATGGTCACCATCAAGGGGACAAATATTCCTTGCATTGGATCTCGAAGAAGAGTCCACGCATGGCGAGGGAACACTACACGAGTTACGCACGTATTCAGCAATCGAAGACAAAAGGCTGTCATAAACCACAGAGGGGGCGAAAAAAAAAAGACGCACAAATAGCTTGTGACAAAAGCATGAAGATATTCAAAAAGAACAGAACAATGTTGCAGAAGAAAAACACGGTCTCTATCCTCGACACAAACGCCGGATGGTGCTTCAAGTTCGAAAGCGTCATATAGACAGCGCTCGTGCCCATCACAATGGGGAACTACAGAAAAAAAATGACAAATTCTAGTGTCGAGTTGAAATGCCGGGGACCTGCCAAGACACTTACCGCCTGCCATGACCATCCATGGATGCGCCGCGCGAATCCGCTTACATGGACCGGTATGCCCCTTGCGTTGTGAGATTGGGAGGATGCGCTGACTTGTTCATGAAGAAAAGCACGAATCGTGAGCATGAACTCTAGTGGGGGGTATCGTGCAAAAGGGAGGGTATGATGTTGGTTATGATGCAGCGGCGGACCCAGGTGGCTATTTGATTACGCCATCGAGGTTCTACTTTTGGCAAAGCATCCACGGACACGTGATATTTGCGCGTCTAATTTGAAATTATTGCCTTCCAGAAGGACTGAAGTTGGCTCTGGTGGCGGGTCTGAGCACCCCAGGTGCACAGTTTTCGACCAGACTAGAACTGACGGTTGACGTATGGCCGAGTATTCTTCGAAGCGAGGCCCTGTCAAGATCCTCTTCATCACTGAGTCAAGAGAGGTGCGGTAAGAAAGGAACCAAGTCCCACTGATACAGAGGTCCAGAAATGATGTGTACGAGCCTAACGGGATAAATAAGGTTAAACCTCTAAAACTTCCTTGCTCCTCGAACCCGCAGAAGCCATTTTTATCACCGGTTGCGCTCTAGCACCGCATGCATTCCATCTGACATACAGTGACATACCGCCTCCATTGCTAGGGTGATACTCCAAATGATGATCTATGTCAACTTACTTATCCCATGAACACCAACTCGGATAAGAACCAGTGTCTCCCGCCAAAGTAAATAATCCCTAAATGCTTCAGTGTCGTCTGAACCTTGGCCTATGGGTTGTTCAAATACCTACCAATCTCTGGAATAGGTGGCGTGTACGACATCAAGGTTATCACAGCCCTACGTAATTACAGAGAGTGCCACTTTGGGACTACGGTGATATGATAGCGCAGGCAGAAAGCATGGCTCCTACAGTAATTCCGAGTTTCTGTGCGGAGGTACGTAAGTTCCCAATAATACTGGACGATAAAGAGCGAGAAACGTACGAGCTTAAAGGTGTTGAGAACAGCAATGCCAGCAGAAAGCGGCCGGGTATGCAGGGATGGACCTTGATTGCGTCTCAATGGATAACTTTACAAGCTGTGCGCTTGGCCATGAAACAGCAACGTGGCTTATTCCTCATTCTAATCGAAGGGGGCCAGCGTCCGGGGGAGGGTTACTCTATTTCTCGAAGAAGATCAACTCCTTCACAGCGCAGCAACAGTCTGGCCAGTAATGCTCGCGCTTTCTGTCTTATGAGTAAAACAGTGACAAAACCAAGGAAGGTGACAACATACCTCATTGTAGAGCATGCTGCGTGAAATGGGCATACGCCTCCAAACAACCCTCCCCGGCCTTCAAGGTCTCTAAAAATGCATCCCAGCTCCCGAAAAGAGTCCGCAGTTCGACTATCTTGACAATTGCCTCCCAATCCACGACAGGCAAAAAGCACAGGCCATTATCGATATAACATTTGGCGTGCGTCCCGAATGCCTTGTCCTCCAGCACACTGCAGGTTTCGGCGGAACCAAAAGCATCCGGGACGAGCGCCTCTTGAAGACAATGCATCGTGTCCACCATCCATGTCTGTCCTTTGGCGCTGAGCAAAGAGCGATCGTCGCTGAACTTTGTGCAGAACTTCTCTCCGTAACCAATGGGGTAGCCGGCTGGACCGCAGTGGTACTTCATCTCCAAGCATGACGCGTAGAAAGAGCAATTATCAAGGATAGGCGCCGCACAAGGATAGGTCGAACCTTGACTGCCAGCTGTTTGTCGCATTCAATACCGCAAATCAAGCGCCAAAAAGTGAACGAAACGTACTCATTGTGCGGTACCATATCCACCCTACAGCAACTAAAATGCAAATTGAATGAACGGTGCGTCTGCTGATGAATAGAGCGGGCATCATATGCAAGACCGAGAACACGAAGTAGGGGAGGTTACTCCGAAAACTAATCAAAAACGGGCACTCTGTTGGTGTAGGGCCTTTGACGCCAATCAGGGGTGATAGGGAGAGAAAAAAAGGACAGGCAAGGCAGGTTGGTGGTAGGTGGTTCAGAGAGAGAGATGAACTAGTCCCAAAGCGCCTCATCGAGGACTTCCTCTTTCAGAAAACACGTGGCGGCTGTGTAGGCGTATCACATACTCCGGCGCAGACTCCTTCCCATTGGCCTATGACGCGCCACAATTGTTGCCAGGGAAGAAAGATCGAGAGGTCACGTGCTTAGATAAGATAAGACAGGACTATTATACATAAGTCAAGCAGCTTTTACCTAGGGCTGCGCACCGTACCGTATTCTTGTCGGCGTCGGTACGGCCGTTAACGGCCGTGCACCTGAGTACAAAATGAATTTAGTTATATAGACTTACCAGAGAATTCATAGTATGGCTTGACAAGTTGAGAGACAAAGAAGATAATCTACACCAAAGGGCAACAGAATTTAGAGGGAGAGCCATATCAGATGCGTCTAAGATCACAAAAGAACCGTAGACTGCAGTGACCCATGTTGAAACTTGAGATAGGCCAGAAGTATCCAAGGGAAAGCCACACTTACTGCTCTCCCTGAACGCGAACAAGAAATTGATGAGACAGCCGCGGAGGAGAGAATGTGACGAAAAGTGATGCGGTAATTCCATGATTGGCTGATGGCTGCATGACGCACAATTTCCTCGAAAAAAAAGCTTTAAATTAAGATCAGAAGTCAAGCCGTATTATGACGTCGTACGGCCGTTGACGGTGACGGAACAACCATATACCGTACCGTACAAGGGCACGTTCGGCTTCGGTCCGTCTTCCGCCAAACGGTTACCGACAGTACAATACAGTGACGGCGCGCAGCCCTACTTTTACCCCTCCCCCCCCCCCATTGATGAGAATGGGAGGAAGTCTGACTCTGGGGGTTACTATGGGTAGCCGAGATACACAAAAAACCCGACAAATCATTTTCTGTAGCGTAGCACGTTGACTCATATACCTAGAAAATTTAAAGCGCTTCGTAAAAAGGATGGCATAACCTTTTCGGTCAAAATATCTTGTTTCGGGTTCATGAGCGAGTTATGACTGGTTTGTGAGGTTGCTGCCGTAGTACCTGGCTCCGATCCAGCCCCCCAGTGGGCCAACATGTTACATCAACCAACAAAATTTCACAAAATGTTTTGATTCGTAAAGACATTACCAATCTTTTTGCAAAGCGCTGTAACCATGGATTAAGATGCCTCTTGTTAGTCTTTTTCTTTTTTCTTTTGACGGCGTTGGGAGCAAAGGTGGTGGTGTCGGCCAGATGCCGAATGAGGGAGCCAAAAGTTCGACATGTGGAAATTGGTGGTACGAATTGTCACAGTGAGGTTTGGAGAGACATCATGTCACATTTTTGTTACGCATTTTCTCTTCTTTCTTTTCATTCAACAGTTTCCACACAGTCTGCTGCCCCGAAGATCTACCCAGAGCATTATATTATGATGTTGATTCATGTACTAGTCTTCCCCAGCCTTTATAATCCCGCTATATGCAGTCATAGGGTTCTGCAACCTCATACAGTCACCCATTTTCCGAGGCCTACGACCGAAGGGAATGTGTCGAGGAACTTGACTTGCATATCCCGGCTCAGTTGCACATGCCGAATCACCTATACTAGTACCGAAGTAAGGGAATGTTTAATGTACCGAGTTCCCCGGCGCATAACGGGCTGTAACAACCTTTGTACCGATAGAAACAGAATTGATGAGCACCATTTTCACCCCCATCCTTCATGCAGATGCAGCGACGTTATTAGCTGCGCGCTAGTAGTACACCTGGAGAAATTGAACTATAACACTTATTCCATCCTCACCCACATTCCTTCCTAAAATAAAATCATTAACACGACAAAAATCCCGACGATCCTGAACGGCTGACCTTGGCAAACATAGTAAGATGTGTCCCAAACATTATTTTATCCCTTCCCTTGACCTGATCCCCTGCCCAGCTTACCGGCGGCTTTGCCTCCGGTGCTTGTGCGTCCTGCGCAATACTGAAGGACGAGAACGTCTGGAGCAACCGAATGACAAAGTACGACGCTTCATTGTACGCGAACTGGAAAACCAAGCGTAAGACGAGATGAGACCGACCAAACCAAACTAACGAACCTGCTGGCCCAGACATATCCGAGGTCCAGTGTTGAAGGGCAAGAAGATGAACGGGTTAGGCGTTAGATACTTGTGTAGGCGGGAATCAAGGAACCGGTCTGGGTCAAAATCAAGAGCTATTATCGTACAATGAGTCAGTGTGGATTGCTGGTGAGAGACAGCCCATACCATCGGGACCCCACAGGTCAACCCTACGGTGCATCCAGAAGACTCCCCATAGCACTCTGAGCGGACAGAGCTTTAGTAACGATATTTGAGACGACCTTAAATGAATACTCACTTGGTACCGCTTGCTACATAGTATGGTCGACCTATTGTGTTGGGCAGCGTTGTGTCCACATTGGCAGTTCTAATTGCACGACATTTAGCTGATTTCGAATACATGCGAATGTCAAGTTCCCTACCGAGAATCAAAAGGACTGCCATAATTCTATGTGATGAGTAATGACAATAGAAAGGAATCAGTAGGAATTCTTACACGGGAGGATAAAGTCTCAACGTCTCTGCGTACAAGTCGTCAGTGAGTTATTGCTCGAAATTCTACGAATCCAAGATGTATATACCGTTCAAAAATGCCCTCAAATATTTCATATCGCGAATGTCCGCATACGTTGGCTGTTTATCACCCAAAGCTTGGGCGATCTCTTCCCGTAAACACTTCACGATGTGTGGGTTCTCCGTAAGCGCGTACACAGCAAAGGTAAGCAGAGATGCAGTCTATACCATATTGTTAGAACATTAGACACGGAAATGCACTGGACTGACCGTATCTCTCGAGGCAACGAGAATGTTCACGAGCTCGTCTATGATTGCGCGCGTGTCTAGCACCACCAATGATAAGCAACGCTCCGCAAAAGAAGACCCAGAACAAGACTACCTTCGGTATCCTCGACCAGATCGTCTAAAAGGGAGGTGACTTCTTTCTCCTTATCATCAAGAGCTTCGCCGGCGTCTGCCTTCTGCTTCTTCCTCGCGAACGCATCGTCAAGCAGAGGCTGAACGATCCCCTCTATGACATGTCTGTGCGGCGTAACCTTGTTGTGCCAGAATTCCAACAGTGGCCACATGGTCCCCGTCCTAGATCTTCGAGCGATCAATTCCTGTCCTTTCACGAACGCCCGAACGAAGATATTCGACGGGTGATCCGCAGCAAAGGCTGTGTCCCCCGCCTGCGACTGCGACCACCCCGATGGGTACGGAAGCCGAGCGGATAGCGAACAAATATCCTCGCCGAAAAGGAACTCGGTGGCCGAATCCAACGTAAAGCGTGAAACGACATCCTACATGACTGCGGTCAGTCATCATTCTCAGCGTGTTTGCCGATGTAATTACCTGAAAATCTACTGGATATCCTTCTTCAAGTCTATCTTTTATCAGTCTAATCGTTTCGACAGCGTGTCTCTCAAAATTATCGAAGTCACTGATCCTGTCTTTACTGAAGAATGGACGGGTCATGTTGCGGTGATATCTACGGAACGGTCATCCCGGGTCAGTGAGATGTCGTACGCCTAATTGCTGGGCGCTCACTTCCACATGTCACCTAGGCACGGGCGAAATGGTGATGAGTATGGATTCAAAGCCACCCTTATATAGAACGTGCGGTCATACCATCCGAATTGAATACACCGGTGCCAAGAAGGTCCGCCCACTGAGAAAATAGCCTGGGTCCTAAACGCTTATGATGAGGGAGATATCTAAAAGTCGAAATGACTGTTCGCACCCTTCTCAAAGTCTTTGAATTGCGTGGCCAAAACCGCCTTGGAAATGATCAGAAAGGCATTTCCTTTGATAATAATTGCAAAATCACCTTCACATGTTCGGGCTCGATAGTAATTATCTTCGCGAAGTCAATGGCAAGCGAATAGACCCAGTCGGCTACTGACGTACCCGGCTTTCTGAAAATATGTTGATGCAATATGTGTTTCCATACTGTCGATGCCATTCGAGAAACATTTCACCTGCGTCTGATGGTGAGAAGCAGCGCAAAAGAAAATATTGTTGCAGATACGCACCAGGATACATGAGCGTTTTTGTATGCCTCATGAGCGCGCGCATGATAGAGAAACTACTCTGCTGAACATCCGGGACAAAATCCGCGCCTTTGAGGGCAGCATCTTGATGCATGTGCGTCCACCTCCGTAGATACGACATCAGCTCCCCAGTGAGGAACCACAGCAGCGCAGCAACAGGGTATGTTATCCACGAAAAGCGATCAACAGTAAATCGTGAATAGAAGAATCCGGACACGACATAAATGAGAATTAGCACCAAGAGAAAGTGGATTACCGGACGCAGCAAGTACGATGGTCCTGGTGGTAGCTGCATGGCCGAGAACTAGGACATCGATTGCAGAGCTGAGGCTCATTTATATGGCATCGGCCTTGTGACCGGATCACGTAACAGCACGTCTCAGACATATCATCTTTTGTGGCTTCCTCCCCCCTCTGTACACAGGAGAAAAAACGTAGATGATAGATCGATGATAGGAGATGAGATGGAAGAGGAGTACAGCCAATGTTATTCAGCTTATCTTGTCTTTTCTTCCTTACGATCTGGCCCCGTGGTAGCGGCACTAATTGCATTTTGGAGATAACGGAAGACGGATAACCGGCCTCTTAAACGGATTTGGGAAAGCAGACCGGGATGATATCACAGAGGCCGTGTAATTGATGGGGCATCAGTAATGCAGTGTGATTCCGAGACTTGCTCGGAGAAAATCAATTTATTGAAGGAGTGATGATTGATTGGGCTTCACCGTCGATCTCTCGATGCTATCTCTCGAATAATAATATATGAGAGATCACGCTGAAAAACTGAAAGATCATGAATAACAGCATCCACAACGCCATTTTTCTTCACAAACTTAGGACTCACCAGCAACGAATCTGTCAACGATAAATTGGTGTGCGTTTCCCGAGGGGGTAGACGGACTGGACATTCAACGCCGCACTTGAAATCATTGGGAGAATCGGTAGGCCGTCTGAACTGATACCGCCTCATCGACATCACCGAAGGATAGAATGTTCGAACATACTTAGGCCGGAAATGCATCCAATTTCGCCCAGTAGGAATGCAGTGATCGCAAGAAGCGAAGAGGCACAAAAATAGAAATGGAAATTGAAATTGAGGCCCGCTCATACACGTGATCGCGGACCGCCTACTCGGGCGCCGGGGGCAATCCGATCCCGCACCTTTTGCCAGAACTATCGAAAGAAGTTGGAGAAGTTAGAAGGACGATGAAAGGGTGAACCAGACACGTATATTCATAGCGGAATAAAATATATCTTGAGATTAAGTACCGTCAATTGTGGCTTTCGTAGCGGACAAGATATTCCATAAATTTAGGACCTTTGCCCATGGCTCGGTGGATGGCAAATAAGACACAAAAATAAGATGGATACAGCAGTACGTACATTAGAATACAGGGGAATATGTTAACTTCCGATAGCAAGATATCGAAGACCATAATAAGCAGATATATCGGTAGTGACGGATATCGACAAATGTCCCGAATCCAATCATACGTGGTAACTTGACTCAGACGAAAGTCCGTATGGTTTGTCCCAATTATGATCCGTACAGGAGTCGAGCCCAATGGGTGCACGCACACCTGGCTCACCATCCAAATCCTTATTACTACGAGTCATTATAGTCGTCATCGAAGCTCCCGTCGTCCCCGTAATTATGTCGTCAAGCCGTATCGTCGTGACTTCCCTGTGGGGGTGAGTTGCCGCCGTGTCTTTGTGCGTGAGGATGCGTGAAGCGAAGTGCAGGAACGTCGATACCAGCTGTCCTTTCTGGGCTGCGCTATGCTGCGACTCTTCTCGAATCCTTATGGCCGCGGTAACGACCACAGGGATGTTACACACAATTAGGGAAACGCAATCCTAATTCATCATTAGTCCTCCTGGCAGCGACGCTGCAATTAAGGAGTCCACGCACTTCGACTATGGCCGAGATGACCACCTTTGCTTCGCCAAAAGTGAGGATGTAGGCCGCGTGAACGAGGGATACAATGGTCGTCACGATGCAGGTCGAGAAGATGACCATGAGGCGAAGTCGAAGACATTTGTCTTCTAGCCCAGCAAGGAGTTTTAGCGGGGCAAGAATCAATATGAGATCCGCAATCACATCAGCTGTCAGCGGGGTTAAACAGGCATGTCGATGATACTGGAAGGATAATCGACTTACAGACTAGTTGGGAGATAGCCACTTGCTTGTTGAGGGTACACTGCGGGCTCCGCGTGTCCCTCCATCCCAGCTCTGGTTCACAGACCCAGAACAGCTGAGCTATAAGGATCGCGAGAACGAGGATGAACAGAGCGGCGATACAAAAGAGTCTACGCCGTCGGGTCTCACTAGGATCCACCCGGATCATCGAAAATAGTATTGAAAGCCGGGCTGTCCTGCTCCAGGTGTTAGATAGGTAATGATAAGATAGCACTTCGCTCACCAGATAATAATATAAAAAGTGACAGCCATGAGGTAGTAAGCTGCTATACGCGTGGACCTCGAGAGGACAGCTGGATAAAAGATTAGAAGCAGAAATACAAGATATCATTGTAATAGCGCTCACTGGGATTGGGTAAGTGCATAAATACTGCAGCAATCTGCAAAAAAAGAGCAAACATGGACACCAGCGCCCATGCCTGCGGCAAAAAAGAAAACCGTTAATGGTGTTCATCTCCAAAAATGAGAACTTACATCATCGGCCCAATATCGACCCCTTCGAATGAAGAGGCGATGAACAGTTGTCGCAATAGCAACCGTGGAGCACACCGCACAAGTGACTGTAAAGAACACATCAATTACTGCCCACCCCCCTCCTTCTATCTAAAACGGTTACTCACTCTTCAATATAACAAGGGGATTGCTTGCGTCAAGCATGACGGGAAAAAACTAAAGACAGACCAATGGTGCCACAGGCCAGCCTGGGTGGACGTTATAAAGCAAGGTGGATGGACACTACCAGCAATAGAAGGGTGAATGAAGTTGCGCATGGCCTTCCGAGACTCGAAACTGAAGGAAGACGTGCATTATCTGTCATGCTTCTTGGATTCAATCGAAGGCCCACGTTATGCACGTAACCGCGTTTATATTGGTTTAAAGTCTTCGGCCAGATCAGACGCCGTATCGTATAATTGATTCGTTATCGTCGGAGGGGCATCTCCAGGAGCAAGCGACCGTGAGTCTAAACAGCGGTAGACGCGGAGAATGGAGATCGCAAGAAAGGTAAATTGAAACCTGTTAGTTGAAAGGGGAATGCTCGTTGTCACGGTTTGTACGGAGGAACTGGAGTTCTTCGGTAAATGAAATGAGGCTGACAAGGATTTTGATTTTTCTTGTCACTGGGTAAATAAAAACTATGAATGAACTGATCAGTGCCAGAGAACGTTACACGAGTGGATCGGCATATCTGAGTTTCAAACAAATCTTCGGCATGTCATCGGCCCGTCACACGTCATGTTAGTCCGCCTTAGTGGCAGACATGGCCACCCTTGGACGTTTTTGAACACAGATTACCCAGTCTTTCCTTCTTCGCTCCCATGCTCCCTCCACGCCTCAAGACCTCGAGGCCAGTCTTGCGCTTCCGAATACATTTATAGATCCGCTATTACCAAGGTATCTCATAATATTAGCAAAATCTGCTTCATTTAGAGCTTCTTTCCGGGCTCGAGGTCAGTGGTAAAAGAAGACGTCTGCAAGCGTTCACACAAGTTCTCTTGCCTCACTCGCAATGGCTGATATTGCTACTCGTGAATTTCTCGCCCATCTTGAAGCGCTCTACCCCAAGCAGGCTGAGGGAGTTGTCAGTCCCTGGTCTCTTGTCGCTGTGACTGCCTTTAGTTCCGGAAATCTACCAGAGGCCGTTCCTGAGGTCTTCAAGTATGCGCTTGAGGGCCTGAAGACTCACGAACAACGGCTGCTCCTCGCGCGGAAGTTGCAGGACGCGTTGTTCAAGTCTGGATTGCTGTCAGGATTTCCCAAGGTACGTCGGTTCAGGGTAGCGTTTCAAGGTCCCATCGTTGACGTGCAGTGCTAGGCTATCAACGCTCTTGGGCAGCTATACACCGCCGTTCCTAACGAACTGCGCGATACGAAACCCCTGCGGTAGGTCGCATCGTATTTTCCTTTGTTTTGACGCTCAGCTAGCGTCCTTGCAGTGACGTGTCAAAGTCAGTAGAAACTTTGACAGAGAACGGCCAACATTACTTCGACCAGACTTATGGGGAAACCGCAGCTACTGTTCAACCTTATCTGCGGAAGATCTGTCCCGATCTTGGTCAGTCATTTGATCCGTGTAGCCAATCAGATTTAATCCGCAAGCACACCACAGAGTTCTTTTCCACGACTTTTGCGTACGGTTACACGTACAGCTTTTTCGACGTTGTCTCGCCTGCTGAGACTTCGTTCACTATGGTGGCGGCTCTGATAGCCAACGACACACCGCGTCAAATTGACTGGCATTTGCGGGGATCTCTGAGGAACGGTGCCACGTTGGATGAAGTGAAAACGGTTCGCCAGATTGCTATCGAGGTCGCCAAGGCATCAGGCGTAAAGTGGAAGAATGACATCCCTGATATCCATGAGTGAACTTGTTGCTGTACATAAGTGTATTTTTCGCTCTTTACCTTTCCGAGTATGGTTGCCGAGCTGATTTGCGTAATGCGAATCGGTTTGAGCGGCTATAAGGAGCTCTAAGCCACGGCTCCGTTTTCGGATTATAGATCTATTTTTAGTACTTTCTCCGGTATAGTGGTAATATTGAAGTACTTTGAGAGCTGTCCATAACACGTTAATGATGGATAATCTGCATGATGTGGAGATTATATAGTGTAGAAAGTTAATGTGAAGATATTGCACTGACTGTTGTTTCCCAGGCTGCAAAGTCTGAGACAAAGGCTGTTAGTGCTTGAAGTGAATGTAGACTTCAACTGATGCCTTGGATCTTCTTTCTGGAATGATGTGCTGTATCTCCACCATACATCTGATAGTCTGATTTAGATTCCAAGAGATTTTTTTGACAGTATATGGGTCAGATAGGCTCACATGCTCATGGTCTGAGGCCTTTGTGCTTTTGAACTTAGTCTTAATATTTGTTCACTTACTGATATACTTAGCCACTGTGCTAGTATGGGTTTTCATGCTCATAGACTTGATATTTCTGGCCATCTGACTCATACTTCTATTTTTGGTTTGCCATATGCCTTTAGTCTCTTGTTCTGTCTCCCTACAAAGTGCCCTAGTTTGTTTGTATTTCCTTCTAAAGCCTATGAACCCTGCCCAACCTCCTGGCTCATCCTTATCTGCCTCTGTCTACTCCCTATTTTCATTATGACTTGTCTTTACTTTGTACTGTACTTATATGACCTTATTTTGACCCAGAATACTGTGCCTATGATTCACTCTATTCATTTCCCTAATCCTCCAATCACCTGTACTTCATTACAGCTCTGAAATATTCTTTATATTAGCATAAAAGATGTAGGGACATCAATACACTTAGAATTCTCTTGTTGCTATTCCCTCTGAACTGGCATCAGACCTAAGAGAATAGGGCAATATCTCACTCTCATAGGTAGACAACAATATCAATCTCATGACAGATAGGATGGACAGTTGACATGTAGTCTGTTTTTAAACTTGATTGTTAACTGCATAAGCTAGGCTATGACCAATCAAATACCATCTTTGATAGATTTCCTGTCCACTGACTGCAACATGTCCCTTCCAACCTCATCTGGAACCTCAAAAAACAATACAACAGGATTTCTGCCACAGAGCTTCTAATTCCCATAATAACACTATAATTACAGCGAAAATACATCATCATCATACACTATTGGCTGGAAAAGAATCAACACATATTACTTGATACTTTGTGCAAGAGGCACTAGCTTCTGCAAGGTTGATACTAGTCCTTTGAGCTTTGGTAAATGTGTTATGACACAAGCTGATGGTGCAAATATTGAAGTTCAACAGCTCTGAGACCTGAAAGACATGGTAATTTTACATGAATCACCAGCATAATAAGTTAATGCATAATATTCCCTACCAAACCAACAGTCAGTGTCACTATAATTTCCACTGGAAGCTTCTTTGCCTCAAATCATTTATACCAGTCAGGGCTGTTGCATATTTTGAGATGAGGAAGGAGAGAAACTGTAAAAAAGCTCAATTTTCAATTTCCTGTTGCTGTGCAGATGAGTAGGTTGTTGCTGTTCACTGTCTACAGCCAGCTGATCTGCCAAACCATCTACACCTGCTTTGACATACACTGCAACCCATGCAGTTGAATATGACATTAATCTAGTAAGTTACAATATCACAAGGAGCTTATATTGATTTTAATGTGTTAGTTTTCTGTGTTTGACCTTTAATCAGTGAACAGATGCAAAATACTTACTCTTAGGTATCACAAGACTCTACCTGTACTCGATCTCAGTGCAAGCAGAAGAGTATCACATAGTAGATACACCAGGTTCCTGACCTCATCGAGTAACCCCGGACATGGACCACACAGCACGTCCTGCCAATTAAACTTAACGTTATTATATAAAAGCACTTACAAAGAGATGTGAACATCTCACTGTTCTGAGGCTTTTCAGGACAGAAAACATGTTTATGAAGGTAGGTACTGTATAAAAAGGTGTTTTCTTCAATAAATTACGCACATTCCCTGCCAGAAACTACGAAATGTCTATATTTATCGCCGAGATGGAAGCACACTTCTTAGCCGAACGGACCGAGTTGCTTTGCTCAAATCGAAAACCTGCCTGAGACAGCTCGGCTACCGTAGGCACCGGTTCATTCTGTTGTGGCCACTGTTTCTCCCAAGGCACTATCGATTCTTATATCTGATCCTGACTTCTCGTCGCCGAGATCTACCAAGTTTGAATAGGAAAGAAGTGGTGCCTGACGACTTGAATGCCCTGGCTTTCGGCGTTTCTCAGCTACAAAATGATTCTCAATTTCGGATCAGCGTGTACGAAGAGAGCGATAGTGGTCTGGTAAATTTCGTACTATCCGCGCTCGTTTGACCGTCTCCTTGACGGTTGCACTTTAAGAACCACACAACCTTCGATCATCAGCGGACTAGTAGTCTTACCTTGATATCCGCCCTTCGTCTCAGCGCACCATGTCGCCGACAAACGGATGTGACAGCGAGAAGAGCGTAGCGAGCCCGGTTTCAGAGGGCGAACCACTAGCCGTAGACAAAAGTATTCGACGGAAGGTTGATCTGAATTTGATTCCTATCATTGCAATCCTCTACCTTTGTAGTTTTTTGTGAGTTGCCCCTCTTTTTTTTCTTCGCTTCAGATGCTTATCCCTATTTGAAGGGATCGAGGAAATATCGGTACGCACGCTTTGTTATATGCTGTTCCGCCTGTGCCAATGACTTGAATAAACTATAGGCAATGCAAGGGTACCTCCGATTTCACACTTTACGATATGTCTCGTTGATATTGGTATCAGGTCGCCGGCATGGCGGACGACCTGGAATTGACTGGTCTTCGGTACCAGCTGACGGCGGCTGTGTTCTTCGTGCGTTTGAGCTTTCCAAATCCACTTCAGGGTTAACAACATTGTAGATCCCGTATAGTCTGCTGGAGATACCATGGTGAGTGGTGTGTAGGCCGTCCATCTGATTCCACAGAGCGAATCATTGCACAGTAATATTATTATGAAATTGATGCGACCGTCAATCTGGCGTGAGTAACCTCCCCTGGTCCCCCGTGCTCAACGGCCTCTCATTGAATTCGCCCCGGCTAGTCCCCGGAATTATGCTTGCATGGGGGCTCGTTAGTAAGTGTGGACCGTAGACCATGGAGACTAATCCGAAGTTCATTCTCACAGTGTTCTCGATGGCTTTCGTAAAAAGTTACCATGGCCTCATCGTGTGATGTTTCTTTCCTTCGTTTTTTGTGGAGTTTCTCACTTATCATTATGTAGTGCCCGGGTGTTCTTGGGTCTGGCTGAAGCAGGATTACCTCCTGGCGTTGGTGTGTTCCTCTTAATCCTCAACCTGTACCCGGCATTATATGGTTTTCTCCAGCATTTCTCATCACCGTATGGTATCGCCGCGAGGACCAGGCGCGGCCCTTGTCATTCTACTTCTCAACGGCAACTCTGTCTGGTAAATTAAGCTCAAGCTCATTTTCTCACATGAGCTTACCTTCTGTTCAGGTGCATTTGGCGGCTTACTCGCGTTCGCTATCCAGAAAATGGATGGGTCGGTTAACGTGAACTTGTGTAATATCCATGTTTAGTTCTGATATGATTACTTGTAGACTTGGTAACCTCAGAGGATGGGCCTGGATCGTGAGTCAATATTACCGCTAGATTGTCATACAATATTCTGAATATTGATTCTCCCGTGCTCTAGTTTTTGTTGGAGGGATTAGGTGTGTAAATTTTCACTCGACGCCTTAGCTGACGGCTCACCTGACTAATACCAGCAACTATCGTCGCTTCTCTACTGGCATTGTGGAAGCTGCCTGATGTAAGTATGATCCAATAACAATCCGCCGTCGTCGCTTAGTACTAGCATGATAGTACCCAAGCACAGCCAAATTTCTCACCCCAAGTGAAAAGGATCACCTTGCGGAAGTGCTTCGTCGTGATAATGAGGGAGAGCCATCCCATTTCGAGATGCGCTTCGTTTGGGAGACGTTACGAGATTACAAGTCATGGCTGCAGACTGCCATGTACATTGGGTACGCTCCAGACTTCCTGACGAATAGCTCAAGCTTATCTCGATGTTCAGCATGGTAATGCCCTTATACTCTATCTCGATATTCCTTCCCACAATTATCAACGCTCTTGGATACTCCGCTTCTCAAGCTCAACTGTATGTCTTCCCCTCCAACAGCACTAATATATCTCACTTTTATTCCACAGGATGACAATACCACCTTACGCCATTGGCTGCGTCTTTACCATGCTTCTTGGTACGTTGTCTGACCGGTTCAAGGTACGCGGACCCTTCATCATGGGATGCTCGCTGCTCGCCATCCTCGGATACGCGATGCTCTACGCCACGAGCCCGACGGACCTGCCGGGCGTCGGATATGTAGGCTGTATTTTGATCACATGCGGAGTTTTCCCGACCGTTCCTCTGATGTTGGTCTGGGGATCAGGGAACGCGGGTAGCTCGCTGAAGAAAGGCGTGATTATCGGACTCCAGAGCGGCGTCGGTAATCTTGGAGGGTAATGATTTGTCTTCTCAGTGGACAGAAAGAGCTGCTGAGATTCTTTCCTCCAGGATTTGTTCCTCGTTCATATACAGAACACAGGACACTCCGAGATTTCACTTGGGTCATGGTGTGTAATGTTCGTGCTTGCTTCGATAAGGTAATGATGGTGATAGGCTTCGTGCTCGGGTTCTTGTGTATGGCATTCGTCGTCTCTGCATTCACAATATGTCTCTACCACAGACTCAACCAAGCCAAGGAGGTGTTTTGCGTGAAAGAAGGCATTCAAAGGGATCGCAAAGCAGATTTCGCCAATCTAGGAGCCGACTCCCCTTTATTCAAGTGAGTCATTGCACTCTTAAGTGCTCTTAATGTATTGATCATCACGATGAAGATATACCTTGTAGAGGGGATGCATCATTCTTGGGAGGTATCATGATACAGACTTCATTTAGCCTGCTATTCCATGTACACGAAGAAAGGTAACCATCACTATTTACCTATGATTGATAGCTATAGATGGCAAACCAATTTCTTGAACCTCTGCTCTCCCTTTAATTGGGTAACGTCGATTTTCTAATGGTTCCAACATGAGTCGAGAGTAAACGCTGCCTAACAGAAGCTATTTATCCCCCAAAGGACCTCTGCTAGCCCTGTAGCGAATCTATTGCTAGGCTGAGATATTTAAGGCCTTTTCGTTCCTCGCTTGTTTTTCCGCAGCATAATTAGGGTGTACATATGGTAAATTAACAGACATCTAATATCGGAACGGTGTCAATGGAAGCTTCATAGCGAGTTCGCAGCCTCTTGTTTTCTGTACATTAACCGCATCCCAAAGCACAGCGCGTTACCGCCTTGGTGCATCCCAACATACAGGAGGTTATACAGGTGACCGGGTCATACATAGGTTGTCCGGCCTGGGAGTAACCATGATCGCATGAGGTTTGCATGTGAAGCAGAGCTAAAGGGTGAACTTACGCTGGATGACAACACTCTCTGAAGAAATACGCTGCCTTCTTCCCAAAGTAGAGCCTAATACATGGTATTCCCTTCCCCTAAACATTATGATGTTCAATGGCGGAATGGAAATTGTGATCACAAGACTAACCTTGATTTTCTCATTTGGATCCTGGCCATCATCGTACCACCCCAAACTATTCGTGCCATCTGAATAAACTGTAATCCTATCATGAGGATTACCAGCGAAGTAGCCGACATATGAGGTGCCGTTATCATCAACGTATGCGTAAAAGGTCATGTCGAGTGGGTAGTTGTATAAATCAGTGAGCAGGATGCGAACATTAGATACCAAGGGCTTATATAGACGACGGAGAAATCCAATCAATTTATAGGCAGTGACCTGATATAGCTTGCTGTGACCGTGTAACTTCACAGCACGGCGAGGAAGCGGTGCAGTTGTCCCCAGAATAGGAATATCAGTGCAGATCGGTTGATCTGACAACAGCCCCGGTACCTCACCGTGAGCCACACTCGGTCATGAACGTCATTCCGAAACGGGGCATTCTGTCCCCCTAGTCAGAGGCATCAGTTTTTCCGGACGTTCCACATGTTCCATAGTCGGGCTTCGATAGATTTCTCAGCAGGGGTGATACCAAACATCGAGAACCGATGTTTGGCTTGTTGATGATCAATGGTCGGTTAAGACGATGGGAAGGACAAGACTAAAGAGACTGAACACAGATGTAATATCGCGGCGGTAAACTTGGCGTATACGTTAGGAAGAAAATAGCCCCGAAGGATATGTCTAGCACCCGTTGGTACGTTGCTATAGACCTGTGCTTATGAAGATCTATGAGTTACCACTCTGAGGTGGTGGTAATCGTCATGTACACTGACGTGCATCGCACTTGTGATAAGAGAATGTTAGGAATTTCGAAGATTCGGAAAAGGGGCAGCGGACGATTAACGGTAGGTCCCAATTCCAAAGTTTGAATCCTGAACCGATAATCGAGCGATCAGAATTGAGTCAATGCGGTCTTTTCCGCGCTACTAACAGCATTCTCGAGACCAAATGGTCGTACGAGTACGCCTGCAAAAGCCCGGACAGATGGTACGGAGATACAAGAGGGTATCCGAAGCTGGCTGTCGACTCGCAAACTTAGGAGTGATGCGAGCCTGAAGCTCGGCTCAGACACTCAGGAGTGTCACAATACAATTCCCCCAAGTCAGGCTTGGGGTTAGAAAAGCCCGCCAGCGAATCTTGATCACATTACTGCACTACGACCAGCCAGGTGAGGATTTTACATTAGTTTTAGAAAATGCGGTACGCACAAGGACAGGGAGGTGCTTCCTGTGTAGTCCGTGTGATTTCATGGTTTCAATAGGACATGCTGATGCAGTTTTTCCCTAGACATTCTTCACCCTTGATATCAGAAAGCCTGAAAATGATGTGTGGCTGGCCGACGACCGTTGACCAGGTAGAATAATGCGGATAAGAATGCAGAAGTATACTTGCTGATAAGATGTAAATAATACACGTGATTTAATTGCTTGGTTTCTGAAAAGGATGTGGTTCTGATCGTCCCTCTATAATGTAACAAATGTCAGGGCATCAAGCATGAGCTTACGCTTGTGAGAAGCCATGTGTGATCGCCTCGAACGTGGCAAAAGTTGCCATATTCACTGGTACCGCGCTGATGAGACATAAGATCAGACCCTTGAAGGTGAATTCAGAAAGACATTACCGAACGAGAGTAGGCGCCAATCCTCGAAAGAAGACAGCCAGTCCTTCAGCTTCATAAGATGCAACAATTGTAGACCACACGGTCCGATACCGATTTGATCCTGGCAATAGCAGAGGAGAACTGGGACTTGACCTCGTGTCCGGGCCTAGTATCGAACTTCTGTATGAACTTTCGGTGCTTTGCATGCGGGTCTTGACGACATCGAGAGGGAAAGTTGTCACCCAGCCGGCTGGAAAGTAATATAACATGAACGACAGAATCTTTGGTATGAATGGAACATACCTATTCCCGCCACACCACCAGCCAGTAACATAGCAATCCATGAGGGGGTGCGAACCTGACCATCGACTTGTGATAGCAGAAGCTGAATCTCAGAGGGATGGAGAGACGATCCGGGAGTTGGTGTGAAATATCGGGAAGTTGCTTCGTACTATGGTTCCTGTTAGATACTCATAAATGATGAGAAATGTAAATGTACTGCAAAAAAGTAGGAACCGTAACCCAAATCTCTTAATGCAGTCGCCGCAATGCCACGATACAGTCCACGGATTCCATTCTTTCGTAGAATATCAAGAACCACATCATAAGTCGAGCTTGGGACAAGAAGGGATTGTTGACGAATCTTAATCAATTCGGTGGGTGTTGTCACGATGCTGCACGGTTGATCGGTGAGAATTAGATACAGTTTGTAGAGATATAGTACACACGATGACACAATACCACTTCCAGCGCCAGCGAGAGCAATCTGAGTAAGCGTAGGAATTGAACTGTTGTTCTCTAATTGAATCTTCATAAAAAACCGGTAAGACGCGAATACCAGGCCGTTCATGAGGGCGGCGGTGGCCTAAGGTAAATATTAGCATCTCAAGAGTCAAATTCATTCGAGCACAGCTGACAGACCAATGGCGAGGTGATCCCTTTATACATTCCGATGAATCGTTCCTCCTTAATGATCGTTGTGAGCGCGTGCATTGTCGACCGATACTTTCCGGTCATCTCAGGATTCTGGAACCGAACTTTAACTGAAATGCAATAATAAGGAAGCGCGCTATAATCCATAGCGATAAATTACCAGTGTCGAAGGGGTATCCAACAACAAGACCAGCTATGCCCTTGAGAGATAGTCAGTTGCGTTGCTCCATGCCTAACGTTCCACTTACACCGATGGTTCCGGCCAGGAAGTCCAACAGCGGATTCAGCTCGACTAGAATGATAGATAGTATGTCGCATAAAGGAAGGAGAAGAAGAGCAAAGGAGTACCTTTGCTCATGGTAACATGAAGAGATAGTAGTAATACGGTCCGATCCGGAACGCGGATGATTGGCAGTCCCGATTCTCACGCCCCTGAGTTCACCCTCGTTACAATTCGCTTTTACGTATCCGTTCATTTTATTCCTGACCATGAGGCGCTGGGGTGCTGAAGGGATGTTTGGACTTTATGGCGGTGCTCTATCCCAGGAATCACAGAGGAAGTGTGTTCCTTCTTATCATGAATTGACTTTATTCTTGATGCTAACATTCTGCTAATCCAGCTTGGATAAAGGACAGGAATGGATGAAGAAAAAGAAACCTGAGAAAGCAATACCTTTCCTTTTGAAGGCCATGGAAGACCCCCAGAATTTGGATGCATGCGTCACCCTCGCACTAGCAATGCCCAACGAAATGGCTATCGAGTTCCTGAAGAGAGGGGAACGACAAGGTTCCTCGCCACTCTGGTCCTATTTTACATCATCTCTGTATTAAAATCTGTCTAGGACGTGATAGGCTGAAGAGGACGCTTGGAGAGGATTGCTTTGAAGACAATGCGCAGTACGGTGCCCCTGATTTCTGGGGCATTCTCGAAACTCGGCCGTATATGCGCCTTCTTGGCACCATGACGCGTATGTATATTCACCTTGAGAACTGGACCAAAGCCATGTATGCATACCAGCTGTCATACATTGATCATCCACTGACTGCTATCCGATGCCCAGAGAAGTCTCGTTCGAGGTTCTCCGTATCTGCCGCTCCGATAACATGGGACAGCGATATTGGGTCGGGTCGCTGCTCTTGCAAGCAGGGCGACCGGCTGATGCTCTCTACTTTACCCAACAATGGATTAATTCCACGGATGGGACTCCGCCTGGAAGTGGAATCGACTTTAAGGAGCCTTCTTCAACTCCCTTGACTAAGAAAATTAAATGGGCCCAGGACGAGATGGTCTACCCTGCAGCTTTGGCAGCTTTTACTCTTTGGGGCGACTGCGAGCTTGCCCGACAATATTTACATGCAGCCGTCGAAGCAAACCCTCAGGTGCTCATCAAAGTAGGTCTTTCTCTCGCATAGTGATATCCGCTTACAATGGTGTCAACGTTTCCATAAAGGTGCTTGCGAATTCTAAGAGACCATGTAATGGCAAATCCGTCATGAGTTTTTCATCGATCACTGACTGGATTTGTTTATGAATTTAGCCGACCTCAAAGCCACTCCATCCCGCTCAATGAATGGGCGCGAAACTGCCCATGATCATCTATGGCTTACACAGGATTTGTGGGCGAAGCCAGAGGTCGTGAAATGGGTTGACAGTGACACTGTCGTCAAGCAGTACGTATTGAGAGCATGCAGCGAGCCAGGATGTGGGAAGAGGGAAGAAACCGTAAAGGAATGGCAGCAATGTTCTGGCTGTAAAAAGGTGACCAATATATTTCCCTTACCATTCGACAAATGCATTGATGGGGTTTGTACAATAGTCATATTATTGTAGCGAAATTTGCCAGAGGGACCACTGGAAAGCGCATAGAGAAGGTTTGTTCTATGCCGTCACCTCACATTCCCCCTCAAACTGATCGATGATCTTAGCGTGCAAACGCGAACAGGAATATTCTGGGCTCTCAAAGCTATACTGAACCAACTCCGCCAACCGCCGACTTCTCGAATTTTTGTCAATACTAATTGGTTTATTGCGACTCAAATATAATAACTGCGGCGCTTGTGTGCATAAGTGACTTTGAAGTTCATGAAATCGGCTGAGTTTAATGCTTCGGTCTAGAGTCTGAACTCGAGACCATTCACGATGTGCGCGGCTTTCCGGCCCGTAGTCCCGTGATACATCAACAATAACCACGTGACAATACATAGGCGTGTCATTTTCTGAATTACCAGCTAGTTGTTTCCGATAAGCTGGTCGCGTTTCACACCAGCTACCACCATCTTGTATTTCTTGCGGCCACAAAAATGTCGAGCAGCGTCTCTCTTCATGTAGGCAACGGAGTTGCATGTCGCTTCTATAACCACGAGGGCTGTAACAAGGGCGACGAGTGTACATATTCGCATGCTGCCGACACTGATAGCATTCAAAATTCTCTGTGTGTGGCTTTTAATATAAAGGAAAAGTGGAGCTGCTGACCTTGATGTTATAGTGGACAGAACGTCTGCTTGCACTTTCTGAAAGGCTACTGCCGATTTGGCGATTATAAATGTCGTTACTCTCACTCGCGCGACCACCTGGCACTGGAGGACATAGACGCTATCTCTTCCACTTGCGAAGCCCCAGAAAAAACTGTGCATGAAGCCGCCAGCGTCTCTTCCGATGTGCCAAAGACACAGTCAAAGAAGAATGGGAAGAAAACCTCCCGTGGAAAAGTCCCGGCCACGGGGGAGAACCGTTACCGCCGAAAATTTGGAAGTGGCATTGACTGGGATATAGAAAGCGAAATGGAGGAGAGAATGGACAATTGGGGATTCACTGAGGATGAAGTGCAGGAGCTGTTGTGCCAAGGTGTGAAACCATGGGACGATGATGCTAGGGTTAGTGTGAATCCTTGATATCCCAAACATACTGACTTATGCGTGTCGTAGGATGTTCTCAATTTTCTGTACGATTGCTATTAGGTTCTATATTGCGACAGTGCTCTTAGGTTATTCTCTGGTACCTGACACTGAACTCGTTTGATATATGGGGTTCATGTTAATGAACAAATGTTTAAAGATAATATACCCATTAACTCATGGCACGTCCCTCCGTTCTGGTACCATATTGTTCATAACTTTGTCGAATGTTTACAATTATGATCAGGATGTATCATATCATTACTCTATCGTGATCATAAGTAGTACGCCAAGGGCTGACCTGTTATTGGGAGTCCTTTCCACATGAACATCTGGCCGGCGCGAATGACGGTACCGACACCAATCTGTGGCATCAATCTTGGTACCATAGTTTTGCGTGCTTATTTTTCTCAGCGACAACCGGCGTCTGGTGGCGCGAGCGAGGTAGGGAGTTAACAAGGTCGACATACGTCGATCCTTCTCCGAGCTGACCAGACGTGAGAGGGGGAACAACATCCTGTGTGAAAATCCCATTGAACCCGTCCTTCCCGCGTTTCTCCTTTGCAAACTCGTAATCCCTACACGCTGCCATCACTACATGAGAATCCATATCCGGGAGCCAGTCCTCGGCGACACGGACTTATAACGAGGGAAGCACTTCAAACTCTCGTCCGCGGCGATGAGCATGTCCTCGAGTGACGCGAGTGGGAGGACAGTGCGAACTCCTGGCCCGGATAAGTCCTGAGTTATGCCACCGGAGTGACAACAATCTAGGATCAAGGTGATTCGATTTCCCTTGATGCGACAAATTTGGAAAAGAATTGCATTGATCTCGCGATCGCTGATGTCAGGAATAACGGTGCCGTTGGTGTCTCGAGTGTTACGGTCCATTGGACAGAGGGCCTCTATGGATCCACTCCCTGCAACAGAGACTTGTCCATCATCAGAGTTCGAGTCGCAATTGTGGGAGCACTCTGAACAGGAATAGCGCGAGCCGTGGCCAGAGTAATAAATTATGATGTTATCGCCGTAGTCGATCTGTGGGTTGGTCATGACACTGAGAAGGGTCCGAATAATGTTGGCACGGGAAGGAATAGAGGGACCTGCTGGGTAGGTATATGGCTGGGTACCGATAAGGCGTTGAATCCGTCCCTTTGGCACGCCAAGGCACTTTGTAAGGTAATTCTCCATGAACAACGCGTCTGACACGCAACCGCGCAGTGGGGAGGACATGTACGCGTCAATGCCAATGAGGACAGCCCAAAATCTGGAGGCGTGAACGCGGCGCAGCGCCTACAATGTTATTTGTTGATAAGTATCGAAAAAGACAGCTAAAAATATAATCTTACCGTGTCGCCTGTTACCAAAGGTGGCTCACGGTTCACTCGAAAGCGAAGCGCACGCTGCTTGGCCGCGAGGTTGCATAAAATAACGTGTTGCGTTCTTTTGCGAGTCGCATTTGGAGACGTACCGGCCGAGTCAGTCGGGCCGGCGAGCTGCACAGGATCATTGCAAGAACACGTGTCCCCTGCTTCTGTTTTGACTGATCAGGGAAGAACAGTCCACTACTGAAAGAGTACTAATGAAATTGAACTTTTAGGCTCTCAATTTCCGCCTAGTGGTTTATTCATTACCAGGACTACCCGCCGCAAACCCTATGCACTTAACCTTTTCCTTCTTGAAAACCACGAACTTGAAAGGACTGCTGTGCTCTGGTGCGGTGTACACAGCAACAACGATGCTGGACCCGCGTGGTGTCTTCGTGCCCTTTCCGTGCAGTGCAGGCATGTTCAACTCTTTCGGCACTTAACAATTTCTTGTCCACTTCTACCATGAACAAACTGACCTCTTCCTCGAAAACAACCATGACACCCTCCGGGAACTCGAACGATGCAATAACAGTTTCCCTCCAGCTCGCAAACGGTATTGTTGCGGTCGGTGAGATGGTGCCAGTGGTTGGGGGGTTCTTGAAGGGCCTTGGTGGAGTTGCTGTAGTTTTCCTAACGAACTTGGAAGTTAGTTGCGTTTCCGTGGCCTTTCTGCACCTCTAACAGTATCTCGGCAGCGATATCAAAAGAACAAGGAGGACGTGAAGGATCTCGCCAAGGATATCACCGATATCTTGATAATTGTCCGCGACGCCGGTATCAAGATATCTGCCGTACCTGAGGGTGTCACATATATCGAAGATCTTCGAAAAGCTTGCTTTGGGTTCCAGGAGTAGTTATCCTTCCAGCCTTGAGCGAATATCCAGTTCTAATGTATATTGGTGCAGGTTTCTGTCCAAACTCACAACTCAGGTGCGCGACATCGAACGAAGTCGAAGGGGCCCTTGGAAGGCCATAAGAGAGTTTGTAGCTTCACAGAACGTCAAAGGGGAAATCGATGGACATCGCCAAGCCATGGAAACCGCCAAGTCGAATCTAATGGTTTGCTTTCGCGGTTCAATAAGTTCACTCCGATATTCTGATGGAATACTCTCATAGCTGTCTCTGACATTGAAATCCAATGCATCGATTTCCCAAATAAACCATGGAATCTCTTCTCTTCAAACTTCGCAAACTGAGCTTATGGCCGTCACACATGATATCCATGATATCCGGCGTGACGTATCTCACATGAGAACAAATACAAGAAATCCGGTGGTCAACAACAAGGTTCATTTCATCATATCCTTTGTCCTTCCAGCCCCTACGGCCGATTAATGATCCCTTAGTTCCACAGTCTACTTTACGGCGATATTCAGCTTCGGGAAATATGGGCCAAAAATAATTTCAGTGAGTCGTACACGAGAAGGACGGGTGAGAGCGTCACCTTCGTGGCGGATGTCTCCACATCGAACAGAGTCATGGTCGTGAAGGAGTATTCTGGAGATCTGGGACTCGTGGTAAGTCCATGACTGCTCGAATCTCCTGTCGATGAAACTCACACAAACCAAGGAATGGAAGAAGCAGTTGGACATTCATAGTGTGGCTAAAAGGTAAGTGGCTTGCTTCTTCCTCCTACTGAAATTGACTAGTAAAAGACATCCAAACTTGCGCCAACTATACGGTGTTGTTGAGTCCGGATCTACTCCTTGTTTGGTATTCCACGGAAATGCCGGTATGGATTTTGAGTGGTCTCACATTGACGTGGCTCATTGGGCTCTAGACGAAATGACATGGACCGAGTTTCTGAAGCTCTTTGACAAGCGTCTCGAGCCTCTCGCATATTGTCTACTGGTATGATTCATACGAAAGTCAGCTGCCGTCCTCAAACTGAACCGTCCACAGACTTGTGGATTCTATGTACGTCTCGATCCTTCAGCTATAAACCAGATACCCGTTTGACCAGCAACCCTGCAGAACGCCTTTATATTCTCACTAACAAATCTTCAAGCAACCTTGGTGAGCAGCGGCCTTTACCTCAGCTCATTCCATAGTCAGCACTGAATGTATCAACATTACAGGAACCCGAAGACGCGCGCTTTACCACAGATGGGCGTCTCTTATTCGATGACTTACAAGTCGATGACTTTGGCGTCTCGCCGATAAGAAAAATGCTCTGCACAATTTTCCTCGCTGACATGTACCGACCGGTTTCACCAGAGATACAGCGTTCGTTCGATCTCTTTTTGCGATGCCGGCAGGCGCCTTTGATTGTAAAGGAACATCTCTTGTTTTACTACGACGTGATTTCCGCGGGGGTATCACGCTATCGGAATGTTTCTTTCCCCCTTGATCTTGACACCCTGTTCGGGAAGATCGTTGTAAGTGATACCCTGTCAGGTCGTCATTTCATGGTAGATTTCCCTGAGGATAAACCACTGTCCGTTGGAATCTGGATGTTCGAACTATCGGAAACTGGGAATCTTCTCGAACTGCCGAATGGCCTGTGGCGGTACGTTCGATTACATTGCTGATGGTGAATCTGCTGAAACGAATCGGGTTATAGATATACGTTGTCGGAAAATATCAGAACTATCGACTTGGATTGTCTCTTACAACTGACAACTGCAGCAAAACGCGAACTTCTCTTCCCCTGGTTCTCACAGGGCCCACGAATTTTGGCTCAGATCGGCATGGGTTCCGACGATCCCCTCCCGCAGCTGGTCGTTTCTCAACGTATGTAGCCCTAGTCCCCAAAGCGACTGAGGTCCTCTAAATCTTCTCTAGTTACGCAACGGCATTTCACAATTTGTGTAGAAGCAGACCCGAAGGTCCATCGGCCGCCCACGAGCGATCTGTACTTATTCATTGGCGCGCCCTTTCCTACCAACAATCAGCAGGTGTATGTTCCGGATGTTTACCTTTCAAGCGATCCGCATGGTGCCAAAAACGGAGAAGAACACGCATCGGATAATGTTTATACGTATTCCGTGGAAGATTTCGGCCACGACGTGCTGTTCCACCCCTCTCGCACCCTTGGCAGCACCACTCTCCTCCACGAGACCTGTGGTTTTCATCCTATGAGCCTCGACGTTGCGAAATACTTGGATCAATCGGAGTTGAGCATACATCTGGTCCAAGACGAAGGTAATGTAGACGCCGTTGCGTTTAATAACTCATGACACCTCCTTCAGCAATGAAGACGGAGATAACTGAGCGTCTTGCCGAATGTTCTTCAAGCGTTGTGAACGAAAGCGTTGTGCCAAGTGAGTAGTGCCCACAGCACGCCTGCCTGGATTGTATTAGGCTAATTTCACTATGAAGGGGAACGACTCGAAAGATACATTGACATGCTGAAGGACTTTGAATCAAAGTACAATCATGATGCTTCGTCGGGGGGTGATCTATCACAATCAGAACTTCGTACCTACGAGGTCGAATCAGATGGAGTTATTACCCCCGAAGGTGAGCGGGAGCGTCACATTTATATGCCACATAGAGCTGACAGGACTACACTTGCAGATACGTCGGAATCTTCTGGTAAGTGCTACTTGTGGATTGATTATCGCTTGATGTTCTGACACTTGCTGTCGCAGCAATCCGTTCGCCGATCCCCCGAATATCTCTTGGAATTTTTATTGTCGGTAGTATTATCGCAGTTCTAGTTGACTCGATGCTTATCCGAGTCACCGTACTTATTGGATTCTGTGTTTATGCTTGTGGACATCGTTTCTAACATGTACTCAGTATCGTATCAGAATGCGGATTTCCTTGAAAGCACAACATGATTCACGTCCCTTGAATAACTGTACAAGCGGTTATCTGAGGGAAAAAGAGTAGGATAATAAAATTGCCAGTGTGCTGGCTTCGAGACTGATGAGGGAAATTATCGCTGTGGTACACGATACAGTTTTTCACATAAATGGCGGACGGCATAGTATGACATCAACATTCTCTATCCCATACGCGATTCACGTACACAAATGCGTAAGGACTAGCCCGCTTATGATTTCTCTGTTTGCATGTTAATTAGTATCCTTTCTGTAACTCCCCCACATACAAAACATATCAACAGCCGCACGATAATCGGCTGTTCAATGGGACCATGACTAATTGAGATCTGCCGGCCTGTCCATATTAATTATGTATCTCGGGTTTGTATCCCACCCTGCACTGCAGAAGCATCCGTGTCGCTAGTTGTACTACAGATGATCACCACCAATAACATTAGACTTAGTGGTCCAATATGTAAATCGCCCATCGATTTTGCGACCGCATATACGAGGCGCAAAAGGAGACCAAGGATGCTGCATATCTGTGGATAGAAATTGGTGCTGGGACCCCCAAAGCATCATCGTCACGACTAAGTTCATGAGCTCTGCCCACTACGTATCGGTTTAAAGAACCACGATATCTGGATGCTTGTCGATCCTACCAGTAGAAAGTTGTGGAAATGGAGGGTCCTTTCAATGGCAGAATGTATGCGGTGGAAGGAGAGGTAGTGATTGCTTTGTTAGCCGTTCTTTGGCCCTACTATGCAAAGATGCGTTCCCCAGGCTCTTCATTACCTCCAGCTTGTTGTAAGTAGAGAGCAGAGTAATGTACAGAGAACTAGAATTAGCCTCTCGAGAGAGAGACGTTCTACTTAAATACATTTTGTATTACTTCGAGATCTTTCTACGAGATACTAAATAAGTCCAGATCACGATCCAAGTCAGCTGCCGCTGACTGCCATCGTATCTTCGAGTACGTTCTCGTACTCGCTCGGGATTGCTATCCCAACACAGCTAATGCAGACCATAGAAGCCGTTTGATGATAGATACCATGTTCGTCACTCCGACCCTACTACACAAGGACCCAGCGTCAGTCTGTTTAGGCGTCGTTCACGGTTCAAATAGCTCATTGGCCTTGAACGGCGAACGCCACAAAGTCAAAATCGATCATCTTGATGGGTAGTGTCGCTCAGAAGGTTTAGAGAGAACCCGTCGCCGCCGACGACACATTCCGCCGTCCATGGGATGTCATCTGCTTCGAGGATACCGGACAGCAATGTGCGTCTTCGCCTCTATACCGGTTCGAGGGCCATCATATTTACTCGCAGATATTGCCCGACCTCCCAGAGAGCAGTGCTAATATCTGATCTCCAAGCAACTTTGCGGATCACACAAACTCATCCCTTCCACGCAAGAGGTGAGTCCATCCATACTACCCTTAAAAGTATGTATTGAAATCTTTGCAGACAGAACAAGAGCGCGCAAAGATATATTTCGTTCCTTTCAATATCCTCTCAGAGCCATATTACCATTCGCGACAGGTCCTCGTCCTGGGCTTGTCCGGCTCAGGCAAATCGACCATTCTCAAAGTTTCTTCCGATTCATCAATCTACCACATCTTTCTATGATTTACATGATTAAGAACATGCAGGTTTCATCCTTCTCGCCGCAAAATACTAGTGTTCGTTCCGGGACCAAAACAAACGATAGCTTCAAGGCTAAAACTAAGGACCTCCCTTCCGTGAGCAGTGAAGTAATTTTGGATCTCGGACAGAAAGAGATACTTTTGGTCCAGATGGGCAATCGGTGGAAAGAGGACGCGGGTGATTTAACGGACTTGAAGGGTATCCTGTCCGTCGTTGACTTGAGCGCATATGACCCACTTTCTCTGGAACACTTCGTAGTTTTGGCAGCCCTCTCTCTCTCTTCATACCCTTACGCCGCTTCTAGAATGTCATGGGAAACGCCATGAGAGATTGGAATTTTATAAACCATTCCAAATTGTTCAAACACGTCCCTTTAGTGATCCCACATTCGTCCCAGTTCGAAGCTCTAATAATAAGTTTCTCGGATCCTGTTCTTCAACAACAACGATGTCTTTGAAAAAAAAGTACCTCTCTCAAATATCCCGCGTTTCTTTCTTTTTCGTACTTCCCTACACGTCAATGCTCTATGAGTGCCACAAATGGCTATAGGAATTCGATGGGGTGCCAGGCATCGGTGATGCCCAGGCTGGTCATGAATACTTCACGGACTGCTTCGCGAGGCTGGCTGTCACCACATTCGGTTGACATGGGGATCGGACGATATACATTCAGTAAGTGGCTCATCAACACTAGCAAGGTAAGGCAACGGATGAGAATAGGCGTTGTTCCTGCTACAAACTCATAGTAGGTCAGCATATACTCAAGTTTCGCCCTCTTTGACCAACACTGTCGATAAATCCAGCACCGTTGCGGCATTACTGAAGGAAAAAACGCCAAAGAGAGAGTAAAGAGGTAGTAATGAAAAGATCACACTAGGGAGGCGGCAGGGGCTTGCATGGGCTGTCGTGAAAGAAGATCAAACTCAAAACAGTTATCATCAGGACGTATAATATCATTACTCTATCGTGATCATAAGTAGTAAGTCAAGGGCCGACCTGTTATTGGGAGTCCTGCTTTCCACATGAACATCTGGCCGGCGCGAATGACGGTACCGACACCAATCTGTGACATCAATCTTGGTACCACAGTTTTGCGTGCTTATTTTTCCCAGCGACAACCGGCGTCTGGTGGCGCGAGCGAGGTAGGGAGTTAACAAGGTCGACATACGTCGATCCTTCTCCCAACTGACCAGAGTTGAGAGCGTGAACAATATTCTGTGTGAAAATCCCATTGAACCCGTCCTTCCCGCGTTTCTCCTTTGCAAACTCGTACTCCCTACACGCTGCCATCACTACATGAGAATCCATATCCGGGCGCCAGTCCTCCGACAATACGGACTTATAACCAGGGAAGTATTTCAAACTTTCGTCCGCGGCGATGAGCATGTCCTCGAGTGACGCGAGTGGGAGGACAGTGCGAACTCCTGGCCCGGATAAGTCCCGAGTTACGCCACCGGAGTGACAGCAATCTAGGATCAAGGTGATTCGATTTCCCTTGATGCGACAAATTTGGAAAAGAATTGCATTGATCTCGCGGTCGCTGATGTCAGGAATAACGGTGCCGTTGGTGTCTCGAGTGTTACGGTCCATTGGACAGAGGGCCTCTATGGATCCACTCCCTGCAACAGAGACTTGCCCATCATCAGAGTCCGAGTCGCAATTATGGAAGTACTCTGAACAGGAATAGTGCGAGCCGTGGCCAGAGTAATAAATTATGATGTTATCGCCGTAGTCGATTTGTGGGTTGGTCATGACACTGAGAAGGGTCCGAATAATGTTGGCACGGGAAGGAATAGAGGGATCTCCTGGGTAGGTATATGGCTGGGTACCGATAAGGCGTTGAATCCGTCCTTTTGGCACGCCAAGGCACTCTGTAAGGTAATTCTCCATGAACAACGCGTCTGACACGCAACCGCGCAGTGGGGAGGACGTGTACGCGTCAATGCCAATGAGGACAGCCCAAAATCTGGAGGCGTCAACGCGGCGTGGCGCCTGCAATGTTATTTGTTGATAAGCATCCAAAAAGACAGCTAAAAATATAATCTTACCGTGTCACCTGTCATCAAAGGTGGCTCACGTTTCACTCGAAAGCGAAGCGCACGCTGCTTGGCCGCGAGGTCGAGGCGGAGCTCGTAGAGAGCATTGAGAGCCCTCAACGTTGATACAGATTGCACGTCTCTTCGCGATAATGCTCTGGCCTTGGTCTCTTGGAAGACCTCTACGGAGTCGATAACGCCAGTCATGCCGTACTGCTTAGTTAACCGAGTCTCCGTCCCTTGGAGCGGGCGGATCTGTCCCACAATTTTTATCAGCTCCTGTTCTAATTCGGCCTGCCCAAGAGTTAGAATACAGAGAAATATGTTTACAATACCAATACATACATGAGGTCCTGCCCCCCCTGCAAAGGAGCGCGCTGGGGTGGTCGAGTATTGATAATATGGGCCATATTGAGCATGGCGAGGATTATATAAGTCGAGGCGTTGCAGATTGAAGGATAACGGCCACAGGGTCGGGTACATTCACTCGGCTTCGCAACAAAAAAACAAAAAAGGCTGTGTCACGATTAGCCAAGGTATCAGGCTTGCAATTGTGAGAGAACTGCCACCTGAGGGAAAGTAAGAACAAGAAAGATGGGAAGGGCTAAAGATATTTGTCGTATGGCTCAACCAGCTATGGATTATAAGGACTGCTGGAGGGGGGCAGCCATGACTCGAAGACAGGTTATCGAGCATCTGATAACCGCGAGGACTGGCGGGCTGTACATAAAACAGTTCGCCATTGGCTGATGGACTCGTCCTAACAATGTGCCTTGCAGTTTGCCTTTGTTATCGGATAGAGATCCATGATACAGTGTCTTTTCCATGCGCAATGAGTGAGGCTTTTCAGGGGTTGTTCTGACTCGAAGACAACGTACAGAAAGAAAGGTGTCGGTATTTGCCGTCTATTCATGTCCATAAACGGAAGTAGCGCTCATTGCCAACAATGTCTCTCGTGCTCGAGGTGTTGGAATCTGCGAGAGAATTCGAGCCATCCGGCATTCCGGCATGCCGAGTAAGGAAAGAATCTGAGGGAAATTGAAGTAATTAAGTAGAAATTACTAGAAAAGGTGTAGTCTAGTATAAATATGAGAAGTCAATGGGGAAACTCCTCAGGAGTTTGTAACCTAAAGACTAAAGGTCTTACAAGCATGTACTCTGGATACAGTCTAAATCTCAACACAAGGGATGGGCGGCCTTCCATCCCTCTTTTCCCTGATCACCATCGGAATTATGTCCCATGTTCCCTCAACTTCAATTGGTGCATCATCAGCCTTGCGTCTGTCTTGTGGTACTACAGTGATTATGGAACCATCATAAGTCCAGTTTCTAGGATCTATTCAATATTTTTGTAGACAGTAGTGGTGCTCCGAAATTGTTGTCTAGGCGTCGTAATGAGTTGATATATGCGTCAGCGAGCCATCTTTGACAGAGATCAGGGTAAAAACGTTACACACATGCGTATCCCAAACACTGATGACTGAGCCTGTGTTTCATTTCTCTCCATTTTAATTGATTACCAAGCTGATCCAGTTGGTAGATCATTGTAACATCCCCTTACTGGAACGCGAGAAAGTAATCTATCCTTCGCACTGTTATTTCCCTCAGTAGCTGCCAGCCGTTCGTTGAAAATTTCCTGGCAACATTCCGTGCTTTACCCTAGCTCTTGGGTGCTTAGTACCTACTTAAGTTTCGGTATTTTATTCCTGACGACACAAATTTCAGGCGGTGCAGGAGGAATCAACGGGACAAGGAACGTACGACTGACCTTCTCTCTGCAGGATTAGTTTCATCGACGTTGCTGCGGCGCTGTTCATGACGGTGTGTCTCGGATTATCCGGTTGTAAAATTCTCTGTATAAATGCTCTTCCGAAGACGCGTCGCACATATCTAGATAAGTCTGGAGTATACATTTATCGGAAAATCCATATCTCACTTGCCAGTCGACATTAGATCATAACAGGCGCTCCTCCAACCCTAGGCCCTGATCTGCCAGTGCAGAGCTCATCTCAGTCATGGTGTTCTCTGTGTTAACTGAATTGCGTTATCAACATTCATGTTGCCACCCAAAGGCCGTGATTCTAAGAACTTTAACTCCGCGTCCTCGAAATCTGTTATGTGGATCAAATCACTCGAGACTGTACAATGAACACGATGAACACATAGCCTTCTTGGAAACCTGCGTCTCTTGAATTGTCAGTGAACAGCTTGCGGACAGAATGTTAAAACACCATTACCTCGTTTTCAAACGGCTTACTCTAATTCATTCTATTTTGAACTATCTCGATGCGGGTCCTTTCCTGGAACTTCCTGTTACAGCAGGGCGGGCCAACGCTGACGCCGCTCCACCGCCACAGTCACTGTCATCTCATCTCCACCGCAGCTTATCAGTATAATCATAGCAGAATCGAAACAGCACGAACGCTTTGAAACCTGGTCACGTGGAAAATACTTCAAGTCTGGCTTAAACTGACATGATCGCATTTATCACCAGGCAAGCAATCTGGATCAATGAGCACAAACGGGAAGCTATGCTACAAGATATTCGTGAGCCTGGCGGCCATGATTTTTGGAAAATACCCATGGACACAGTCATTATCGCTTTACCGCCAAAGTCCGATGCGGTACGGATGTCTGAGCTTCGCACCATGTTCCCAAAGAACGGGATTACGGATCAAATATCCAAAATCAAGGACCTTATCCGTCATTATGCAGTATAATCGAAAAAAATTTTGGGCATAAGAAAGATTAGTCACAACTAAATTACGGAATGAATCCGCCCTAGTACGATCCACCAGAGATCTGAGGGCAGCGTCAATATTAAGTTCCCAAGAAGACGCGAAAGAAAAGCCATACAGTAGCATCATCGCTGGAAACTGTTCCTTCTGAACCACCAGTTATCGTCAGCTCGGAGAAATCCCAAGTTCTAGCGCATTATAACGTCAACACTGCGGGGAAAAAGACGCACAAACACGATGCTTACCCAGAGCAGGCACCACAGTTGACGACCAGTCGTTGAGCATCGTCTCCGACCCTGGAGATTAGGGTGAAACACATGAGCACACGACCTAAGGGACCCGCTGCACGAGACTCACTTGATGGTAGTAGCGCTTCCAGTGAAGTTTACGTCCCTAATCAAAAGGTATCAAACATCGGCTCAAATTCCCCACATGAACTTAAAGCCCACTCACGAAATAGGCGCGCCAGTTCCGGGGGTACCCTCATCATCGGGGTAGGATTGTGTAATCAGAACTCCATATTCGTCAATGCCGCTGAGGGTGTTTCTGTAAACGTCGTCTTTAGTTTGCCATGAGGCCATCAGAGATTGAGTGGTCCTAACCCAGAGTATGTGATACTGGACACGGAAGCATCTGTGGCTGAGGCCTTGACCTTTATTCTATACGCGGCGAGTGTTATTCAGAAATGGAGTATAAATAGACAACGAAAGGCCTTACCTCAATCCATACATTGAGTCGGTGACTGTGTTTCCGGAGATAGTAACGTCGGAGACGGACTTGTCACTAGAGATGGAACCGATGGAAATGCCATGCCCGCCAGAGCACTGGTTGTTCTCGAAACTGATAAATTTATCGGATGAGGAACTGCTTTCACAAATGGAACGGCACGTACACGATGTTCGAGCCATCGTTGATTGCGATACAGTCATCCTGGTTTTTGACGACCGAATTTTTGATAGTCACGTCGTCAGCCGAAACGTCGAAACCCTACAGACTATCAGTTTCTTCGCGGCGAGACCAGAGTTACTTCTACTCACATCGGTGTTATGACCGAGGTCGTCGGTATCACCATCGCTGTTGTCAACCTACAAGGTCAAGTCAGCTCGTTAAGGGGCAAAAAAGAGGTGTTATATGTACAGTGATGCTGTCAAATACGAGGCCGTCACTGTTACCGATGGATATAGCCTGAGCAGGGCTGTTCAAGACCTATTGTCCCTCGTTCAGCAGCATTCTGTAGGAGAGAAAGATCGATTTACGGTGAAATCGGAGTATGTGCCGGAGCCCTTGAACCTAAGGAACACATAAAATCGCGGCACCATTGACAAAGCGAAAAGGTTCTACTTTAAGAAGGGATGAGGTTTGTCGACACCGCCGTTTGTACCTTCACCATCCCAGTAATCTGCGCCGTTTCCCTACGAGATCCAGTTAACTACCAAAATACAAGAAATGATTTGATCCTGCTCACGTCAAATGAGAATCCTGCGCCATCGAAAATGATGTCGTCGCCGTCAATGGTAAATAGCGGGCCATCACCTGAGGTGTGAATCCGTTAAGCACTGAACTTAAAAATTACTGCTAGGATACGAACTAGTGGTTTTGGCAAAGGTGATGTCACCAGCCATGGTGATAGTCGCGCCCGACATGGGCTAATGTTATGTATAAAACGACACACGTGTAAAGGTAAAAACAGCCACGTACGGAGAGGCTCAAGGTACCTAGGAAGTATAGTCGTTAGCAAGAAGATTCATAGAAGGGAGAATAGACATAAACATACTTCCACTGGGAACGGTGAAGGCCTCAATAGTGACAGTCGAACAGCTCGAAATGGACGAAGCCGTGGAGACAGAAGAGATTGTGCAGCTGGCACGCTCCTCGAGCTCTCCAGTCGGGATGGCCGATACAAGTGCAAGCGCGGTCGCGGTAAAGACAAATCGATAGAAAGCGAGGTTGGACATTTCGTGCAAGATGGAAGGGAGAGAAAGTAGGCAGAGCTTGCTGCTTTGACCTCGCCATGTCCAGGTTTATATACCATTTAGAGGGATCGTGCTGGATTAACCACGGAGGAAAATAACGGGAATACGTATTCTAAGAGAAACACGCAAGGGATATCTGTGCTGGAAGAAAATTGCCAAGTAAAAGCCATTGCGGTTGCGCATGGGACCAATCGTATTGACCCGGCCCGGTTGACTATACAACCTGCTCGCCGAAAATGAAGTGCTTTGGTTTTGTCGAACATCTGGAAAAGGAGGAAGGAAGGGGGAAGGTCACGGTCGCAAGATGACGCTTTTGCCTATGCCGTCTTGATGATTCACAGCGACAGAAAGGCCTGCAAAAATGAAAATTTCTCCTATGTGTCTCCTACGTGGTAGGAGAACTCAGGTCTTTACACGGAGTAGTAAAACATCAAGCTCACGTTGAAGCACCGTCAAGACGTCGAAGTTCAGAGCGTTGGAGGATCTTCTGAATTCATGTCCTATCGGATGGAGCTGGACATTAGGACCTCCTTCTCTTCAAGTCTTCTGGGCCATCCTAGCAGTTGGATGATGGGGTTTTTCATCTCCGTCAGAGAGCGGCGGTAGCTATTGCATCCAAATTTGAGCAAGTCCTGCATCGATCACCGATAAATGACCGATACTTATGAGGGCCGGGGATATGGCCCTGTTGAGATGCCGCGCCATGCGGAACCGAATGTAGTCAAAAAAGGTTTAGAGAAAGATAATTGTCGGTCTCTGAAGACTGCGGCGCGTAGAGTATGTAGAATCCGCCGAACATAAAAGTTTTTACCTAGCCGCCACGTAAAGGAATGGACAGGACTGACTGCGCAGGGCGATCTTAAGGAGACGTTGGAAGAAAGTCGGTAGATCCTCACCAAATATTCTACAGGGATAATTGGCGAGAAAATAATTGATAGACTTTCAAAACGCGCACCTTCCAAGCCGTCTTTGCATTTAAACCACATCCTACGCCAACAAAGCAGAGGTCTCCACCAAGCTCTGGAGGTCCGGCACCATCCATGATTCCTCCAAGCGCTAATGGTAGGTTGAGAGGTGGGTCGTCCGTTAGTATGCGCATACAAGCCTAAAGGGCTCCAGTCGATATACACATCGGGTGATGTGGGCACAAAATTGAGTGCCAGTGAGCAGGCCGACAACCATTGCTCTACCACATATGCCACGAAAGTATCCTACCCTCGATATTCGGCGACGCGATTCTACCAGAGGTCAACGTCAATGGATGACAATACGAACCCCGCCTTACCTCGAATTCCATGCTGCCTGTGTGGCGTTCCGAACGCGTTTCATCCAAGTTCAACTGAATTTTGAAGGCGAGAATGCCAGTCGGTCGCCAAGGGCCGTAGAGAGAAGAGAGACCGAGTTTGAACGATGGTGCTAAGGGGAAGGCTGATCGGCTCTCAGCTTCTTACCATCACCATCACATCCCTTCCTTGTTTATTTCATTAAGCAAGGAAGAACGATAGAGCCCACATCCAACCTGTTGTTGCTGTTTGAACCCCTCGTAAGGACTGAGAGATGGGATAGATTGTGCCGCAAGACTAGCTACTATAAACCGGGAAAACTGCGGTTGCCCTAAACTAACACGTGATCCGGCCCGACTCCGCCTTGGTCTCCCCTCGTCTACTCCCACTGTTAGGAAGAGCATTGACGATATGCAAGCGCTGTAGCTCAAAAACTTCACTCTGCTCGCTGCAGAAACGCAGCTTGGACTTGGGGGAGAATTATCATGGGAGGACTGAAGAAACGAGATACTTCCAATGAAAAGATTGTCAAAGGTGCGGATTACGCCTGTGCTAAGCATGGCTCCTTGCTGACTCTCATTATCCTCGTACTAGGTTCCTCTCAACTGCTGCCGTTTTCCGAAACGCAGATATCTATAATACTCCCAGAAAATACTTCTGGTTTCATGCCGGGCATGCTCGAGGGCATCGCTAAATGGCTCAGGTTCATTCCGCCGCCATCGGTTCCGTCTATATGGAGTATTTGTAGCCTTTACATTTTCGCCAAGGATATCTATGCCTTCCATTGCCACTGTTTGGACCTTATCCGAGAACACTGGCGCCGACTGGATCTCTAGGCTGTCAAACAAATCCGCAGCAGTGACGCCGCACAGGGGAAAGGGCCAAGAATTCAGGTCCGTGTCGTCACATGTGCTGATGAACCCGGTGTGAGTCGCTGGGCGATGAGCAGTTCAACAGTGGCAGTACACGCTCTTCGAGACTTTTGAAGACACGAGGCGCATAGCCAGGTGAATCATTGGAGCAATGCAGTTATCGATTAAAATGCAAGTCTACCATTAAGGGCTGCTTGGGACAACATCCTAAGAGAGATACGTAAGATCGAGTCAATCACAGATATAGGAAACAAACCATGGTAAAATGGTACAAGACTTAGATCGAAAGAGATAGTACACATAACCATTCAGCAGTCTCGGGAGACTTACCGAGCTACGTACATTGCTAGTCATGAACGATAGAGTTTGCCGTCCCGGAGGTACTTGAGCACAGCGACGTTTCTCAAATCCCGATGAATGACGAATTAAACGGAGTTTTACCATATCGCTCGCTTGGCGAGTGGTAAAAGATGGCGTTTTATCTGCTCAAATAACACCGGTTGCCAGCAGGAGGTCTAGCACAGGAAACGCGGGTAATTATGCTCCCTACAATGACAGAGAGTCAGTTACTTTGCCTGTCTAGAAGAGTGACGCCCGTGCGGCTTTGAAGCAACCCACCTACAACTGTCCTAAGCGAAGCCGCTCGGATGATGCATTGCCGTACCGTGGCGGAGATGAAGAGGTGACAGTGGGCAATAGCTCTTTAAATTCTGTACTGACTAGTGAGAGGCAAACAAGAAATAAAATATAAAGGATTCCGCGCATTCGAAGCCATCGTTGTCACAGAACCACCCGACAAGGTACCTGGACGCTCTGTGAAAGACAGAGATATCCAAATTGAGGTCCGCTCGCTGACCGTGTACCGGAAAGCCATCAATCGTACGGAGACCGTCGAGCTCTCGTGGCTCTAATCATGCCTGGCCACACCGGTTCCGAAAGAGAATGAAAGGTAGGCTGATACACAGAGTGCCAGGCTAGCCCAGAGCAAAGCTCAGTTTTTGGCTTTGAAAGTAACCACTTCAATTTGTTTTAGAAAGTCACAGCAATCATGGTATTGGAACGGTGGGTTTAGTTAGAGAAAACTGAATGCATGCACATCAGGCTTTCAGGATGGAGGGTTCATAGATTGTTGTGCATGCAGATGCCAAGATGGAAAGATAGACCAGTGACCAAGAGTCTTTATATGTGCATGTGCCAGAGTATCAGTAGAAAAAATAAGATTAGAATGAAAAATGAATAACACAGTAGCTTACTCAGTAGTTGCTTATCCTTGAAATGTGAGAATTTCACCTGAAAATTCTTAGTGAGAGCTGCACATTAATGAGATGATTATTTACATTATTGCTGGATAATTTGATGACAGAGTAGATCTGTGGGTGGTTGTCAGTGCAGCAAGAGAAAAGGACAGGCTGAAGCTGATGTCTTTTAACCTCTGGCTTTTCTTTCTCCTGCTCATGGTGAGCTTCTTCAGTGGGGGTCTTATTGGATTTAGCTTCAGAACTCCACTGGGGGGCAGGCATGAAGGAGAAAAAGAAGGACATGATGGTGATAGTGGAATCAGGAGAATTTGCAATAAACAACTTGACTTTATCCTGCTCACTAACAATGTGCTGATTTACACCATCACATTTCTCTGTTCCAGATATTCTGTGAGTCCATCAGGTGAGGCTTTTTTTGCTCTATTCCTGGATGCTGAGTGTCAATACTGAATTTTTCAGATATGTAAACAATTCATTGCACTGACAAGACTACCAATCATATGGATCAATGCCCATGAACTTCATATTCTGTCAAATGACTATCCTTTTCTGCTTGATAATAGATATTGAATAGCACATGCCATATGTATACTGACTCACATCACAATGGCTTGCTGACCTTTCTTATCATCTAAAACTGAGATGATGCTCACTGGATTGCCTGTATTAGAGATCAAATTCATACCAGGATGAGGACACAACATATCCTTATGGTTGTTGACCACATCCAAGGGGATACAGTTAGTCCTAATGATCTGAAACATCATGCAGGCATACAAGTGCTCAAAATGGATCTCATGTTGGAAAGATATTGGATTCATGAATGTGAAGATTAATGGTAGCCCAGAGTCTGAAGCTATTGTTACAGTTGTATTGTGAGCAACCTGTTAATCTGGTAAACAAGCACTGATTTCTATAGATCATAGAAAATTGTGCTCCTGCACTTGAATGATAGTAGATAATTGCATGAAATCTACTCCATCAAGATCAACCTCTGCCTCATCACTCTTGTCAGTGATATCCTAGCATTAATCCATCACTGCTCTATCATGCTCTTCTACAACTTGAAGGTTGATGAGCAAACATACTTTGACATGCTGTTTGACCACTGCATTCAAATCATCTTAACTCCATCCACTATCCTCATAGTGTGTGCCAACTCTATCACTTGTTATTCTCTCACATCTTCCACTTGTCTCTGCACACACTCCTTTGGCTGGGTCAATGGTGCCAGCACAATCTCTGCATCCATTCTCATAACCTCTGACTGAATTTCCTCCGGCTCTATACCCTCTCCTCCTTTCCACCAATGCTCATCAGCAAGATATCTTACAATCATAGCTTGATCTAATATCCAAACATGTTTCTCAGCAAATGGGATATCACAGTTTGAATATGCCTCTCTGAGCATGTCTTCATTTTTAATTGAGAGAACTGTTGTGAGACCTTTATGGCTGTCTTTTCTAGTCTGCTTAATAATCCAAAGGATGTCCACATTCACAAGATCTGCCTGAATACCCTTGATATAGAATACAAGACTGGTATGCTCCAGTTATACACCAGTTATATCAATATCCAGTATTTACATATATTTGTTCTTACTATATAAGATACTATGACACCAGAGACAATGTCTTTGACAGATAAGGCAAATTCAATTTTTATTATTGCTATTTTACCAAAAAGTGACTTTTGTGTTATTTTTAAAAATCAGAAATCAACTATCTTAATTGGGATTATCAAAATCCATTGACTCTGTGGAAGCCTTTCCAATGTGCTGATACAAATGTGTATGAACAATCAATGATTGAAGTTGTTCATTTTTCATTGAACATCTTATTTAAGATGGTAATCAGGTGGAAATTATTTTACAGACACTTGAGGCAGTATCAGCCTTATTCTCTAAGCACTGACAGAGAAGTAGTTGCTAAAGGAATACCATGTATAAAAAGTGAGTATTACAAGCATGATTACTATGTAACATTAATTAATAGATACATACAACACATACATATAGTACAAGTCTCCAATAAAAGACTGAACAATCCTGAACAAATGTGAAAAAGAATTTCAGCTTGAAGGGCTGACACAGATGCTGACTTTGCTAGTATCTATGGAACATGTGTAATTGGTTCTGTGACAGTTAGAAGTCTATTTCTATTTTGAAATGATAGCTTGATGGTGAATTTCAAATATGATAACAAAGCAGATCATTGAGCTTTGATAATGAGCTTAGTCAGGCTATTGCCTAAATAGATGAGGAATGATATTAAGGGTCCTTTGTGCTTAATGTTGATGAGTTTGATTGTTTACATTCCATCCATTTTCTGTACACTTACAGAATTGCATCACAGGCTCTCTGTGTGTGTGGTTTCCAGGGTACTTCTGCCATGATTGAGGCTCCAATTTTGTCCTTTCTTTTGTACCATTCCTACCAAAGGAATTGAGACAACAATACCTGGTTTTCAGGTCAGTTACTCCTTCATTTCAGATGATTATATGTCTCACTTCTGGAATGCAGAATAGCATACCTTGAGAAACTCAGTGAGCTTCATATGGTGTAATTCCCTGTAAATTGATACCCTTTCACATAATGAGCTTCTCCAACTCACCATAGATCATTTTAGATTGTATATCTGTATATTGGACTAATACAAACCACCATATCTTCAAATCTTCTGCATGTGCTCCATGACAATGGACTGAGAGACAAGAACTCAGTTCTGCTGCTTGAGGAACCTACATTCCGTCGCAGCGTGGTTGGCGCTCCACTCCATAGGCTTAATTCAAGCACCTGCGATCCCTTTTTATGTTCAAAAGATAAGTTCTTTTCGATACCACCTAGGAGTCAGGTCGGTTGATACGTGCCGTGCATGCCTGTTTCGGCACGGCGTTCATGCCCTGTAGTTATATTGATGACCTTGGATCCTCATTATGCGAAGAAACTGACGTATGCATTGGCAAAGCCCATATAAACGACGCGCTGCAGAGTTTAGATGCTGGGCGTCACGAGTATATTCCCTGTGCAGACATACTGGTGCAACGTTAATACGGGCTCGTAGCATCCGCCGAATTAGCCAAAACCTTCATGTTTTCAACCTGCCTCTGGTCTTGCGATAGTCGGGATAACAACATTGAACGAGTCGCTCAGGTTCAAAGATGTCTTACAGTCCCACGCATTGATAATATAAGGGAAATATCATCCACAGCGGGTAACGCCATAGGCCAGATATTTACCGCTCATTTTCAACCTCAATCATATTGGCGGCATAGAAGAATTCGTGAAAAAAGGCTGCTTCGAATCGTTGCTCTGAACGAATGGGTACCTAAGACTAACCAGCCGCTATATGGTAAATGCTCTGATTAATGTTCTATTTAAGAAACGAATGAGGGACCGGGACAACTCATGAAAAATCTTCTGAAAACGTCCAAGTGACGCCATTCGAAATTTGTGTACTTCATCCCAAATGGATCTCTCAGGAGTATCAAAGCAATGACTGGGCCGTACCATATTTTCCGTGGCTCAAGAGAACTGGTAAGGCTGGCAATCATGTAATTCGCAGAAATGCCTAGCTGCGTTCCGTTCTTGTGGTACCAAAGCTCAAAAGGCGGGTCGTCCCCTCGTGCAGCAACCCTTCGACAGGCGAGCTTATCCCGAGGAAAGAAGTCATCCAGCTGCGGTATACAGTCCAGTATCTCGACGTCGGTCACCTGTCGGGATAGGAACGTGAGAGGAACTTCTATAGGATCAGAACCTAAGGCCTTTATTTTCAGTTTGAAAATACGAGGAACGAGGTGAAGACGCACGGTCTTGGCGAAATATGAGACCTCCAATACTGTTGCTCCATAGATACCGAGATCCTATTTCCGGGTCGGGTCTTGGAAAATAATCGAGAATTCCGTGTTGTAGATGTGGGGCTTCGATGAAATGGCTTTCATAGTACTGGACTCACGATTTTCGGTTCTTCGTTTGTAGGAAAATATTCGATGCCACGTACCACTTCTATGCATCTTGGAAGGCACCAGAATTCTCCACACTCACATATAGCGATGGGTTGCAAGGCGCGCAAGGCGACGTCCATTGATCCGCAGCCGTGGCAGAGGGATATCATAGACATAATTTCGTGATATACAGTAGTCTCGTGGTAGAGTCGATAAGGTGTGAATGATAGTGTCCGTAATGTTAAGACTCGAAAAAGGCGGTTTGAGTGCGGGATCGCCCATACGCGTTGTAGTAGACCGTTTAGATTTGAGAATCAACGTGGGACCCTGAATTTATATAGGCCAGTGAAAAGCGGTGCGACTCGATCAGAGTAACAACAAACTCAACACAATGTCTTGAAGGAGAAATAGGTGTGTATGCGAAATCTTGAACTCCCTTTTTTAATCGCCTTTAATTCCCACCCGAAAAATTCTTCTGACAAGCACTGAATCGGGGCTTCATATAGTGTACCGTGGCAGAGCATATCACGTAATCAAATGCATATGCAAATGTCATTTCATTCCACCTCAGCGTTTCGCTTGTATCATTACTGTTCCGAAGCCTGGGTGGCGAGTCAGGCGGCAGGTGCATTGGATACCATACTCTTGCCTATGACTCGACTTGAAATCCGAAGTCATTTCGGAGCCGTTTGCTCTGACTCCATCGGTGTTCAAACTAGCCGTTAATTTGTCGACAGAGTAGTTGCTGCACTCGACTTTGCCGTTAAGCTGAGATAAGCTGAGTAGTCATCCACTAATTTGGTAGTAGATTAATACCTTTCAGCAGGCTAATGCTCATGCTGTGTTGCCATGACGTATTATATCTATGGATCTGCACCATACTCATATACAGGTATGACTGTCAACTATATGGATTGTATGCAGATACAGATATCCCATACTTGCAAATGTACAGAAGAAATATAGGAGCTATACAGTCCAGTATGGTGATAATTATGCCTGTATTATGGGTATATGACTGTACCTTTTTCAAGAGCCTGCAAAACTGATCCAGACACATTTGTGAGATATGAGACCAGAAAAAACAGCAAACCAAAGACTTGCATAGAAGGCAAAGGCATTAGAGGATGAAGTGAGAAGAATCCTGCATGTCTCTCCACTTCAGAGGGGAAGTCAGGGGGGCATTTTGGTGAGATACCTTTGCACTACAGTGATGGGCTCCTATATCTATCAGACCTATGTCAAACTAGGAAAGGATTAGCCATGAACAGAAGGCAAGAATAAGAGGGCAATGCCACAGTAAATTTCTTGACTCAAACTTCTGCTGTGTGGAGTGAAATGGCTAGTGATATATTGCATATTGACTAAGGAGATCATTTCAGAAGAGATAATCATAATCTGGAGATAGAGAGTTAGAAAGTAATAAGTGAAAGAAATATCAAGCTGCAAGCAGTGGGCAAACACAAGGGTAACAGAGAATAGAACAGTCAGAATGGTTGTTGATGTGGCAGCTCTGGAGAAAGGAGGTCATGCAATCAATCAGCCAGTTGATGCCATTTTGAGATCCAATGACATCACTTGGATATCCATATATATAGCTGTGCATGGCTGTGTTTTGTACAGGTTGTATGGGTGCAGTCCATACCATATATCAACCCATATAGTTGTCATCAAGATCAAGCATGGTGACATGCCCTCAATGTGTTCATGCATGTAATTTTGTGAATTCTGAGAATATATCAAGCATATTCAGGTCTACAATGCATACAAGACTGTTATGACTTGTGCATGAAGAAAAAGTATGATTGCATGTGAAGGAACAATATGACTGCATGCAAAGGAATATGGTGACTGTGTGCAAAGGCCATTATAATTGGCATGTGATGAAATGAGACTCAGCATTATATCTGGCTGAAGTGATGATTAGTGAAGTGCATGACTTGGTAGAAGAGCAATACTAGTGGGGTCCTACTGCACATGAAGTCCCAGCACTTAGCACTGAATGCACTGATATCAGCATAGAGATATGTGCTAAAAATAGAAAGAAAATGATTGGAATAATAATTGGAGCTAAGATCAACACTTTGCATCACAGTGATTGATAACATATAGACATGTAGCAGAGAGAAAGACATGCTCTGGACCAGAGGTATGAGGCATGGCCATATAAACCTGAATAGTTGAACAACCAGCCAAAAGTGATGATACTAGAGCCAAATGGTGGTCAGGAGAGATAAATCTAGTGGTCAGGAACAAATACCATGCAAGTACTAGTTACTCTGAGATAAAAAAAACAAAGAGACTTGTGAGTGGTGATGTGCTTGGTAACAGCTAAGTGACTAAGAGAAGTGAATGAGGAATGAACTCTCAAACACCAACACCTAACCACTCAATACACAATCACCAAATACAGTTGAGGT